ATAATGTACGTGTTTGTGTGTGTGTGTTAAAACAGAAGTATAACATGCTGGAATAAAATAGCCTTCAAAGGCCTTAGCAGTCCAGTTGGGGAGGCACAGGTAATTAGCACTGATGTTCCCTAGTTGGGGAAATGAAATGTCTGCAAGAAAACAAGCAAGCTCAGAGAGCACCAAGGATCCTTCATGTCAATTCTGAGCTACAAATATTCTTTATTGATACTTCAGCCCTTTCTCTCACACTCAAAAGGCAGGTCAATGAATACCCTCTTCTCATGTGCCACAGGTGTCCCTTCAACCAAAGTCTTGGGCTGTCCATGTCTTCCAAACCTAAAGCCTACAAAAAGCCTATAAACCTGGTTCATATTCCAGAAGCCTAAGATTTTGGCTGAAGAGATATGAGAGATTGTGGCATGGGCTTGATCAGCCTGCATTCGCTCATTTGTGGCACATATTTTGACAGCTATATGAATACATCAAAAGGAAGGCGTTTAAAGAGGCACAAGGTTTCCAGATAGCTCTGTACAAGAGGCTGTTCTACCAGTTCAATCACAACTCAGGGAACTGACGTTCAACGCTGAGGTACACACCAACTCTTCTAATTCAGACTATTCCTACCTTATACACAGTATTTTTCCTGCCAGTCCAAATTTCTCTCAAATTCTCTCTTCAGAATTTTTATCTTGCCACTGGATGTGGCTTATGTCAGACTCTGGATCAGGGATGAAATGTCCAACTTAGTTCTCCTGGACCTCTCGGTGACTTTTTGATACCCATCTGGCATGTTGCACAGCTCCATCATGCTATTTCACAAACCAGGTGAAACTATCATAAACCAGGTGGTATTTTTAGCTCTGTCATGAAATTCAAACAGTACCCAAAGATTCTTGAGTAACTGACTACTCAAGTAGTCAATCTTCAGATTTCTATTTTTTTTTTAATTGGTGAATAAAGGAAGATAAACTGCAATTAGCTTTAATTGCATTTAAATTGAATTGAATCACTTGACTGAGGTTTTTCTGGTCAGCAAAAAACTAGACTCTGAGGTAGTAGTTTATTAACTTTATTTAAGGTGAGACTGCATTCTACCCAAACAATACAGCTTCTTCTTCCCACATGAACACTCCTTGGCCCTTCAGCTTTTGCTGAATTTAGTTGCAGCAGAAGATTTGCACAATTACATCTCCTATGTCAATTTGACCATGGCTGAACTACTTAGATTTGGCAACAGGCATTCACAATCCAATGTGCTCTACATGGGACTGTCTTGAAAGAGAGTCCAGAAATGGCAATTGATGCCAATGAAGCAGATATGGGGGCTTGTATGATGCCCATCCAGAAAGATCTGCCCCATTTGCCAATTACTTTCCAGGTACTCCAAAGCCTCCCCTGTTGAGGAACCTTATTACCTGAGGGCATATCTCCTGCTATGAGTCTGTCTAGCCAGGAAAACCTACAGGAGATGCTGCTTTGAAGATCCAACTCTCCCAGAAGCAGCTCTTTCTCAGGGAGAGAATCTTCTGATCCTTTGCTGTCTGGCAAGTTCCCTTTGCCTCTATCCCAACCCCGATGTTTAGAACATTACAAAAACTCATTTCTTTTGAAGACTTTTGATTTTAGTATTGATTTTAAAGGGTTTTTTATGTTTTAAAATATCAGCTGCCAAACAGGGATACCTACAGAGTATATAATACAAAATAAACCAGAAATTGGTTTAAAAGCCAGTTTAATCTAGAGATTAAGGCACCAATCTGGCAACAGGGAGACCCTCAGTTCTAGTCCTTCCTTAGGCATGATAGCCAGCTGGGTAACCTTGAACCAGTCACTCACTCTCAGCCCTAGGAAGGAGGCAATGGCAAACCACTTCTGAAAACTCGCCAAGAAAACCACAGGAATTACAGTAGCTCAGGCAGTGGCCAGGAGTCAACACTGACTTGAAGGCACCAAAAATAACAGAATTTTACCTCATTCAGAGAAACTGAGTCACATTTGGCAACTAACCAGCACCTACCTATATATAGAACAGGGTCAAGCAGGCCAGACATTTAATTAAAAGGGGGCTGTTGGCACAGCAAAATACCAGCCTTGTTTTCAACCCTCCCTTGGCCACAAGCCAGAAAAGCAGGAGCTGTAAAGACTAAAGAAACAAATAAATCAGGGGCCATTTGCCAAGTCTCAAGGTAACCTCGCCGGCAGGCAAGACCTGCTGATAGAAGCTTCATTTGCCTAAAGGGGCACCTTGGCCAGGTGCATCCGCGGAAAAGAGGGGAGCCCTCAGCACACAATGGAGCCCCTGCCCTCTTTGACATCCCTGCCACTCGCTATAAAGAATAATCGAGCTATGTTCAGGGGCTAACGGGACCGATTTATTGAAAAACTTCGGCTACTTTCAGGCGGGTGGACTTCAACGCCCAGAATTCCTCAGCATGCAATCCTGGCACGTTCTATTGGCAAGAGAATTCTGGGAGTTGAAGTCCAACCCAAATGGCTCTAGCCAAGGTTGAAGAAGGCGGCTTCCCAATATCCCGCGTACGGTCCCCCCGAGCCGGGAAGGAAGCGAGGCCGCCGCTCCCCTCCGGCAGGTCCCTCAAGCGCCTGGCGGTCCTTACGGGGAGCTCGAAAAGCAGGGCCCCGTCCGGAGTCGGAGGGCGGGGGGAGGGGTTTCTAGCGAGTCCCCCACCGGACGAGAACCCGCCGACCCCGCCGTCACACGCGGCCTGAGTCTCTGAGGGCCCAACGCGGGTCTTCCCGGGGCCAGGCGGGCCAGGGCAGCCCCTCTGGCGACCCGACGCGTCCTCGGAGCTGCCCGAGTCGCCGGTTCCGTTTTCCCCACCCCAAGGCCGGCTTCCCTCCACCGGCGCCCGGAGCTCCGCGTAGAGCCGGGTTCCCTCACGCCGAGCCCTCCGCCCCGAGCAGCCCCCGGTACCTGCTGCCGCCCACCCGCTGGGCCGCCCTGGCCACCGCCGCCGCCGCCGCCGCCATCTTGCCGCCGCTGAGGAGCCCGCGTCCTCCCGCGCCGCCACCGACTACGACGACAGTGCGAGCCTGAGGGCGGCCGCGCTCCGTCCTCCTTCTCCTCCTCACGCCCGCCCCGTGAGGTAGGCCGCTCCGAAGAGGGCCGCCGCGGCTGGAGCCACGCCTCTCTCCGTTGGATCACAACGCCCATCTTCCTCAGCCTGAGGGCTCCGGTGTGGAAGTGGCCCGTTCCTGCCCATCGCGAGAGAGAGAGAGAGAGAGAGAGAGTTATATTTTATATAGTTATGGCTAAATATACGCTCATACACACACATAGGAGATACAATTATGTATGACAGTTATGAATAACAATCTCATATATACGTGAGGGCCTCTGCTGATAGATAACCATGTCATCAATTAGGATTTTTAAAAGAAAACAGACTTAGACTTAGAATAACTTTACTGTCACTTTGAATGTACCCTAATCAGCATATATTAAAATGAAACTTTGTTGCATACAGCTCTCAAAGGGTCTCCACCTCCTATATACACTACATAAATATGACTAAAAAATAAACACAAAATTATGCATATACCCACACTTAGCACTAAAAAGAAAAAGCACTGAAATACGTTTTAGTGCTTTTTCATAAGAGATTCACCTGGGATGCTGGTGGAACCCAATTTATTTAATACTTACTATTTTATGCATGTATATCCCAACTTTATTATTTTTATAAATTACTCAAGGACTTCAGGGCTTGCTGCTGTTGGAAAGAAAAAAAGGAAGATCTCTTTGTTGGCCAGAGAAGCTGTGGCTGCCACTGGAGAAGATGCCCTGATTGAGTGCCTCTGCGGTCCCTGGTGGCCAAAATCTTGGTGGTGGCCATTTGGCCAGAGCACCATTGTCTGTGGTGGTCCAGAGTTGGGGTGGACACTTGGAGCTGTCCAGGGAGATCTTGAAGTGGTGGAGGGCTTCTGTCTTTTAGGGTCCATCAACAGACAATGAGCCAACAGTCAAAAGATGCCATAAAGCAGTTAAAAAGGTCTTGGAAAAGATATTCAAATGTCAGGATGCCTCTACCAACAGAATCACAATGCTGTGGTATTCCCTGTGACGCCGTGTAAAAGTGAAAGTTGGACTTTGAATAAGGAGGAAGACCAGAATATTGAAGTTTTTCATGTTGGAGAAGACTCCTGAGAATACTGTGGACAGACAAGAATGGGGGGAGGGGAGAGTTAGGGAAGGAAAGTGGGGGAGAATGGGAAAATTTTATTTGTAAAACTTTTTCAATAAAAAATAAATAAATGAGTCCCCCCCCCAAAAAAAGAAAACAAATGGAGAGATCATCAAACAAAATGGACCCAGCGTTTTCCCTCAAAGCACAAATGACCAGATCCCTTATGTGAAGACCCAGCTGTCTGGAAAAGGTCTGATGCTGGGAAAGATGAAAAGAAAGAAGACAACCAGTAGCAAGGAGAATGGGCTTGGTTACAGTGGCCATGAGGTCACTTAAATCCTCCTGGTGAAAATCTAAGTCTGGTTGCTAAAGAGTTGATAACAATTCGATGACTCATAATAAATCAATGTTAATACAGTAATAAATAGAAGATACAGATCTACACATCATAGTTGAAAAAGATGCTACTGGATTCCTGATTTTTCACTACCGTGAATGTCTTCTACAGCGTCTTCATTTGTCAAAATGTTGATGTGTAGGATGTCTGCCAGGCTAGTCTAAATCTAATCCTGGGCAATGTCTTTTTTAAAATGTAGCACCTGCTTTTTAAGCACCGCAGAAGAGTTGGAAAAGCAAAGCAAAAGGTTTGCAATCCTTTATTTTGCCTAGCTGAGGTTTTGCATTGTAAAGTTTCTCATTAGCACTCAAGGATTGGCCTCCTTTCCTGCCCATCCCATCGCTTTCACTTCCAGCCTACACGGCTTCTGTACCACACATTTTCAGTCTCCCCCCTCTCCCCTCCCAGATTCCTGTCACTGCTTTGGAATCTTTGGAATGAGGGAAGGGGAAGACGATGATTTGTGCCTCTGCCGTCATGAAGTCGTTTCTTGTAGCTGTTCTCCTTGTTGTGCCTGTTGTTGCTCATCTGGCCTCAGGTAGGGATGACAGAAGGGGGGGACTATCCAGTTCAAACATCTTTTTCCCTTGTGCTCTCCCTGATCCTACCATCTAATTAGACCCATCTCCAACACTGGACCTCTGTCAAGGGGTTCTCATGAAGTGGGCAAAATCCAGCCCAGATGATGTGGGTGTTCCATCACTGGAGGCTTTTAAGGAGAGACTGGACAGACATTTGTCTGAAATGGTATGGGGTCTCCTGCTAGATGGAGGGTTGGACTGGAGGACTTCCAGTGTCCCTTCCAACTCTATTATTCTGCTCTTCTTTTGTGATCCATGTATCCATCCTATCAAGTCCAAAGAAAATCAGGAATGGTATAGAATCTCCTGCCACAGTCCAACGACTAGAAGACTTCCAAGGTGCCTTCCAGCTCTATTATTCTATGTCTTATTATTGTTCCAAGGACATAGAGTTGGATCTTAGCCATTCTGCTATTTATCTCTTGGCCAGCATGTTGAGCACCTCATGTTTCTGAATTGTGAAAACTTAAGCCAGGAATGTAGTGAGAGTGGAGGAATGGGTATGGAAGAAGTGATCTCGAGTGTGATTGCATAACCCAGAGCATAAGGGGCTCATTCTTGAGTAGATGATTTTAGACTTTGTACAGTTGGAGAGTAGTATGAAGAACCTGTCATCTCACAAACAGACTTTGAATGAAAAGGGTCCATTGTCTTCCAAAGAGGGCTAACCACAGTTGTAGGTTCCCCAGCTCAAAGTGGACAGGGCAAAGAAGGTGCAGCACGCTTAAGTGGACATGGCCCTGGGTTTTTCATTTATGGTCATTTGGAGATGACCTGGGTGGGTCTGTTGTTATATTTAGCTTGAAAGGACTGTCCTGTTTAACCTTCTATGAACTTACAGGGAAGAAGCTCCGCTGGTGCACGCTTTCCCCCCTGGAGCAGAAGAAATGCTCTGAGCTCTCCAAAGCGCTTCTGTCTGCTTTATCACCTGTCTCCAGCAGCCCTTTTAAGAGGGTTTCTTGTATCCTAGCCCACAACACTTACGACTGTATCAACAAGATTCGGGTGAGTGTCTCAAAATTCCAGGAGTCACTCAAGTCACGAGTTCAGCTTTTGGTACCCAGTAGCCATGGCAGAGCTCCAGACTGCAATTGGGGCATTCTCACTGAGAAGCCCATATTCCTGGACTAAACCTTCTGGGGAAACCTGGAATCGTGAGCCTGAGATGCCTCTGTTCAGGCAGGGAAGTTAAACTTGGTATAGGTTCTCTTGGCCACTATCTCAAGACATTCTGAGTTTTTAATTTTGGAATGTATATTAAATTTATAACCCACTTTTCTGTTTGTACAAGTGCTCCAGTTAGCTTAAAATGGTGAACTACTTAAGTCTCAACTGGCTAGGAGAACAATTAAAGGGGATAAGAAATTGGTGTGAAAATTATTCTAGGACTGTTTCTCATCACATTAGAAAGACTAGAATGAGACCAGGTCCTTTACACTTCACAATTTTCATTGAACATTTGGATGAAGAGGCAGAGTGAGTATTCTGCTGATGTGCTGTTCACACAAGTTGTTCTTTTTGGGGGGGGAGAGGGGGAAGTTACTGGCAGAATAATTTCAAAATTAAACTTTTGAAAAGCAGAAGAGCTCCTAAGAGCAGCAAGGAGAATTTTGCCTTTGTAAATAAATAAACAGCACAAATTACTATTTACTTCTTTGGAGAAACAACTTTATCAGATCATCCCTGAATTGCTGAATTGCTGAGCAGATGACACAGATACTCTGAGGTGTAACTCATTTAGTTGGGGATGCCACCCTTTTGAACATGATATTTAATCATGACAGCATCTCTCATTACCCTGGGATGACAGGGTGGCTGCCTTGTGCTTTGCGACCCTGGGATGCAGTGAACGATGACTGGCTTTCCCTCGGGGCTTTCCCTCAGGGCTGTTAGCATCCGGAATCCAGGAAAGAAACACAAGCGCTTCAGGTTTTTAAGGTGCTCAAGGCTGTTTTTTTGTTTTATGAGCATAACATCTTCCAAGAACCTCAGCTAAGTGCTTCTAAAAAGGTTAAATCAGGGCAACTGAACCAAAGTTTAAACATTTTAATTTTTGCAATACATTTTGGGGAGAAAATCCTGCAGTTGTTATGGCAAAAGTTGGTGCATTCCAGCGACTCTGCCTAACTTAAATTTTTCATTGGGACTGAAGAAGTCACTTGGACGAGTAATGAAATATCTTAGTTTAATAAATTTTGGTCCAGTTGCCATGATTTAACAGACCAACAGCTCATGATTTAACGATTTTAGATGTTTTTGGCCTGGATGATTGAGTCTTCATGTACATAACCAGGTGCTCAAGGTAGTCAGAAGTGGAAGAAGAGGCCTTCCATAATGATGAAGTGGCATGATCACTGGAAAACATGTTACCTGTTATTATATAAGTGTTCCTGCTACATTTGTAAAGGATTAGTGTCCAGATATTGTTGGCTACTAATAAACCATTGCAATACATTGTTATCTGAGATGTTATGCTCAGATAACAAAAAATCAGCATTGAGCACCTTAAAAAACTGAAACGCTTGTGGTTTTTTTCCTGGATTCCTGACGCTAAGCAGCCCTGAGGAAAAGACAGCCATCATTCACTGGTCACCAAGCACAAGACATCCACTGCCTGGATGGTTGAGCAATTCTGAGAGTTGAAGTCCACATCACCAAGGTTGAGAAACATTGGACTATTGTATCGTCCAAATGACATTCTTCTGTAATTAAAAGCAAGATGCCAGATGGACCAGAAGAGCGGGTAGAGAAGAAACTAAAACATTGCTTTAAATCTCTCCCAGGAGAATAAAGCTGATGCAGTTTCCTTGGATGCTGGAGATGTATACTCTGCTGTGAAGCTATATGGCTTGACTGTGGTGGGCAAGGAGATCTATTTGGGAGGTCAGTTACCTTCTTCCCAGAGCCAGTCTTCTTTATTCATATGTGAAGCATCATTACTAAGATTTTATGTGTGGGCATGTACAAACATAAGAACATAAAATTTAAAATGTACAAAAGCCTAATTTAGGCGGTGCATGCCCAGAAGCGTGCAACATTGATTGCATTCTGTTGCACGATCTTAAGAGTTGAGATGACAGGGCACAGGGGGCAAGTGTACATGGGTGTGGTAGTCTGCAGATCGCCACATCCACTGTAGGCAGAAGTCATCCAGTATGCCCATTTATTCAAGGTATCTCAGAGCCAGTGACCAGGGTCCAGAGAAAGTCAAGGAGTCTCCCCATTCAAGGCTCTTGATAGAGGAGGGATTTCTGGGACAGAAGGGTACTGTGAGTTGGATGTTCTGGCCAGGCTTAGTGCTGGAGGAAAAGGTCAGGCAGCAGAGTTTCGTTAGAAAAGAAGCCACGTAGGAAAGTTGCCTTGGGCCACCCTGCCAGGTCTCCTTACCAGGAAAGCTCACTGATGCCACTCAGATTTATACCTAGGCGCTATACCAGGGTGTTTCCTTTTTCAGAAAAGGATTAGAAATTTTAATAAGAGCAATTAGATAAGACAAATTGACATTAAAAAAATGAAAAGTGCAGGAAAAAAAAGAGGGCAAAAAAAGAATGTTTAAAGAAATTGCTTCTGATCTTCTTCATAACAAGCAAACTTCACATTTCTCAACCACCATTAATAATTCTATTACATGAATCACTTCTTCCCAACTCCCAAAACTTAACTATCCACAAATCCAAAACTCATTTAAACATTTCCTTCCAGAAGCAGCAAAAAGTCCATAAAGGATACTCAGAACTTTATAAAAATATTTATTATTTTATCCCTGATGGAACAGGTTGACTTTATATTCTTTTCTTTTGCTCTTAGGAATCTTAATTTTTATTTTATTAAGAAGCTGTCATAGGATTTGATCTCCATCCAAATTTTCTTTCCCGTTACTTGGGAACACAAAGGTGCTTTTCAAAACTTTGGTTCTTCTCTGAAAACATTTTGCAAAACATTTTCAAAGAAAAAAATAAAAGAAGTCCAGTTGCATTTTTAAAAGCACCTTTGGGACAACCATGCCCTGGATGATGAGAATCTCCATAGATATATAGCGATCCCTTTTGGGATGAACACCCTAACATGGGAGTTGCTTCACAAATTTAACAACTCTCACTTGTAAATCCAATAATAAGTCAGATCATTTTTCATCTTTCAGCTTCATCTGTATTTCCATTTTACTTTTTATTTCTGGATTAGAGCCCACAACTTCTATTTTGTTTTCTCTGCATGGGTTGAATTTCTTTTATATCTATCCTGTTGGTCTGTAAATCCTTCACGTTTCTTTAAAAATCCTTTGATTTGTAATACCTTTATCTATCACTTTATGTATCACTGCTAATCATCAAATTCAAAAGCAGGCTTTTCTTTCCTCTGCCTGGGATCATTTCTGTATCGCATAGTCTCTCAAATTTCTTTTGCTTCAGTCTTATCATCTCTTTCCTGAAATGTTAAACATTTCTGTTCCCACAAAGATACTACTTTGTTTTTAAATACTTCAAAAGTCTTGTAGCAAAAGTTATCATATTTCAAATATTAAATAAAATATTTCAAATTTATTTGGTCCCTTAGTTTGTTTCAAACTTTCTTGGATTAAATTCTTACCTAGTTTTTTTTGCCGTTTACTTAAATTATTAATTAATTTTTCCCTGCTTTCTGGAATAAAGGACCATTCACCATAGTTTTTCAGATTTGTGGCTGGGAAGACCTCTTTTAACTTTCAGTTATATTCCAAAAGTGCTTTAAAAATGTGGCTTGATGAACCTCATATCCACATATGCTCCGCTGCAATTGAGAGCTTAATGTAAGGTGACCAATCGTCCTCCTTTAGGGAGGACAATCCTTCTTTTGTAAGTTATGTCCTCTCTTGAAAAGTGTCCTCCTACATGTCCTCCTTTTTGATATTTGAAGACTAATCTGTAAATCTCCGTATTCGATCGATGCCGAGCCAATCGGTTGCGTGTGATGTGACTTATTTGTATTTGACATGACGATTCATCAAGGCTTAGTACAGTGCGGCGAGACGCAATTATGAGACACATGCGCTCCTTAAAGGAGAATTGTTTTGAGAGAGTGTGCTGCACACAAGACTGCGCTGCACGCAAGTGGCTTTGTTTACTTCTTACCAAAAGACGACACGGCATACACGCACAGGGCCTCCTTCTCATTGTAAAAAAGTTGGTCACTTTACTTAATGGCTTCCCTCATCTCCTGCCACTCAAATCCATGAGTTGACTGCTGTCATGTGGTCTCTTCATGAAGAGAAGCCATCTGGAGCACAAGGGGGCAATCACTTGTCCTCTCTTTATCCCGAGAGGTTCCGTAGGATGGGCCTTCTTGAAGGTCCATTGGTCTTGGCCCACCATCGTCTCTGCTTGGAAGTCCACAGAGGGCTTTTCCTCTCACCCCAGAAAATATGAAGTCTCTTCAAATGCAAAGAAAAGTAAGGAGGTAATTGAGCAGAGCTATACCTGTGCTTTATTTTCAAGAACTGGGAAAAAAAGACTCTTGTATAAGGAAAGAATGTTAAAAGCATTTGGCCTCTGGAGTTAACAGGAGGAGCAGTGTATTTACTGGTAGATCCCTCCATACATTGTAAGTAAAGAACTATTTCAGTAAGGCCAAGATTTATTACTTTATTTACACTTTCACCAAATATTATTCACAAAATTCATTGGACAAAAGCCATGGTGTTAGTCATTCTGCTGGAGATGCATCCCAGGTATCACATGACTTGAAATAACTTCTTTCGGGTTGTATTTAAACAGAGAGAAAAAAATACTGCAGAACAGACTGTTTCAAAATGCTTTTGGGTTAGGTTCCTTGTCAATCAGGAGTACCATATTTGATGCAAAAGGCTCCTCATCCTGGGCAGCTTTGTTCTCTACAACTGAATGTTGTTTCCATTCTTAACTTTCTCTGTCTTAGGTAACTGTGTGTTTGCAGTGGCTGTGGCCAAGCGTGGAACGCTGGATCTCCAAAGGCTCAAAGGAATCCGAAGTTGCCATAATGGAGCTAGGTGGACTTCGGGCTGGAACATTCCCATGGGCTTCCTCTTAGCTAGAAGTGATCTGATGTGGGTCTCAGGCCAGCCCCTCAGCCACGGTGAGTGGACAAGAGTTGCCACTTTGTCTGAATCTGGGATTACTTCTCCGTAGGTATGAGGGATGAGGAGCCTTTTGCATCAAATATGGTACTCCTGATTGACAAGGAACCTAACCCCAAAGCATTTTGAAACAGTCTGTTCTGCAGTATTTGCACTCCCCCAGAAGAGTACGTCTTGACTTCTGGACTTTGCCTCTCTTTGGCTGCTACATTGGATCTGGGCCTGTTCGGACTGGAAGTTGGAACGGAATGTCTTTACTTAAGTAAAGAGCCCTGGTGGCGCAGCAGACTAAAGCACTGTTATTAACATCAGCTGCCTGCAATTACTGCAAGTTCAAATCTCACCAGGCTCAAGGTTGACTCAGCCTTCCATCCTTTCTAAGGTAGGTGAAATGAGGACCCGGTTTGTGGGGGCAATAAGCTGACTTTGTATAAAATATACAAAAAGTATGAAGGCTATTGCTTAACGCATTGTAAGCCGCCCTGAGTCTCTGGAGAAGGGCGGCATATAAATCAAATTTAAAAAAAAAAAGTGAATGCTCTTTATCCAAGATAAAGGCTGAGATAAATTTTTCATTTATTCATAATTTCAGTTTCTACAGCAAAGTCATACATAATTCTGGATGCCTAACAAAGATCAGAAACTATACAACAATTAAAACAGAAATAAAATGGCCATTCTCAGTGTATATTTTTAATGATACAAGTAGTTTAGTTTAATTTGGCAAAAAATCTGTCTGTAGATGAGGAACAATAAAGGAAACTGCTTTGAAGTAACTCAGCATGGGTTTTGGAGTCTGACAGATGGGCTATTTAGAGAACATAGCATCAGGAAGATGGATTGCACCACAGTGCGTTGTGTGCCTCATGAGTTAGTAGACAACTCTAGATAAATTGTTTATGTAGCCTGGTCCTTACCTTGAGACCATAGGTGCACTTTGTTGAAATAAGTCCACAAATCCCAGTCATTTGGGCTGCCCTCCATGAAAACAGACACTTACCATACTAGACTTGCCCTTCATGCATATCTGCTTTTCATTCCGCTCTTCTTCTGTTGCCAGCGATCAGTGGTTATTTCAATGCCAGTTGCATCCCTGGTATCGGAGCCACCTATCCTAAGCTCTGTGCTCTCTGCCAAGGGCCGAAGTCGTACATCTGGGACAAGAACCATTTCTGCGAGGCCAGCCATCGTGAACCCTTCTATGGCTCAGAGGGCGCCTTCAGGTGCTCTTGTGTTCACTTGGGTGCTTCCTCGTGATGGCATTAGAAGCCAGGCAGAGCAACTCGTCCACTGACCTCCCTTTCATCTGTGCAGGTGCCTGAAGTTGGGGCTGGCGGAGGTGGCTTTCGTGGATCACCTCACCGTCATGAGTGCGACAGGTAAGCTTTTAGCCCAGGACAGTGTCTGACTTTTGCACTTGATTAAAAGGGACCCTGCACTGTTGAGATCAAATTTCACCCTCTTCTGTTGTATTATTTATTTATATATAAAATTTATTTATTTATAAAATTTATTGGCCGCTCATCTTTCCATGGGGTAACTCTGGGCGGCTTACAGTTACATATACAGTTAAAACATAAAAAGACATTAAAACCAAGGACACCTGGGGAGGGCATGGGCGCTACAGGGGGAGGTGGGATCTGTTGTTACTCGATCAGCCACTTCCATTGCCCTGATCCCCCAGCTGTGCCCAGTGTCTTTTTCATGGCAATAAGGTGATCTTTTATCTTCAACCTAAATCTCTCTTCTTATCACTCTTGATAAGAAGACTGGTCAGGAAGCCATGCCAAGAACCCCAGAAGCCATTGTCTGTCGAGGAGGCCAGGCACCCAGGACCAGGCCAGTTGCTTTGCCCCCTTAGTAACTGAACAAGCTGTGGTCCTTTTGTCCCGTGGTGGGGCGGAGATGGAGGGGGCGGGCTTCTGCTCTGTGGGCTCCACCTTCAGCTTCTGAAACCCTCTTTTTCCTCTTGCAAAGACTTGGAACAGGAGGAGTACGAGCTGCTGTGTCCTGATGGATCCACTGCGCCTTTGATGGCCTACTCTACTTGCAACCTGGGCAACGGACCAGGCCGCGCAATTGTCACACGCCACAACTTGCAGAAGATAGTGAAGAAATTTCTCCAGGTCATTCAGGTATTTCCTGGCAAACAGATGCAGATTCTCATTCTCAAGAAGGGAACTGATTTGAGGCTGGTGCCTGAGGTCCATTCACATACCAGCTGGGAACTCTGGGCATTGAAGTCCAGGCATCTTCAAGTTGCTAAGGTTGAAAGACTGGTTTGCATCATCTCCCCCTCCAAGGGTTTGATGCAAATGTGTTTCCTGTTGCTTAGCTGATGGAAGTGACTCTTCAACACCGTTGCCCTGGCTCCCAAATAATCAGGTGTTTTCCCCAAGGTTTTACAGGAGATCTCAGGGTTGGCTGGGTCTTTCTTCCTCGATCACACCACTGGGTGGATTATATCCTTAGCAAGCTTTGTAGGATGCTTTTCCTCTTGCAATCCCAGATACCTCCGAGCAGCCTTACTGCCCCCCTGGGGAAAGGACGCTTCCTTCGGGAGGCGCACGTCAGCTGAAAGGCACTTGGAAGGATGTGACTGTTAAGGAGGAAGAAATCAGGCTCCAAGGGAGGCAAAGCATGCTGGGATTGATATAAGATTTTAAGCCATGATTCAGAAATAAGAACAGGGAGGTGGCTACTAAATTGATAGCAAACCCCACTCCCCCTCCCCACATTCCCTGCTTCCCCCCACCCATCTTTTAATCTCATTACCGTATTTTCATTGTTTATTTCATTGTTTATTTTGCTGTTTCAATATTTTGCTACTGTTATGTTTACACTTCTTGTCACTTCTTTGTTTTTACTGTTGTAAGTCACCCAGAGTAGCCCCACAGCAAGATAGACAGCAAATAAATTTAACAAATAATAAATAACTGAGGAGACAGAAGCCTGCAGAGAGCAGGAGGGCTCAAGGATTCTTTGTCATAGCTGGGTAGAAGGAGAAATACATTACAACTTTTAGAAGGTTCTTAGACAGAAATTCTGGCTTAAAATAAACTAAGCTAAACGAGGCACATGTCCTTCCAATGTTTAGCAAATAGAACATAAATGCAGACACTTGTTTGCCTTGACCTAATTTAGCTAGCCTGTTATTATAACTGGAGACCAGAGTAAAAGATCTCTGGACCTTCCTATGCAAGTGAGGTGTTGTGATGGCGTTCTGAGGCAGTTCCCCAAGAATGTCACACAACATTTGCTGTGTACTCTCCTACTGACAGGAAAAGAGAAGGTGTAACTGTGGTTGACTGGTAGCCTGGCAGTAGCAAGCTCCAGCTGCTGTGGGGATGTTTTCAAAAGTCTTTCCTGCCTGCCTGCCCACACACAGATCACCATTCCATCGTTCCTGTGCTTCTTCCTGGAGCATCCCCAGAACCAACCTCCTGGAAGCAGGTTTTTGAAATACATAGCACTGAGTAGCACACAGAAGTCCCAGCTGCCCAGAACCAGGTGGCAATGAAGCCAGAAAAACAAACCATAGTTTTGAGGGCATCAGAAGTGTGGTTGGGTATATGTCCTGTTTGAGGATGATTCTACCCCAGAAACCTGTCCCAGTTAAATTAAATCCCCTTTTTGTCTTCCTGCTGCTGGTTTTGGTGATCAGGTGAGCTCCTCCATTAAAACTGCCTTGTGTGGAGGTTCTGGGAACTTGCAGATGGTGCGGTTCTTGGCAGATGCGTCCCCATCCCCTGCCCTGGGTTGTGCCTGCTTGCTGCCTGGGTGCAAGAACTTGTGATAACTGGCTTTGGTTCTTAGCACCTGTTTGGAATCAGAGGAAAAGAAAAGGCCAGATTTGAGCTCTTTGCATCTGCACCGTTCAGAGGGAGGGATCTGCTGTTCCTCGATGCCACTCAGCACCTGCAGCTGCTGGGAGAAGAGACCAAGATCAGCCAAGTTCTTGGCCTGGACTACGTCACCCTCCTGCAGGGTTTGGGACATGAAGGTGAGGGAAGGTGCATTCTCCATTTCCCGGCAACTGGGCAAGGCAGCTTCTCCTCCCACCTCTGATTGTCATTTTTCTGCTGTCCCAGGGAGCTCTCTGTCCAACAGCCTGGTGCGCTGGTGCTGTATCAGTGACCTGGAGCTCCGTAAATGTGAGGAATGGGCTCTGAATGTCAGGACTGACCCCCTGGTCTGTGTCCAAGCAGACTCCATGATCAGCTGCATTGAGCTCATCAAGGTGAGGAGCAGGGGTGAAATGTAAAATTTGTTACTACCTGTTCTGTGGGCGTGGCTTGGTGGGGCGGGTAATGTGACTGGGTGGGTGTGGCCAACTTTTTAAAAAAAACTTTTCAAAGCATTTTTTCTAATGCTTTGAAAAGCCTCTGCCGATCAAGCAACTCAGCTGGGATCGTCAGAGAGGCTTTTTAAAAAATATCTCTCTGCTGATCAGGCAACTCAGCTGGGATCACCAGAGACTTTTCAAAGCATTTTTTTTACCGCTTCTTCGGCCAAGAGGTTGCAGAAAAAAAATGCTTTGAAAAACCTCTGATGATCCCAGCTGAGCCGCGCAATCGTTTTTTAACTTTTCAAGGCATTTTTTTTACCGCTTCTTCGGCCAAGAGGTTGCAGAAAAAAAATGCTTTGAAAAACCTCTGATGATCCCAGCTGAGCCGCGCAATCGTTTTTTAACTTTTCAAGGCATTTTTTTTACCGCTTCTTCGGCCAAGAGGTTGCAGAAAAAAAATGCTTTGAAAAACCTCTGATGATCCCAGCTGAGCCGCGCAATCGTTTTTTAACTTTTCAAGGCATTTTTTCGTCGGAAGAGGTGGTAGAAAAAATGCTTTTCATAGTAAAAAAAAGCCTCTGATGATTGTGCGGCTCAGCTGGGCATGGAGGGGGGGGCAGGGATTTTTGCTACTGGTTCTCTGAACCACCTGCCGCCATCGCTCCCGGATCGGGCGATCCGATCTGAACCAGGAGCATTTCACCCCTGGTGAGAGGTTTCTTCAAGAGACACGATTTCCTGTGAGAAAAATGGCTTAAAATGGAGGCGGGAGGGAGAGATCCAAGCAGTTCCCCAACAGAACTATGGCCTAACATACCCTAAAGAAATTACTGGGCTTTCCCCCCTTTTTTTGTTTATTTATTTAAGAAAATTGCTATGGCAGCACAACTCACTCTCAGTGATTCTGGGCAGCTTACAAAGAATAAAGCCCCAATGCAAAAAGCAATACCCCCCCTCCTCTGGTGACAATAGTCATATGAGCAACTTGATGGTCTCCCTATCATCCCGGCGCCTCCAGGTCCACTGTCAGAACCACATCTTCAGGGCTTTGCAAAAGAGTGTCAAATTGGGGGCTAATCCTGTCTCCGGGGATGATGCTCAACAGGAAGGGAGCCACCATAGAGAAGGCCCTTCTTCTTAGTCCTCCTAAATGGAAAGGGGAAGAGGACCCCAAACATTCCCTGCCTCCCCACTCTAGTGGGCTGGGCAGATATGACTGGGAAAAGGCGGTCCTTCAAATAACCTGATCCCAAGCCATGGTGGCCTTTTTATCAAAGTTGCATGGAGGAGGGGTGTGGACTCAGACGAGATGCCTATTCAAAGGACCCCACCTCTATGCCTGAGAGACTGGCTCACGGGACCCTGCTAGGGTTAGTTGATGCAGGCGTGCAATGAATTGTGGGTTTTGAGTGATGGGAGGAAAGGTAAGCACCTGCTCACCATGTTTGCTTTCAGTCCTGGGTTTTACAAGCAGAAACCTGGTCCCAGTAGCCAAGCAGAGGCAGGCAGAGACTTTGGAGCAGAGGGAGAAGCTGAAACTTTTGATTCATGCCTGGCACTAAGTCAGCAGGGAACCTACTGAGTGGAACTGCATCAGACACACGGGCAGAGCTGGTTTGGGAAGGGTGGCGTTGGAGGTCCTTTTCGTTTTTCACTGGATATACTTATTTTACTTGGACCTTCCACATCAAAATGGCGGAAACTATATTCTTTATTCAATGACCATATTTGGGGAGCTCAGCGAGCCAGAAAGAGCGGTCCTTTGGGGAACATGGCCCTCTGCATGAAGGCTTTGGGTGATTTGTTTGAGGCATAGCATAATATTAGTCCAACAATTACAGCTCATGAACGGTGAATTATGGTTCTGCATGTTTTGTGAACCCAGCCAATTGTGGCTTATTTAAATATGCTTAGATAAACTGTGACTTAAAATAATGTACCAATCCTGCCCAAGAAATGACGTGACATTCTAAGATTCTGCAAGCAAGTTTGGCTTTCCATTTCCCTTTCTGAGACCCATTATTTTCCTACTTGATTCCGGCTGGAAAAAGTTGTGGTCCCAACCAGACGGTCCCGTCTTGCATGAGCGGTTTTTCCGTTGAAAAGGGCAGGTGTCTCTCGGCTAACCGAATGGTTCTTCACATCACAGAAAAACGAGGCAGATGCTGTCACACTGGATGCCACCCATGCATATTTTGCGGAGACCTGCGCGCTCGCCCCTGTGGCTGCAGAGTGTTACAGTAAGGTTTGATTTTCATTGAAACCGTAAGTAGGAAAATGAAACGCCAGGTATGCCCTTGGAAGCGGTATGGTCCAGGCGATGGGGAAAAGCCCATTGGAGCCTCTGGGGAGCAAAATCCGGATGACATCAAATGTTTAGTCTTTCAAAGCATCCGTTACAAAGACAGGGTCAGTTTAAAGTCTGTGTGGGATGGGGGAGCTGCCATTATGCTTACAAATTAAAAAGATGAGGCATGCAAGGGAAGGCTGGCTGGGAAGGATGCAAACTGTAATACAAAACAACCACGCAGCAACTATGTTTTGTCACAGGTTACTTCTTTGTGCTTGACAGAGAAGCCAGAGGTCTCCCATAAGGCCAGATTGCTCAAATCCTGGGCCAGAAGATCCCAGCCCAGTCACTGTGTGGCTCTCATATGTGAGGGAGAAGGCCATTTCCTTCCTGAGCGCAAACTTGTGACATTGTCGGTTTTTTAACTCGCTGCTTTTGCCTGGTGAGCCCTAGAGAGTGGCTCTTCATCCTTCTGTCTCTTCTGCACAGGAGAAGAATGTGCTCCCACAAGGGAGGAACCCGACCTGTTGACCCACGTTGGGGGTAAGTGGGAGTGAGCATAAACACAGGAAGTGCTGTGGGTGGAAGCACCTTGAGCGGTGCTTTGGCAGATGGTTTGTCCTGCTCTGATGCTCTCTTGCTATAGGCTGATTGACATATTTCAGAATTAAGGAAAATAACATTTAAAGGCCAGCAGTAGAAAATCTGATCTCTGCAAAATAGTTGTTTATTTGAGCCACCAGGAAGGCCTCACATGATGCCACCTTGAAGGGGAGGGCAGATTCTTATGTAAGATCCGGTCTCAGGGTCTCTGTTCCCACAAAGACTCTTCATCTTGAGATTGTGGCATCAATGTTAGAATGCCCTCTATTGAGGGCTTTTCCATCAATACGCTGAGTGGGAGGGGCAGGTATGGCGGGAGCAGGGGGGCCGCATCATGTGGTGGGGGCACGCGCTCGCTATCTCCGAGCGATTGCGTGCCCCGGTCCCCTTAGCTCTTCCCGTTCCTCAGGCTGCTTAGAGTCTCAGGGCCCGAGTTTCCGGCTGATGTTGTGTAATGCCAGGTCCGTAGTAAATAAAGCCCCCCTCATTTGTGATCTTATTCAGGAGGGGGGAGCGGACCTGGCAGGTATTACGGAGACCTGGTTGGGCCATGAGGGGGGGGTTCCCCTCGTGGAGATGTGCCCATCAGGCTTCCGTGCATTTCATCAGCCGAGAGCTCAGGGCAGGGGCGGGGGGGTGGCGGTCATTATAAGAGAGGGTCTTGATCCGAGGGAGACCACTGTGCCTCAGATAGCCGGATGTGAGTCCCTTTTCGTGAAGTGGGGTCGTGGGGTGCAGATGGGTCTGTTGATCACGTACCTGGCTCCCTGCCACGTGGCGACGACCCTGCCCGAACTCCTCAATGTTATAGCCGAGGTGGCGGCTGATACCCCCAGACTTCTGGTCATGGGGGATTTCAACTTGCCATCCATTGGTGAAACTTCTGAGGTAGCTCGGGAGTTCATGGCTTCCATGACGGCCATGGACCTGACCCAAGTAATTCACGGCCCTACTCACATGGGGGGACACACTCTGGACTTAGTTTTTGTCTCTGGTCAGTGGTTGAGTGGCCTTGATATAGGGGATATAGATACTGAACCCTTGTCATGGTCTGACCACTCGCTCCTTCGACTTGACTTTCTGACCGCCGCACCCCGTCGCAGGGAGGCGGAGCCGACCAGGTGGTTCCGCCCCAGGCGCCTGATGGATCCTGATAGGTTCCAGATGGAGCTTGGGCCATTTCCTGAAACTCTAGCTCACGACTCGGCTGATGACCTGGTGGCCGCCTGGGATAGTGCGGCTGCCGGGGCTTTGGACCGGGTCGTGCCTTTGCGGCCTCTGACCCGGCACCGAACTCACTTAGCTCCTTGGTTCTCCGAGGAGCTGAGAGAGATGAAGCGCCGGAAAAGACGCCTAGAGAGCGGTTGGAGGGCCAGTCGTTCCGAATCCGACTTGACACTGGTAAGGTCTCATATTAAGACCTACCTAGTGGCGATAAAAGCGGCGAAATCTAGCTATTTTGCCGCTCTTATCGCGTCATCAGATAACCGCCCAGCCGCCCTGTTCAGGGTGACCCGCTCCCTTCTCCATCTGGGAGCGCGGGAGGACCCCTTGCAGGGCCGAGCTGAGGATTTTGTACAGTATCTGGATGATAAAATAACTCAGATTCGGGAAAACTTGGCCACTGACTGGGTTAGTTCAGACGAGATGACTGAGGCAGGCCTTGAGAATGTTATCTGGGAGGAGTTCGATCCTGTGGCTCCCGAGGACGTGGACAGGATCTTGGGACGGCTGAACGCCACCACATGTTTATTGGACCCGTGTCCCTCCTGGTTGGTGCTGGCTTCCCGGGAGGTTACACGAGGCTGGCTCCAGGGAATTATCAACGCTTCTTTGAGTGAGGGTGTCCTGCCGGCCGCCTTGAAAGAGGCGGTGGTGAGGCCTCTCCTCAAGAAGCCATCCCTGGATCCGGCTGTTTTGGCTAACTATCGTCCAGTCTCCAACCTTCACTTTATTGCGAAGGTTGTTGAGAGTGTGGTGGCGCGACAGCTTCCACAGTACCTGGATGAAGCTGTCTATTTGGATCCGCTCCAGTCCGGTTTCAGACCTGGGTACAGCACGGAAACGGCATTGGTCGCGTTGGTGGATGATCTCTGGAGGGCTCGGGATAGGGGTTACTCCTCTATCCTGGTCCTGTTAGACCTCTCAGCGGCTTTTGATACCATCGACCATGGTATCATGTTGCGCCGGCTGCAGGGACTGGGAGTGGGGGGCACCGTTTTGCGGTGGTTCTCCTCCTATCTCTCCGACCGGTCGCAATCCGTGTTGACAGGGGGGCAGCGGTCGACCCCGAGGCGCCTTGTTTGTGGGGTGCCACAAGGGTCGGTCCTCTCACCCCTCCTGTTCAACATTTATTTATTAATTTTATTTATTAATTTAGTTTGTATACCGCCCTTCTCCCAGAAGGGACTCAGGGCGGTGAACAGCCAAAATTAAAAAACATACAAATGCAAAAGTTAATATAATTAAAAGATTCACATTTATGTGAAGCCGCTGGGTGAGATCATCCGTGGTTTTGGGGTGGAGTTCCATCAGTACGCTGATGATACTCAGCTGTACATCTCCACCCCAGACCATCCCAACGATGCCTTGGAAGTGATGTCCCAGTGCCTGGAGGCCGTGCGGGTCTGGATGGGGAGAAACAGGCTCCGACTCAACCCTTCCAAGACCGAGTGGCTGTGGCTGCCGGCGTCCCGGTATAGCCAGCTGACGCCATTGCTGGTTATTGGGGGTGACTCATTGGCCCCCACGGAAAGGGCCCGCAACTTGGGCGTCCTCCTGGATGCACGGCTGTCCTTAGAAGGGCATCTGACGGCCGTGGCCAGGGGGGCTTTTTATCAGGTTCGCCTGATACGCCAGTTGCGCCCCTTTCTGGATCGGGACTCCCTACGCACAGTCACTCAAGCACTCGTCACTTCTCGTCTGGACTATTGTAACGCTCTCTACATGGGGCTCCCCTTGGGGTGCACCCGGAGGCTCCAACTGGTGCAGAATGCGGCCGCGCGGGGGATTATGGGAGCGACTGGGCGCTCCCATGTGACTCCTCTCCTGCGCGAGCTGCATTGGCTTCCGGTGGACTTCCGGGTGCGCTTCAAGGTGTTGGTGACCACCTTTAAAGCGCTCCATGGCTTACGGCCGGGGTACTTACGGGACCGCCTTCTGCCACCAATTGCCTCCCACCGGCCAGTTCGCTCCCACAGAGAGGGCCTCCTCAGGGTGCCGTCGGCTAGACAATGCCGGCTGGCGACCCCCAGGAGGAGAGCCTTCTCTGTGGTGGCACCTACCCTTTGGAACAATCTACCCCCAGAGATACGAGTGATCTCCGACCTCCGGACCTTTCGTCGGGCCCTAAAAACTCATCTCTTTCAGTTAGCTGGTCTCTCTTGATTTTATGATTTTATGGTTGGTTTTAAATTTTGATATGGATTTTAAATTGATAAATTTTAAACTATGGGCCAAATTTAATTATTTTAAATCTATTTTTAATCGTATTTATGTATAAATGTTTTTATTTTGGCTGTTCACCGCCCTGAGTCCGAAAGGAGAAGGGCGGTATAGAAATTCGAATAATAATAAATAATAAATGCCCATTTGCACTTTGTAGAGTTTAAAAGATTTCCTAGTCTAGTGTTTTTTTTTTAAAGTATTGCTTTTAACGCTGATTTCAAAGGTACCCTATGTTTTCTCTACGCTCCTTTCATTTGTGCTGACAAGTAATGTTCTCTGAATGAAGTAAAATAAACAGCAATAAATGTGGAATATATGGAAAAGTAGTACAGTTCTTTTTGAGAGAGTTCAGGCCGCACAGACTTTCTCTCTCCTCTTCTGCCAACTAGCAAAGCTGCCCTGTGCAATGTTCATGGTTATGGCAACTGAAAGCATTTTCTAGAGTTACAAAACTATTGCTGTTCTAAAGTAATATGTGAATAGCCTTTCTATCACTTCAGTAAAAGCAGGTAAGTGCTAGGGCTGCAGGGGTCTGCAATCTTAAACACTCAAAGAGCCATTTGGCCGCATTTCCCACAGAAAAGAAAACACCAGGAGCCACAAAATCTGGGTGGGCGTGGCCAACTCAATGTCACTCCCACCCAGTCACATGCCCCCACCCCCCTGCCACGCTTCCAGTGTTTTCTGTAGGAAATGGGTCTCTCTCTTTCTCTTCTCTTCTCTCTCTCTCCCCCTCTCATTTCTGTTTTTTCTCTTTTTCCTCTCCCTCTCCCCCCTCTTCTTTTTCTTTCTCTTTCTTCCTTTCTCTCCCCCTTCTCTCTCTAATTTGTTTCCCTCTCTTTTTCCTCTCTCCCATTCTCTCCCTCCATCATTTTCTCATTTCTCTTTTTCTCTCTTTTTCTCCCCTTTTCTCTCTCTCATTTCTCTCTTTCTCTTATCTCTCTCTCTCTCTCTCTCGCACTCACACAAGCAGGATACCCTCCTGGGCTGGGATCACGGCAGCGACAGTGACTCGTCCTTTCGCTGCCGCCACTGCACGCTCAGGTGTGTAGCTGGCTGCGCTGCACAGGAGAGCTGGAGCTCTTCCCTCCCTGCATCTGGTGGCGGTGGCTGCTTCTCCCTGTTGCTCTCCTTCCTGAGCCGACACGAAGGGGACCATGGCTGGTGCTGAGCTGCCTGCAAAGGACACGGAATTGCAAAAAGCAGCCAGTCACGGGCAGTGCGGAGAAAACATTAGGGGCGCTTCAGCCATGCGGCTCTGCAGAGAGGCTCGCACCTTCTCAGGGCAGAGAACAGGTTGCGCGACCGGGTCCGCAGGGAGCTGCTGGAGAAGGGTCAAAGAGTCACATGTGGCTCTGGAGTCATGGATTGCTGACACCTGTGCTAGGGAAATGTAAAATAGCCGCTCCAGATAGACCCAAATAAGAGAATCAACTCAAGAAGATTAAGGCTATTTTTATTGAGAGTGGCCCCCGTAATAGAATCTTGCAAGTGTGATTGTACCGTATCTCTTCCTCCTTCAATACCTCCTGGTATTGAATATGGCCTGGAATATGGGGCAAAAAGATAGCAGAGCTTGGAATGTCTGGCAGACAGGAAGAGAGTAAGGATGGACTAGCAGTTAAATAGATAATTGCTTTAGTTTGGCACGATTCTGTCTGTAGGCAAACAACAATAAAACTAAATTACTTCACCAGTTGTTCTTGGTTATTTGAGCCTTATTTGGTTATTAGGGAAGGGTCTAGCTTTTCCAATTTTTTTCTGTCTGCTGTAGACTTCATATGTTTCACCCCTTATTGTTTTGGTAACAGATCCTGCATATCTCACCTTCCTCATTCTCTCCAGAAACGGACTGTCTCTCCTTAAAAACCAATCTAGTTTTCTCCAGATATATGAGACCTCAGCTTTTAGCATTTTGGCTGGGAATTTTGGGAATTGAATCCAAGCATGTTGGAAGTTGGATAAAGCTCTTTCTTGCCATGGCAAAGTCTCTGGGTTCTCCAGTGTCTAGTGTTAGTACTGCTTTATTCTGCTTTACTTAGACCACACTTGCAATCCTTCATCCAGTTTTGGTCATCACAATATGAAAAAATGTTGAGACTTTGGAAAGAGTTCAGAGAAGAGCAACCAAGATGGTTAGGGGGCTGGAGGCTAAATCATATGATGAATGGGTAAGGGAACTAGGTATGGTAAGCCCAACAAAGAAAAGGATTAGGGGTGACATGATAGCCTTTTCTAATATTGAAGGGGCTGCCACAAAGAAGAGAGGGTCAACCTATTCTCCAAAGCACCTGAGGGCAGGACAAGAAGTAACATGAAACTTAAGAAAGAGAGATCCAATCTAGAACTAAGGAGAGGTTTCCTGACAGTTAGAACAATTAATCAATGGCTTGCCTCCAGAGGTTGTGAGTGTTCCATCGCTAGGGTTTTTCAAGAAGAGATTGGACATCCATTTGTCTGAAATGGTATAGGGTTCCCTGCTTGAGCAGGAGGCTGGACTAGAAGACCTCTAGGGTCCCTTCCAACTTGTTATTCTATTCTGTTCTGTTCTGTTTTCTATTGTATTGTATTTTGTTGTGTTATAATATATCATATTCTATACTCTACTCTACTCTACTCTACTTTACTCTACTCTACTCTACTCTACTCTACTCTACTCTACTCTATTCTATTCTATTCTATTCTATTCTATTCTATTCTATTCTATTCTTCTTCTTCTTCTTCTTCGGCTGCCTCATGGTAACAGTATGTTCTCGCAATGCAGGTCTTCCTCCACTCTACTCCGTAGCCCTGGTGAGAAAGGCCAACCAGCAAGTGAACCGATACGCCCTGAGGAGAAAGCGCTCCTGCCACAGCCATGTGTACAGCCCAGGAGGGTGGCTGCTGCTTTCACAGTACACAGTTGGGGCCCTGGAGAACGGCAGCAGCGCCTGCAACCTCACCTCTGGTAAGCCTTCCCGTCTGCCTAGCGAAGAGTTTGATTCAAGAAGAGAGCTTCCTTGTGGGTAGGAATAAGATATTTTGAAGGTGTCAGGATTGGGGGGTCAAAGGATTCATGACCCACAATAGGCACAGCAGGAGCTCAAGGAGGCAGCATCTGTTGGACTTGAGAAACAGGACAGATTTTGAGATGAGCTTCCCAACAGATCTTCCTATGAACAGATCTGCTCGATTTCAGCAAAGCCCTCTTAGTCCACCAGTTTGTTTCTCTCAGTGGCCAGACAGATGTCCAGAGTGGTAATATAAGAATATTACAAGCTTGGGTGCCTGTTTTACTCATGTTGTACTTCATCTTTAACCACCTGGGCAGATTTTGCAAAAGATCTTCCTGATTATGGATTTCCAAAGTAGACTGGTTGCTTTTTTAGTGAGAAAACAACTTCATAGAATAACTCTGGTTCCTAAGGCTCAAACGGAGCAGTCAGATGAGGCTTTTCAGCCTGTCAAACCCATAACACCCAAGAGCTGAAATTTAAAAAGAGTTGGCTCAGTTGTTGTGGGTGGGAGGGGAAGAATAAAATTTAGCACACCTTTCTCATGCTCCTCCTGAGCAATCAAGGGGGAAGGCATGGTTCACGTACCGATTACCTCTTTTAGTTCAAGGTTAGAGCGGTGTAAAATAGCTTTGTGACCAATCCTTGCATTTATGACTATTGCCGCATCCTGCAGCTGTGTGATGGCCATTCGGTGCTTTGCAATTGGCTAGCAACAAACAGCAGCGAAAGTCAAATTGATAACTCCGGCACCTTGCTTAAGGACTAAAGGGGAAGTAAGGCCATAAGCACTCATATGATTTTCTGCTTAGTGACCACAGTGCTTAGCATCCCTATTTGTTGGTCCCAACTGCAGTTGCTAAGCGAGGACTCCCTGTACAGTAAAGATCGCAAGCCACTGGTCCCTGTACTCTAGCATTTTGTGCCGCCCAGTCAGTGGCAGAGCAGCGGCATCTGGAAGGGTCAGGGACACGGGGGGGGGGGGGGAGGATGGAAGGGGAAGAGTTCCTCCATTCTTGTTCTCCAGGTGCTGCTCAGCAGAGGTTATGCTGCCTGCAAACCTGGAGGCGCTGAGCAGTTACCCAAATGGTAGCAATGATGCTTTCCTGTACACTGCCTCCCACCCCTCCCTGATTTTGCACTGTAACCAGAACATGGGGAAAGCCCCCTCTGCTAATATTCTAAGAAACCAAAGTTCACTTTTTCTTACTTTGCAGTGCTGCCCACCTTGGCTGGCTGGTTTGTCTATGTGCAGTGTGCAGTAAATGGAAAACCAGCATCGCATAATTCCGCTGAGTAACCACTGCCCTTTTCCCTTCTCTCAAAGCATACCAGAATTTTTTTTGGAAAGGCTGCATGCCAGGAGCTAGTGGAAATCTGTGCAAAGTGTGCATTGGACAAGAGGGGAGAGTCAAAGGGTCCTCCAAGTGTGCAGCTAATCATCATGAACGGTACTATGGCAATCTGGGGGCCCTCAGGTGAGTCATCCTGGAGAAAAAGTTTCACTTCTTAGTAAAATATCACTATGGGCCATGCCTTAAGGGCTAGGAGTTTCCTGACTTTGGGCCTTGTGATTTTTTGTGGGGTTTTCAAAATTCCTTTGGATACAAGCCCAAGGAGAGACATTTTGGCACAGTTGTTTTATCTTCCAGATGCCTCTTGGGTGATCCCACTGGCAGAAGCTTTGGTGATGTGGCTCTCTTGGAACATCATAACCTACTTCAGAACATTGAATGTAAGATATTTTGTGTTATCTTTTCAGATTTTAGTAAGTTGCCTCATGAAAATCTTCAGGTTAAATTTCCTCGAGGGTGTCAAACCTTGGAAACATGAGGACTTGTGAACGTTGACTCCCAGAATTCCCCAACCAGCTCTATCAAAATGCTTAATTACAGGTGGCCAAATGGAAGAATTGAGGCAGGGTAGAAAAGGGAAGCTACAGCCCGTCTTCTCCTTTCCCAATGAGCTCATTGTAATCCAGTATGGCAGAGCCAGGAGATTCCTGTCGTCAGGAGAGAAAAGAAGAATTGGAGATGAGGGGCTGGGCTTTTACTGTGGGGCCCCTGGACATGTAGCCAGTAACAGCACCAGGGACGGTCACAGCAAGAAGATGGAGCACTTGCAAATCAACAAGCACAAAGCCAGCAAGTATCCAGTTAGACGGGGAGACATCGGCTTAGAATGCATGCTACCAAGAATAGCTGCAGACTTGGAAACCGACTGAGTCCAGAGAGAATCTGCCTTTGACTCTGTGTGGCATTTCCCTCGATGGAGCGGCTCTGCAGTTTGAGGGTCCTCCTGGATTTACCTGGATGTCTGCTTTTTCCCCCCACACCTACTTTTCACACCTCGATTGATTTTTGACTAGGAATCTTTTCTTTTCCTTGGCACTTCCATGTTCAGTGCTCAAAAAATCAGCAAATGATCATATTATTTGGTGAGATTTGGTGAGAAAATGTTGTGATGCTGAATAGTTCAAGTTGGTTATTTTGTTCCTTGCAGTTCTGACTAGCTCAGGATGGGCCACCGGCTACTCTCCCGGAGATTTTGAACTTCTTTGCCCAGACGGGAGCCGAGCAGCCATAACGGCTTGGAGGACCTGCAACCTGGGCTGTGTTCCTCCCAGTGTTGTGGTGACTCGACCAGTGACTGTCACTAAGGTCCAGGATTTCCTGGCAAAGGCCCAGGTAAGCTTGACATCTGACTGAAGGCATGTCAAGATTATCATTTAGTGTGATGCGTGCAGGTCTGGTCTGTTCATCTTCCCGCACTTTTATTTCCATCAACTGCATCATCTTGGGGGCAGAGTTAATTCAGAATATATAGATACAGATTAACAAAGGGATCTTGTAGGTCATCTAGTCCAACCCCCAACCCAAGCAGGAGACCCTACACCATTTCTGACAGGTGGCAGTCCAGTCTCTTCTTGAAAGTTTCAAGTGATGAAGCTCCCACAACTTCTGAAGGCAACTTCTCTTCCATGGGTTGATTGCTCTCACTGTTGGAAAATATTGCTTAGCGCATTGTAAGCTGCCCTGAGTCTCCGGAGAAGGGCGGCATATAAATCAAATAATAATAATAAAAATTCCTCCTCATTTCCAGGTTGAATCTCTCCTTGGTCAGTTTCCATCCGTTATTCCTTGTCTGGCCTTCGGGTGCTTTGGAAAATAGCTTGACCCCCTCCTCTCTGTGGCAGCCCCTCAAGTATTGGAAGGCTGCTACTGTGTCTCCCTTGGTCCTTCTCTTCACTAGATTAGCCAGGCCCAGTTCCTGCAACTGTTCTTCCTATGTTTTAGCCTCCCTCATTTGTTTTAGCTTTAGTTCTCTCTCATCAACCCCGTGAGAAGCAGCCAGTCTTTGGAGTCCGTTCTTGGCTGCAGTGACGGACTGGAGGAGAGCCAGGAAGTCCACTTCCAATGAGGTGGAGGCTTTGATGTGGGCTGAGCTGGTGCCTGCAGGGGTTCCTGGCTCAGCCTTTCTCTTCCAACCAGGGTAGGCCTCCTGCTCTTTTCCAGGGGCAGCATCTGGAGAGAGTCAGGAGTTAGCACTGCTGGCAGCCCAGTTGTGGAAAGAGCTGCTCAGAGTTGGCCAGAGGCTTCTTTTCATTCTTCCCGCCTGTAAATGTTTGGTCTTATTGATGTAACTGTTTTAACAAACATTTCAAAGGACAAATTGGGCACCTCAACTGCAAACAAAAGAAAAAAGGAAAATAGTCCTCAGCTTATGACCACAATTGAGACTGAAATTTCAGACATTAGGGAGTTATGGTTGTTAAGCTAGTCATCACTCATGTTTACCTCGGTCATTAAGTGAATCACCATCATCATTAAGCAAATAATATTGCCCTGAAGTGAATCCATGGCCATTAAGTGAACCTGGCTACCCCTGTAGACTTTGCTCCTTGGAAGCTGGCTGGGAAGGTCACGTGACTGCCGGATGCTGCAACCATAAATGCAAGTTGGTGACCAAGGGCCCAAATTGCAACCGTGTGACTGTGGGATGATGCAACAGTCATCAGTCTGAAGACAGATCACAGTTCACTTTTTCAGTGCTGTCGTTAACTTTGAATGGTTTTAAGGCGATAATTACTTGTAGTGCTTGCAATTCAGTGGTTGAAATGACAACACACACACACACACACACACACACACAGAGTTATTTCATTGCATAGAAGTTGTGACTATGCACTTGCATCCTGACCTGAGTACACAAGTTGCAATATTAGTGTGATGAGTTACTAGTGTGACAGTGTCATCCACCCCCCTTAGTTTAACTAGCAAAGAAAAAAAGACTCCTGGCTCGTTTCTTTTGCCAAGAGTAGACTTTGTGAGAACAAAGCGCTTACAGGTGAGATGGGCAGAATTTGTTGTCTTGGCGGGAAAACAATGCAATTAACTTTCCCCTTTTCCCCTGGCCACCCTCCCCCACTCCCCCCCCATTGTTTGTTTGTGTCTTTCTCACCTCCACATTCCTTTGGCTGCCCTTGTGCTTGACTGGTGCTCCCCACAGTCAGGGCCGGCTCTGCTTCAAACCCAACCCTCAACCCCCCCAATCTCTCCCCCTCCCACCGTTGCCGATGTCAAGCTGGCAAAAGATGCAATGCGAAGCAAGCAGCAGAATGACCTCTATGACAACATCCTATGCAGTCCACCTGTTCGCCTCCTCTACACCCCCCCCGCCCCCCAATATCAACAGGCTTTACTGGCAGTCCCTGCTCTCCAGTTTGGCCTCTTTCCTTTCAGGAATCAAGTAAGAACAGCCGTTTTCAGGTCTTTGAGTCACTGAGATATGGAGGAAGTGACCTGCTCTTCAAAGACGCTACTCAAGGCCTCATCTTCACAGGCCAGTTGGACTTCAAGTCGATTCTTGGGCAGTCTTTCTTTCAGCTTGCTCAATCCGTCTTCAGCTGCACCTCTGCAGGTAACCTGTCCTTGTGAAGGAGACGGGTGCCAGGCTGGCCCCTCAGCTCAAACTCCCCTTGTCTCTCTTGTCTGTGTGGTGTTGATGCATTGAAAGACACCAGAGACTTGGCCCAGTAGAATGAAATCATTCAGGGGTCTCCAAATGTGGCACTTCAGCTCCCAGAATTCCTCAGCCAGCTCTGATTTGCTCCATCCAGAGAAAGTAAAGCCATTCACACCAAAACCAAATTCTAGTGTTTATATACTTAGGTTATTTAAGGTAGCTATATAAGAATAGAAACTAAAACATGTACCTTAACTCTATGCTTTGAGCCCTAAAGTTGAGGAGTCCTACTGTAGTACCTAGTTTGGGTGAAGAAGCATCTGCAAGAAAGCAGCCAAGCTCAGAGACCACCAAGGATCCCACAGTTCAACCCTCAACTAAAAATGTTTTCGTTTATCGGTAAAAAACAGCTTGACAGGATCTTTGAGTTCCTAGATTAAATGGATTTGGAGTTGGTGGTGAACGTGAAACCTCCAAGGACTGGCAGGAAAATTGGAAATCAACTGTTGTCTCCACAATAGCTCCTAGTTCATACCTGGCAAGGTTGAATACTTTTGTTGAAGGACACTATCGTGGGAGGCAATAGGAGAAAGAACCTTCCTCCTGACCCACTTTTTGAGGCTGGAGCTCCTACCGCACATGACTCAGCTAGAGCCCACCTGTCCCACAGCCTCAGTGGACCAGTGGGCCCTGCTGTCTTCCATCCCATGTCAGGGATGGTACAGCTGGTCCTCCAAGATATCTGAGGTCCTGAATTAAAACATTGAGATTGATGCCGGGAGAATTGAATTCTGCCCTCTGATAAAATGCTTTTTCAAGTAGCTGAGATTTTGAAGAAATTTAAATGATGCACAAACGTATCTGTCTGCTTAATCTGCTGTGTGCTTAATCATCATCGTGGGGGACCTGAGTTAGGGGCCCTCTCGGATGCCACGGTGAGCACATTTCCCTTGGAGACATTTAACACTGCCGTTTTTGGTTTTCAGGTATCCTAGACTTTTGCGAACTGGATACTTGTACCTCTTCCACACAGCCTTGAAGTTATCCAGAGAAGCTCCCGCCAACTATGCCAGCTAAAAGAAGAGGGAGACACTTAGACAAGCTTTTACTGTCATCGATTCTGGTTTATGGAATTTCCCCATTTTCTTATCCAGCGTCCAAGTGTCCTTCAGCATCTATTGGAAAATCCGTTTTTGAATCTATCCTACTGATACGTTAGCCAATGGAAGGCATTCATGCAATGGATTAACTCTCACTCCCCCTCCCCTCCATCTCTAGGATACACAATCCCAACCAGGTTTTGACTGCACCTGCCACCTTTTCAGCGCTACCCTGTCTGTCCTCTGCCTTCCATCAGGAGAGAGAGAGGCTGGTTTGGGAACTCCTGCATCTCCCTCTGGTTGCTTCCCATCACTTCTGCATTCAGAATTGATTTGTCCATTTTTTCTGAGTCAAAATTCCATCTGAATTGAAAAGAACTGGTTGAGACAATGGCACAGCTCCAATTTCCCCAGTCCCTGGCAAGAAGCCACCTTGGAACCCCAGGAGCTGTTTCTCTGGCTTTAGCAGGATGTAACAGCTGGGACCCTCCTCTTAATCCTCCCCTTGACCGAAGAAACATCCCAAAGTTTATTCCAAGGACACACTAAAGCTTTTTGTTGTCCAGCTGCTCTAAACACAAATGCATCTGCCTCAGTGATGAGCCCCCCCCCCCAAACTGAGCCAGGTTACTAGCAGCTTTATGGCCGTGTCCTCTGCTGAGCAACCATGTGGGCACCGTGCCACTCGCCTTTGCTTTCTTCCTAGGCTGGTTGATAACAGTGGGATTTCTTGGAGGTGTTCCCTCCTGAGGTCAGTCAACATGGTCAGCAATTGCAGGGGGTATTAATTTTATAGCGCTGTTCCCCCTCCACCTGAAAAAACAACCCAGCCCTTTCTAGATTCTGCACCCGGTGTAATAGTTCAGCTAAATAAACAAGGCTATCTCCAGATCACTGCACAGCCAAGAATTTCTGAGAGGTCCCTGGCACATTAGAGGGGTGACATTTCTGTGGTAGCTTACAATAGCTAATGGGCTCTGTAATAAAGTTTGCAGAAATGGTACTTGTACTTTACAACTAGGAGAGAGAACTATCAGGTTGATAGCAATGCTCATGAAGGTAGTCTTGAAGCCAATTGATCTGCCACCACTATCCCTGTAACATTCAGAAGTGGAATTAAGGCTGTGAGCCACAAATCCCCAAACATGTCTTTCCAAACGAAGGGGAATGAAGAGGGGAACAAAAACCATAATTGACGAATACACAGAAATGTGGAACGTACAAACTCACTAAACAGAATCTATTCCCAGAAAGTCAGGAATCTCAGCAGCAGAGCCGAATATCATCCATAGGGGACATTTCCATTTATGCTGAAGCAGAGTTGGTGGTACAGTATTAACAAACAAACATTTGCATGTCAGTTCAATTTGGGGCTTCAGACTTCAGAACAACGTACAGGATTGCACTCTCAGTTTACTGTACTTAACAGTTTTGCTTATATTAAAATAATTGGAACATATAGTTTATCTTTCTTTTATTTTTTTACATTTGCCCTTTTCGCTTTGTGTTTTTGAAATGTTTAAATGAAGGTAGCTTTTTAAAAAACCCAGCAGCGCTTTTGTTTAAATTTTTTATTTCCATAATTTAAACACTAGAAAAAGTGAATTTGAAACTAAAGAATAAAATAAAATACAGGAATAAACAAAAACCATGTGATAATGGCACAGAACAGCCACCAGTACAGAAGTGTGCAAATTCCCATTTGGTTTGGATTACGAGAAGGCTAACCAGGCGGTCTTCCTTTCAAGCTGCTCCCAATGACAGCCCAGAAGAGGCTCCCGGGGGGGGGGGGGGGGCGGTCTGACCGGGCTCAGAAACCATCTGTTGGAGCTTAAGAGCTGCTCTTGGCCCCATGATACCTGCATGAAGAGTGGACCCCCCCCCATTTCTCCCAGATAGGCACAGCCCTTTCCCAATTAGATTTTAGGAAATATTACAGTCTTCCCCCCCCCCCCCCCAAAAAAAAGCTTAATCACATCCTTGGTTGCCTCCGCATTTTCCTGAGAAGAGTTTTCTTTCAAGTGCTCTTAGTAGAATCTTTTTCATGATTGTACTGAAAATCAGGTGAGAATTGGGTCCTCGCCTGGGGAGAATGCTGCTTGAAGGCAGGCTGCCTTTTGCAGGCCTGGTCTGAGGGCCTTTCAGCAGCAGCAGCCCCCCCACTCTGGCCCCCTCCGAGGTGGAGCTCCCTTGGTGGACCATAGGTCCCACCCTGTCACTTCAGTGGCCGTATTTTCTTCTGCAGGGGTCTCCAGCCCTGGCGACTTTAAGACTTGTGGACTTCAACTCCCAGAATTCCTCAGCCAGCTATGCTGGGAGTTGAAGTCCACCAGCTTAAAGTCACCACGGTTGGAGAGCCCTGTTCTTCTGGACAGCTGCAGCAAAACCACACTGAGAATCCTTGTCTTCACATCAATGTAATTGATAAAACACCGAGAAAAGGGATGAAGCACGCCAACGGCCAGTTTAAGGTTGCCAGAAGAAGAGGAATGCCAAGTAGTCGCCTGCCCGGCTGCAGTCAGAGCAGCAGCAGTTCCACCTCTGAGCCACCACATTGGCATCTGTACTGGCGTGTCATGTCATAAAATCCCACTATGGGACAAAAGGATACGTCTAATAAATGATTCCGCTCAGCCCACCCAAAATGTGGAGATTACAGACAATCGGGCATCTTCTACAATGATCCAAAGTACGAAGGGAGACTCTCCGGTGTCACCAATTTGCATGCAGCAGCAAACACATAATGACCCAGTCAGACGGGAAACCAGCTCTGGCTCTCAACTATTGGGTTCCCATTCTCTTTTTCTCAGTGGGAAAACAATGTGGAGCAGAAATGCTACATTTCTACTTCCAGGCACACGTGTGGCAAGGCCCCTCTACTTCTCTGTTTTTAAGGCCCTCTGTCATCTACAAGGCCAATTTCATCGTTTTGCCTGTTCAGGTATGGAATGCAAGCTCAAGGAAGAGTCCACCATTTTCATCCCTGTCTGCATACCCTCATTTGCCTCCACTCCACAGGTGATATGAAGCGTTCACATGAGCCTGAAGGTACCAAAAGTGCAAATTTTAGATGAGAGAGAGGAAGCAAAAGGCAAACCCTTTGAACGATTCAGCCATTAAACCTGCCCCAAATTATAGGCACTATAGACAGCAAACAGCTGTTGATCATCATGTAAAATTTTCATTTAAGATAAATGTTTAAATCTCCCAAGCACCCCTAAGGAAAAGTACAAGTCTAACATTTCTTCCGTGTGGCTTCTTACAGCTGCTACTTTCACCAGGATCTAGTAACACGCTGCTACTCATGCTCCCAACCACCTTCTTATGCTGCATTTGTACAATTCACTCCATTTGGGACCCAAACAAGTCACAATCAGGAAATGGGAATCAAGGAGAGGTGTTGAGCGATAGTCGAGGTGGTAGAAGGAACACACACACACAAAAATGAAGGATTGTTGAGGTCTCATTGCATTCTGGCGTCACATCACAATTAAAATTTCCTACAAGTTCGCTAGCCCTAATTCCAAGACATAAGAGAGAGGAAGCCTGCAGAACAGACTGATGAAGGCGGAAGAGAGCAAAGCCACTTCCTAGGGTTCCTGCGTCTCTAATGAACCTCTGTGCTGGGTCCCCATGCAGCAAAACAAACAAAGTGCCATAACTAGGTATGTCTGCCACAGAACACAATTTGGATGCCACACACAGCTTCTCTTCTTTGAGCAAAACATGCTTGCTGATGGACACAGTGGGCCCTGCTGCCCAACGATGCAACTAAGGAGATTTGCTAGAAACAAACAAAACTAAACTAAACTAAACAAAACAAAACCTTAAAAATCCTTCGTCCTGGCTGCCACATTACTAGGGTTCAAGAACAAGAAGAGCAGCAGAGGCAAACCCACGGCTAACTTCGGGAAGTCTTTACAATCCTAAGGTCTCTGAAGGTGCTGTAGCCTTTGTTTAGCCTTTTTTATTAAAAAAAAACAAAAAACCAACCCCACAGATGTAAATTCCTTGTGACAATGGAGGCTAAAGACAGGGCTGTTTCATAAGGTTAACAGAAATTAATTATTCTCCTCCAACATGTAGGAAAATATCACTATATGGTTCAGTCAGGTAGGTTGGTCCAACCTTGGGAAAACAAGATTCCCTTCCCAGGCACACCAGATCATTGAAGCGCCACAAGCTCTTCCGGCAGATTGACCCAAACTCAACTACCCGATGAAGCTTGTTCCTGTGTCTCCTCCTTGGCAAAGAAGGTCTCAAGGTCGGTCAGTTTCTGAATGAGGAGGACGTCAAGTTCCCTTCCTTCGATGGCCGCCTTCTGCGCCCGAGTGTAGCCGCCCATCACCCGGACTCTGCTGCGAGCTCTCCTCTTTCGGGGAATGGTGAAGTCCTGGAACTCCAAAATCCGTTTTCTCTTCTGCTGGCTGATAGAGATTAAAGACCCATTTTTCTCTTTTGGCTCTTCAAAAATGGTTTCCAGGCACCTGAAAAAACCCAAAAGGGGTGAACTTTGGGCATCATCATTATAATCTGAGCAGGGGCCCAAAGCTCTTTCACACAATTAGCAACCGGGCTCAAAGCCACAGAGCATACCGATGTATAACCCGTTGCAACTATGGAGCAGATGTAGAAGGGAGACCCACTCAAGCCATTTTCCCACAACTTTCTTTGTGCAAATCACCAAATCCCCCATTCCAATGCTATGCTGTCTACACACTCCTGCTAGGTAACCAACCTGGTTGCTGGGGGAGATTTGTAATTCTGATTGGTATAGATTTCCTCCAAGCTGAATTCGGTCTTCTTTAACCTGGAAGGCAAAAGGAGGCAGCAACTCACCACCAACTCATCTTGTTAACTAATAACATCACATCTCAAGAGCCGTTACCATTCTTTATGGTAGCTGCTCTTTTATGGTAACCTCTCTACTTCAGAGAGGAGAAGACTTTCAGCTATGTACCAAAGCTGCTTTATCATAGCTGGGTGAAGCAAAACACCTCAGGCAGGGAAGGCTTCAAATGGCTGCAAATGTTAGCAGCGTCATCATCTCAGCTGCAGACCTATCTATAGGCTCCAGAGCTGTTTTTGAAGTATTTAAATAAGCAAATACACATAAAACACCACTTTTTCTGCTGGCACCGAACCCTTCCGGTAGGATGGCTGCTCCACCTATTGCTCCCACGCATCATGCTGAAGATATCGGCACACAATCACAGGATCCCTTGGACCAACAACTCCTGTTAATGGATGGGGACATCTGTGGCAAGAGAGCCTTTAGCCAGCCGTGAGGAAATCACCAGGAGGCACTGAGGATGGTCATTCATGCCCTTGTCGTCTCTCGGTTACACTACCACCACGTGCTGTTCGTGTGTCCTCCAGCTACAGCTGGTATGGAAGATGGTGCCCATTTGCTGATGGGAGCACACTGATTAAGCTAAATGACACCAGAGTGTTGTCGGAGCCCAGATCCAATTCAAGGTGCTGCCAGTTACTCATACAGCTTGGCCCCTTGTTACTTCTGGGGCTGTCTTTTCCAGAGAGAACCAGGACTGGACTCAGGAGCCCAGAACTGCCTGCCCGCCCCAGTGCACCCTTTGCAGTTTGGCCACGTGATTTGGGCCATTTGCATCCAGAGGTTTCTTGGGAAAGATCTTCCTAAGGGAACCAATACATCTTATGAGCAAGATTAAATAAGGCTACGTCTTAAATCTTTTATAGTATTTTTATATACATTGTTTTTAGAGTTGTGAAAAATAGTGGCATACTTTTATTATTTTATTGCTTCACAGTTTTATGATTGTTTTACCTAATTGGTCTGAGTGCTACTTGCGTGAGCCATCCAGAGGTGCTTCAGATTGGCAGCCAAATCAATAACAGATACAAATGGGGCCAAGGAACTCAATGCCTCTACAGAAGAGAGATCTGCTTCCTGCTCAGCTTCTGATACAGAGGGGCCCCCTCCCTGGAGCTCTGCAGAGTCACCAGAGGGGTTGCTGCCCGGGATGTTGGGAGCTGTACTGGAAGGCTGCCCTTCTTTCTGCCACAGAGCTCCTCCGGAATGGCTCCACGCGCAAACTCCATGGCCTCCTGCTACTCCTAGTTCTTCTGTCTGGATACATCCCATGTGGGTGAGGGGGGGAGGGGGGGGAGGAAGGCATTTACATCAAAGCTCAGGAAGAGAAGCAGAAAGTCTACTGCAGCCCCTCTGTCTTCTTATCCAGTACTGTGACTGGCTGTGAGAATAACCTTGAGGAAGGGCTGCAGACTGAGCCTTCCTCGTTCTCATGAGGATGAAGGCAAGAGACGTTTGGGGGGGGGCAGGTGCTTCCACAGTTGTAAGAGTCTGTTACTGCAACCCTATAATAAGTTTCAATATTCATATTTTCAATATCCACCTCTGGTCTATTTTGAAGGGCTGACCGTATGCTGATCCCCCAACCCAGAGAATGATCTGGGTTTTTCTCAACCGGTGGGCACCTCTCGGGCGCTTTCACAGAAGTAACCCAACCGCCCACCGGTCTTTCCTAACACCCTCCCCATCCCCGGAAGGCTCTTCGGTTAGACATGCCGATCCTCCTAATCCTGGGCAGCTCCTAGGACTTCACAGGTGCCAAGCAAGTAGGCAGATGAAGGCAACAGTCCTACCTCTTTGGTCTGGGAAGCCCCATGGGGGTGAGGTTGGGGTCTGGCTTAGGAATCGTCTTCCGAATGCGGATCTGAGACACTTTCTTTGGCCTGTTCTCCGACTCATCCTTGGGGGGGGGAAAGAGAGATGTACATTTTCAGCATTAGTCCAGATGGGCCTCTCCCCATCTGTCCCTCTGGTCCATGTGAAGGATGATCTCGGCTTCTCCTCCCTCAAGTCCTTGAATGTCTGAGCCGCCAGAACAGGACAGCTCCCTTCCGTGGCTTTCCCAAGCCTTACGCTGAACCCCACACTGGCTCTTCCAGGGACCCTTAGATGGGGCTAAGAGATGAGGAGATCCTGGAGCTGATGCTCACTGAGAGTAACCCCCATCTCCATTCCCTTCAGCCCCAGCAGGCTTTCCTTATCACATGTTTATTTCCACCCTGGGTAACTTACTCTACCAACAAATATATGGTCTCTGTGCAGCAATGAAAAGCACCCGAGTTAGTATGAGGTCTCGTCTCCACTGCACCACTTACTTTTTCAAGCTGAGCTCCAGTCTTAGGCGATGCCGGGACAGAAGCTTCGTCTCCATCTCCAGATCCAAGAGCTGGAAAGCCTAAAGGAGGGTCAGCCGGTTCGGGAGCTTGGCAAGATGTTGGCAACAGCACAGACAAGATGGATTCCAACCTAGGAAAGGGGCAAAGGAAAGGAAAGATGGCTGAGCCCAGGAATCTTTGGAGCTGTTACACCGTGACAGTCAAGTCAACCATCCATGGCAAGCAAAGTTAGATGGTAAGAAACGGAGGGTGTGTCAAACCGGGAAGTCAGGAAAGCTAGGCGGTTCAAATAAATATAAAGGTTTATTGCAAGTTTAAGCTGTCTGCAAGAATCTGAACTAACAGTCAAAGCAAATTAGATAAGAGACAAGAGTTGATGGAATTCAAGGTGGGCTGGACTCTCGTGGGTGTGAAGAGACTCCAAACTGATAACACTCAGCCTGGTCATCTTCCACATCGGGGCTGGTGGAGCCCTGAGCAACTTAAAAGGACAAAGTAGGTTGCAAAATGAACCTCCCCCCCGCCCCCCGTTGACCTGAACAAACAAAGGCAGATACTGTGGGGACCTTCATTAACCAAAAGAGAAACCACCTTTCAGTAGAATACTTAAAGCAGGAGGGTTCTCCAATCAATACTCAACTGTGAGCGAAGAAGCTTCCCCCCCCCCCAAAGCCCCCCAGCCTCCATGCCTTCCTGAAGGCTCAGCTGCCAAGGCTCCCCAGCTGTCTCTGCACACGGGGGCAGGGGGGGCACACAATGCAACCCTGGGGGTGTTTTTTGACCTTTCCTTTTACTTCTGTTTTACAGGGAGTCCTCGATTTGCAACTATTTGTTTAGTGACCATTCAAGCTACAACGGCCCTGAGAAAAGTGACTTATGGCCAGTTTTCACTCTTACAACCATTGCAACGTCTCCACAGTCATGTGACCAACACTCGGATGCTTGGCAACTGACTCTCACTTAACAACCATGTTCATTTAACAACGGTAGCAAGAAAGGATGTAAAATGGGGCAAAACCCAGTTAACAATTGTCTTGCTTAGCAAGGGAAATTTGGGGCTGATCTTAAGTTGAGGACTACCTGTATTATGTAAACTGCCCAGAGACACTTAGGTAAGACGGGTAGAGTAGAAATAAGACATAAATTCTAAAAGGGGAGCCAGGCTGAAGAAGATGACAGATGAAGGGGGAGCTCAAGGCAAATCGAACAGAATTGCTTTCTTTTGTATCTAAGGAGGTTTTGGGTGGGGGGAAAGGAGGAGCGCACTGACCTCACGTCGTTCTTCACAGCCCTGGAAGTGTCACTTGGCAGGCCGGGCACCAGGGGAGGCAAACTTAGGCTGGTTTAAAGTGGGGGAAAAATCACAGAAAACAAACAGAAAATTAGAACATAGCACAGAATGAGACATTATTCATTGAATCTATATTCCAAGGAAGAATTAGAATTAGAGCTTTCCTGGCCTGTTTGTCTAGGACAGAGGTTTTTAAATTTGGCCACTTTTAAGGTTTGTGGACTTCAATTCCCAGAATTCCCCAGCCAGCATGCGCTGACTGGGGAATTCTGGGATTTGAAGTCCATAAGTCTTAAAGTGGCCAAATTTGGAGACCGCTGGTCTAGGAAGCAGAAGTTGCACTGAAGGCAAAAATGGACACCTGAACTGGGTGGGAGGAAGCTCCCTCTGGCAGCAGCCCAGCTCCAAATGGCTTCCTAAGACAAGGGAAAGCTTATCCCTGCCACCACCCAGCCCTCCGTTGGGCTGCCATCCTCCCTCCCACTCTGCCGGCACCTCTGAAATGGGCAGGAAAGGCCAGCCTCGAGGAGGGCATTCCTAGCAGGAGCTGGACCGAAGCAAGGAGCTTCAACCATGCAAATTCATTTGTTGAGCACAAAGGGCAAGGGATTCTGCCTGGACACGCACTGGAGAGACTGACCGAGTTTTGAGCTTCCACTCCAAGAGGCCTTCAGATGGACCAAGAGCAAGTCCAATTGCAGGCTGCAAGCGGTGAACGTTTGGCCGGGGGGTGGGTGGGGGTGGGAGACCTGATGAGCAATGCGGGGGCAACCCTTCCTGCCTCCCATCTCCAAGCCTTGGGGCCAAGGGCTCTTCCCTGGGCAGGCTTTCATCAAACCTTCAGCTGGAACCACCGCAGGGCTTTGTGGAAAGGCCATTCAGAAGCCATCTTTGCTTTTGCAAAAACAGAAGCTTGATTCTACGTGAGAGAGGATTAAAAGGCGGAAACCCCACCTTGACCCGAGATTGAAACCTCACGCAGGGGCAGGAGGCTAAGACATATGAAGAACGGTTGCAGGAATTGGATGGGTGTAGTCTACTGCAAAGATGGATGGGGGCACGTTCCTGGAAACATCAGGGCATGGCTCAGTTTGCTAAATAGTTGGGATGCTGGCATAGATGCCGCACCATTTCTCCCAGCAAATTGAGGTGTGTGTGTGTGCTAATTAGCCCCTCTGATCTCACATTTCTGAGATGGCCGATTTTACTGCCCTTTGGGGTGACATGATAGCAGTGTTCCAATATTTGAGGGGCTGCCGCAAAGACAAGGGAGTCACCCTATTCACCAAGGCACCTGAAGGCAGGACAAGAAGCAATGGGTGGAAACTAACCAAGGAGAGAAGCAACCTGGAATTAAGGAGAAACTTCCTAACAGTGAGGACAATTAACCAGTGGAACAGCTTGCCACCAGAGGTTGTGAGTGCTCTACCACTGGAGGCTTTTAAGAAGAGACGGGTGAAGTCACTTGTCTGAAAGGGTCCAGGGTCTCCTGCTTGAGCAGGGGGTTGGACTAGAAGACTTCCGAGGTCCCTTCCTGCTCTTGTTATTCAGTGAAGCACTTGGCGCTAGCCCAGAAACTAACAAAGCTTGCAGAATTACAGAAAATCCAGTGGAAGAGACCTGGGAGTCAAGACGCCTGCTTGCACCTGCCTCCTTCCTAACTCCACTTGTTCAAACATCATACAGTTAGTCCTCAAGTTATGACCACAAAGGAGCCTACATAATGGTAATAATGCAAGGGTCACCCACATGACTGACCGCCTATGGGAAGCTCGCCTTCTGAAAGGTTCTTACATTTCAGCCACCCAACGAAGGGCAAGCGGCCTCTTTGTCTTTGTCTCTTAGGTGGTTTGGGAAGTTTCACTCCAAAGCAGCAATTATAAATAAAGAAGCCAATCTCCTCCTTGGGTTTGGAACGTCACTTAAGTTTTGTTTAGCCAAGAGAAAGGATTTTGTTTGCATGGAAGCTCCATCCTCAGAGTCTACAAATGGTGCCCTGGGACACTTTTAAAAAGCCCAACAGCCTTATTGGCTTAGGCAAAATGTGTTGCCTTGGGTTGGTTATCCAGCAATTTCCTTTGCAAATTTTCCTGACTTGAGCTCTAGATTAGGGATGTCCAACCTTGGCAACTTTAAGACCTGTGGACTTCAACTTCCAGAATTCCCCACCAGCTATGCTATGCTGGTTGGGGAATTTTGGGAATTGAAGTCCACAGGTCTTAAAGTCACCAAGGCTGGACACCCTCGCCTTAGATCAGGGGTGTCAAACTTGCGGCCCGCATGCATCATGGGCTGCCCATCCCCACCCCCAGTTTAGCGAAGGGGGAAAAAGTCATGATACGTCACGTGACGACAATGTGACGCCACAAGTTTGACATCCCTGCCTGATAAACAGTGATCTTCATGTGGGGAGAAGCAGCAATTGGGTAACTTCTAAATAATTTTTCCCATTAGGTTTAGTACTACTTAACCTGTTTTATCATTTTTATTGCTTTTTTTCCTGTTATCACCTGTCCAGCAGAAACAGTTTTGAGTTTGTTAACTCATATTTACACCTCTGTGATCGCAAAGGGAGAAAAGAAACTGAATTTTTACAGAATGCACATCCAGCCTAGAAATCAAACCACCCAACTGTCCTCCATAAATCAATCTCCCCATCTTGCCAAATTGAGCCAGGGGAAGAGAGGGCCTGGGGGAACGTTCCTCCCTGCAGCCAGCCTTCTCTGCTGCCTCTCTACTGCCTGCCTAATGCCACTTTTAAGGCAAGGGGAGCCCAAAGGCTGACTCACCAAACCTCTCCTCCCTCAGAATCCGGGGCTCTGCACCAGCTTCCAAACAGGAGTGAGGTCATTCACTTTTCTGCAGCCTATCTCCTGGCCCCTGGTGTGCCATGTGTGGCTGTGAGGACGTGAAGCTGAGGTTACTGTCTGCCTTTGTAAACGGCAGCTACAGCCAGGCAGAAACACTTCCCAAGGCTAAGCTCAGCCCATCCCTTTGCCCAAAGAGCAGTAAAATCAACCATCTCAGAAATCTGAGATCAGAGGGGCCAATTAACACGCACACACCCTTCAATTTGTTGGGGGAAATAGTGCGGCATCTATGCCAGCATCCTAAGTCTTTAGCAAACTGAGCCATGCCCTGAGGTTTCCAGGAACGTGCCCACATCCCTAGGAAGCCTCATCCCATCCAGACTCTTAACCCATAAAAGGGACAGATAGCAAAGAGTGTGTGGGAGTCCTAGGAGACCGGAAGGAAGCAGGAGGCAACACCTGAGCATTTACAACCATTATAGGCAGGCAAGAGGGCTGTCATTCAACTGCCAGGACCAGGTGCTCCAGGAAGCAGCCCATTGTGGTACGATTCTGGACCCAGATTGAGGACCCAGATTGTTGGGGGCAAGAGGCTGACTCTGTAAACTGCTTAGAGGGCTGTCAAGCACTGTGAAGCGGGATATAAGTCTAAGGGCTATTGCTATTCTGTCTGGGCTTAGAGTTCAGCTCTAAGAGCAGAGCCTGGCTTGGAGTTCGCCAGGGATCACAAAAAGAACAGCACACTGAGACGGTTCCTGATCCCAACAAGTATAAGAACTTTTGGAGGGAGTTGGAGGCCCCTTTGCGAAGTTTAAGACTTTGACCAGCTGTAAGGGCTAAGAACCAGCAATTTATTTATGTGGTTACATCTACTTGTAAATCCTAGCACTGTGGAGTTAACCCCAAGCAAAAGCTTATGGAAGGTGTTTGCTACAGTAAAGTATTGGGTACATACTTCTCTGTTGTGGAGTGTCCTTGGACAACAAACAACCCTCATAGTGGCTGGGAGGGAGAGAAGCAGAGTTAGTGGGATCTCCCTGAACAAGCGGATTTACCCAACATGCCTAAGATCTCCCACCCGAGAGAGAGAAAGAGAGCACCATACATACAGGCTGATTCCCAGGAGGAGGACAGGCATTTACCTGCTTCTGTGGCTCAGGCCGGCCGTGGCAGGGAGGGCTGCTTGTCCTTTGCTGGAACTGGAATGCAGAGCAGTGGATTCGGAGAGATGGGTGGACGGTCCATGCTGGCTCCAGATGGACAGGACGCTGCCCAGCAAAGAGGGCAAGGAAGGGAAGAGGTCGGCCGACACAGAAGTGTAACACTGGAACCCCTTTAAGCCCTGAGCAAACTGCAGCTGGCTCAGCCGCTGGACCGCTGGGATTCGACTGCTGGGGTGTCGTCTTCTCCTCGTCCAAGCACGGTAGCAGCCGGGGGAAAACAAAGCTAAGGCTGTAGGGAGGCCGGGGGTCGGGCAGCCCGTACTGCGAGCAATGGCCTTTCCCTCCTTGGAGGCCGATGCAGAACCGGGCTCAGCGTCTTTCTGGATTGCCCCCGTGATATCTGGGCATCTCTGAGGCAGAAGGAAAGAGAGGCTCCACGCAGAGGGCTGCTGAAGTTGTGGACGCCCCAGAGCAAATCTGGGGATGAGGCTTGGGGACCCAGTCTTGGGGAGCTTCCTGGTGGGGCCAATGTCCATTTGGTGAGGGAAAGACACTGGGAAAACCGGAGTCCTGAACCCGCAGGAACTGTCGCTGCTCAGCTCAAAGAAGCACAGGATTGTCGACTCAATGGAATAAACGGGCAGAGCCTGGGAGCCCTCCATCTTGAAGCAGCAGCTGCTGAACCATGGGGGAGAGCGCAACTTTAAACTGACGAAGGAGAAGATTTCCAGCAGCCTCCTCCTCCTCCTAAGCGGGCTCCACTTGGCAGCTGAAGAAAGCAGCACCCTGCGAGGCGGGAAGGGCTGGCATAGGGGGGGCAGCAATTTCTCAGCTAACCAGGAGAGCCTCGTCAACAAGGCGGCATCTTTGGGCTGCCCGGTGAGCCAGAAGGAGGTCAGAGTGCTGCTCCGGTGGCCTTGCTGCTTTGCTGGGGGGTCCCAAAGAATGGCTTGCGGGGCTGCCGGCTCAGTGGCTAATTGTGCAGAATAAACAAGCTGCCCCCTTTCCCCAGGGAACGTCTCAGAGGGGCCCTTGGATGCCAGAGGTTTTGGTGCCCTTCGCCGGTTTGGCATGCCAACTTTTATGCAGGCCACTTTCCCGAATGTTGGAAAAGGTCTTTGCAGGCGCAAATACCCAAAGATGCCAGTGCTTCTGCTTTGACGGCAGCCAACAGCTCGAGCGAAGCTGCTGAAAGCTCCAATGGAGCTAGGCCACCGGTTGGCCTGCCGGCTACGATTCCAGAAGTGAAGATTCAGGCTTGCCGTCTCTACCCACCTGCGGCCTCTCTTTTGCCTTTTTGATTCGCTTCGCGTGTGGAAAGGGGGTTCCTGCTGCCGCCTCTTCTGCCCGGCTCTTCCTAGAGATGCCAAAGTGGGCCGTGCAGCATTCTCATTGGAGACGTTGCCTGGAGGCTGTCCAGTTGCAAGGCTCCTTCCCACTTGGGGCTTGGCTTTTGGGGGTGGCAGCTGAGGCCCTGCTTCAGAATCTCCCCTCCCGATACGCTCAGCCACCATGTGCCCTTCCAGCCCTTTCTCTGAGCCTCCTGCCAGCTCCTGTCCGCTCTCGACCTTCAGCAAACGTCTTTCTTTCATACTGGGCCCTGTGGGGGAGCTTGCTAACCTCCCACCTTTTAGGCCAGAAGATGATGACACTGAGCTGCAGAGGGTTTCTGCTGCTTTCATTGAGGAAGAGAAAAGTTTCGCCTGTAGCGCACAACTCGGGCTCTCTACATGCCCCCAGGTCACCGATGGCTCTGGGGAATCTGTGGCTTTCCTGGAATCAGATTCTGAAATGCCTTCAGGTAAGCCAAGAGGAAGTCCTGGGTGTATCGCGGCCTTGAATGAAAATGTGACCTTCCCACCCCTGAAAGGAAGCATTACATTTTCCAGGAGGGCTTCTGAAGACTCCTTAGTGTCAGAAAGAATGCGAACTGGAAATCCTTCCGCCATCCTAGCTGTCCGGCCGGCCTCTCTTGGGCTGGCTTCCAAATCCTGTTTGGCTTCCAAGAACTGCTCTAAAGGATACAGGGATACAGGCGCTCCTCCGCTGGGACCCTTGAAACGCTGGCATGTCCTCTTGTGAGTTAGAGGGCAGGCTGCAGCCGCATCTCGTCTGGGGGAGCTGCTCAGCCTTTCGCTTCCCAAACCGAAGGGCTGGCTGCAGCCATCAGCTTCTCTTTCAAGCAGGAGAGCCCCTCGGCAGTGCCGCTGGGCAGGAGGAGAGCTGTGAGCTTTCAAAGAAGGGGACATTAATGCTGCCTCTTTTGGAAATAAGCACATTTTTTTATTCTGGGAGCCTAAGCCTGCAGATATCAAGCTAGGTATTTTTCTTTTTCTGTATGATTTTAAAAGTAGTCCTTTCATTTTTTCCTGACCTTTAATTTTGGCAGACACTGTAGAGCCTGTTTGAAAAGGAGATGAAACCAATTTGCTGGCAGACAATAATCCATTTATAATATTGAACTCTGATAGACTTTTGTGGACTGATTCAGAGGCAAAATGGAGATCATCGGTCTTCGACTGAGCCCGATTTTTCACAAAATCATTCTGGTTCAGTAACTCAGAAGTAGACTCTGAGCATCTGAATAGTGTCCTGGGACTTTGTGATTCTAAAAAGTCTTCATTCAGTTGATTGCCAGTAAATTCTGACCCTGTATTATTATTGGATGATTCAACAATGATTTCTTGAAATGGACCTTGATGATATTCTGTTAAAAGTGCAGGAGCTGGTGGGGTTACTTTCAGTTCCATCTTTGAATGCAATGATTCATTTTTATTACACCGGACATATTTTATAGCCGAACTGATAACAGTTTGCAAATCATGATGACTTAGTTTCTTGTAGAAAATTAAGGAAGGCTGCTGGCATTTTAGAAACTCTGTCTTTGGTGAATCATTTTTCTGTTCAAACAAGGTGCAACAATCAAGGAAATAACATGGATAAAGAAATATTTTCATCTGATAAATGGGTTCCCTCTGCTGAGCTGAATGTTTAGTACATAAAGAGGAGCCTTTTTTATTTAAGTAAGAGAGGTGACATGCTGGGGAAGAGGGGTGAATCCGATATGGTTCTTCCTCTTCTAGGCACTGACCTTTCCTAAAAGTGGCTCTACAAAGAAGGAAAGTTTTGCTCAAGTCTCCATCAAATGCAAGATGAAAGAACAGTCTAGTATTGTTACGTACTGTTGCATTTCCTATTGTTTTCATTCCACCAGCATCAGCTCCAAAGGAAGCTTTGTGGACTTCTACTCTTCCATAGGGAGAGAAAATATTACTCTTCCTCTGCAGAATGCTTTTGGAACCACCAAAAGCATCTCCACCATCAACACGCTGGTTTTCAGCTTCTGCCTTTGGCAGATTAGAGCAAGGAACCTCCAGAGGATGAACAGAGCCCAAGGGGCTTCCGGCCCTATCCAAGGCCACCCAGTTACTTCTGTAGGGAGAGCAACTGAAACATTTCTGGAGAGAAAAGAATCTCACACTGGACTCCAAAAGGGCTGGGCTTATTCCCAAGCTGAAGGAGATTTGGGTGGCTGCCCCTCTTCTGCCTCTTTGCAGATTTTTGCAATCTAAGAAGATATTCCTTGCCAGGGCGTAGATCTCCTCTGGAGCAGAAGAAAGATCATTCACGGTTCGGTCACTAAAGCGGAGTGCTTTTCTCCAGAAGGGTTCCATAGCAATCTCCCCATTTTCTGCCCCTCTCAGCACCCATCTGACCATCTCCCAGGCCCCTTCATTCATTACTGCCTGGAGTTTGCCAATGGCTTGGCTTGGAGCAAATGCTTCCTTGTGATGAAGCGAGGCACCGGTGCTTCGCATCACAATGACTCCCTCTGGAGACAGGCTGTCCATGGGCCCTCCATGACCTGAGCCTGGGTCAGCTTTCTGGGCAATTGGAGATGGGCCATGGAGCTGAGGGACTTTAAGGCTTTTTTCATCAGCACACACACTGATCTCTGTGACACGGAAAGAACTGGTAGCACACCGAGGCAGAGCTAAATCATAGAGCAGGAGGGCCGTCCTCAGATTGTCCTTAGGCTCCACTCGGAGGGGCAAGCCATTCCCCCTCAAGTTCAGCTGAGGAGCCAAGCAGCTGAGAAACGCAGAAGCAGACTTTATACTGCAACTGTTCTGAAAGAACCCAAAGTTATTTCTTTTCAACAAAAGAGCTCCATTTCCTTTTCCCAAAGTGATACATTTTTCATGGCTGAGAGAAGAACTTCTATCCTCTTGAACACTGCTGGCCTCTGAAGAGCTCACTCTTAGCTCATCTTCAAATGCTGCTTGGACAACATCACAAAGGGAGGAGCAGCCAATTTCGGAATGCCGGTCTTTTGGCCCCGTTAGCTGTTCATCTGGACTTAGAAATCTGCCGTGTTCTGAAGGAAAACGTTCTCCACCTCCTCTCCAGCAGCCGTGCACAGCAGATCCTTTCTGGATGTCAATTATTCCTTTATGCACAGGGCTAGAAAAAAGATCCACGCTGTCATCCCTCTTGTGCTCAACGTTGGACAGCTCTCCCCGAGGGCTCCCTGCCTGTAACGGAGCCTCAGCCATTTGCAGCTCAGAGGCTTCTCCCAGATCCTCCATCCTTCCATCGCTCGGACTGCTCTTTAAGCTTCCCTCTTGTACTTCACGGGCAGCCTCAGAGAGATCCATGCGGTCACCCCAAGGTGTGCTGCCTTCAAAAGCCTGACCTGTGGTTTCAAGCCTCATGCCTGGTGGGCAAGCTTCCAAAGCCAGAGCAAGGCTGTGTTTACTGGGTGTGCCAAACGTTTCTTGCTGAACTGATGGACTGTTAAAAACGGCATTCATTTCTTGGCCTGAATTCTGAAACTTCTCTTCCCCAGCCTGTCTGGCAAAGGCTGGTTCTTCTTCTTCTTCAGACGAGGCAGGACTGAGAAGCTCTTGAGAGACGAAGCTGCCATTTCCTGAAACTGCAACTCCACCTGAGCACTGACTGGCCTCAAGCAGCACACCTGTCCTCGCTTGGGCCCTGGGCTCTCCCGTGTTACAAAACAGCCCAGTCCCCTCAGCCTTCATACCTGGAGCTTCTTTCGGGAGCCTGGATTGCTTTTCAGACACCACTTGCACTTTTGCTGGGCTTTCTTCTAGAAACACAAAAACAAAAGAAAAACAGGACTAAGATGGGGCCATTGTCTTTTAAAATAACCCTAATCCTGATCCTCACACTGCCCATATTACAGTAGAGACTCCTGTGCCTAATGCTCTGTCTCTCCGCGGTGCCCGTCCCCACACCCTCAAAGGAAGTAAGTCCTCAACTTCCCCCACCGAAATCCTTCCTAAACACCCACAAACTTAAGGACTCGGTGTCCTCATCCACTCAGCAGGTGACCTGGAAGCAAAACCCGGAAAAAGGCCCCACTTGATACACTGGAGGAACGAAGTTATAATTTTCTGTCACTACCTGCCTGGTTTCCACAAAGAGGATTATGGAAATATGCAGCTGGCTGTGTGTGTGTGTGGCGGCTCCGGTTCATGACAGCCAGGTCTTAATTTGACAATCTGAGTTCTGCACAGCAAGGTCCCCCCATGCAAGACCTGTGACCAGCAGGACACCCTCTGCTCTGTGGACATGTCAGAACTCGAATCAGGTTCTAGAATTCAGCATGCGCTACTGCGGTGTTTATGATGAAAGCCAGAGGAAGTGCTTCAGATGTCACTGATTCAGGGTAGGAATACATGGAGGAACTCAGAGCTCATCCTGGCCAAACATGGAGGAGGAGTCTGGGAGCATCTTTTCCCCTCAAAAGAGCTCAAAGCAGCCTCTTCACTGAGGCTTCGGTCAGGGAGGGAGACTCTGCACTGGCCATCCTTTAACTTTTCCTTTTGTTTTATTGTAATTATTTGGATTGTTTTGAGTTGCCTAGTTGAGAGTTGGGTGGTGAACAAGTTAATAAGTATTATTGATTTTTCATTAATGCATGATACACATTTTTAAAAAAATAATCCTAGAAGGGAACTCTACCTCTGCTGATCAACTGGAGAAATTCATGGACAATGGACCCACCTTCCCCGCTCTGAGGGCAACGGAGGTTCTAGCAGAGGGCAGCTAGGCTAGGCGAAGGGGTGTCAAACTGGCAGCTCCCCCCTCCCCCCGTGAAGGAGGAAAACGTTGTGAAACGTCATGTGACGGCAACGTGACACCGCGTGTTTGACACCTGTGGGTTAGGCGAAGGGGAAAAAGATGGCCAGATCAGAAGGGGAAAACTATGCTAGCAACTTGACAGGCCCAATATAACTGACGAACCATTTTTATCCTTTTCAATAAAAAGAGGTCAAACACGTTTTTAGATAAGGATCTTGCTAGATGCTGGCTGGGGAATTCTGGGAGTTGAAGGCCACACATTTTAAAGCTGCTGAGGTCAAGAAATACTGCATGACATCACTTTGATGGTACTCCCTCACTGGTCAAACTGAAACATCCCTGTTTAGGTACATTAGCAATGTAGTCCAAGGGCTTAACCCACTGGCAATACATCTTTTGCATTTATATGCAAAGCAAGGAATGATAGGCAACGTTAAGCAAAATGCTTGCAAAACCATCCCTCAGAAGACAGATACACAGGTACACACACACGCAAAGGGTTGTAGAGCCAATTTGGTGTAGGGGTGCAGGCATCAGTCCAGAAACCAGGAGACTGTACTTCTAGTCCTGCCTGGGACACAAAGCCAGCTGGGTGACCTTGGGCCAGTCCCTTTTGGTGATGCAATGCCTGGATAACCTTGAGGAAAGGAAAGACAAGGGGCTGCCTAGGAAACCATCAGACAAGAGAGGCAGCTAACCTCAAACTCTGGAAGGACCCATCCTAATCAGTCTAGCAGTTAAAAGGACTGGAGGGAAGGTTATATTTTCAGACTTGCAAGAATCTGTTAATGCGGCCTGACAATAAAGTAGACATAGTTCATCCAGTCACATTTCCTATCTGGTTTACTCAGGAAAGCCAACATTAACCTTGCAAGTCTTCTACTTCCTTCCAAAGAGAGGAATTTCAAGAATGGCTTTGGATCCTCAAGGACCTCCACTGACCACTGACAGCCATCTTGTTGCAGCATCAGCAGCAAGCAGATGCATAGATGACTAACTTACAGAATGCCAACCAACAGCTAGCACAGCAACTGGGGCAGAACTTGCCTCAACCAGAGGCTCCACAGTTCTTCTGCGGGCGGGAAGTGTCTGAAGGGGAGGGTGAAATAATGGAATGCAGGGATGGCCTTGAGAAATGGGGAGAGAAAAGGCTGCCTAGGAGACAATTGGACAAGAGAGGCAGGGCCCCCCACAGGATTAATGGTCGGAGAAACAAAGAAGAAAAGAAAAGAAAAATAGAATAGAATAGAAACAGAATAAAAACTTTATTGCCACCTTAAATGTACACTAATCAGCATACATTAAAATGAAATTTTGTTGCATTCAGCTCTCTAAAAGATAACCACTATACACGCACACAGAAACATCACAGTCTAGTTTGAATGTATACATACACAACCTGAGAGTTTACAAGACGGATGGCATAAAAAAAAAAAAAAATAAGGATTCTGTTACAGAATTTAGTAATCCTGCTGGAAACACTTCAAAACCTCCTCCCAGAGGGGAGAAACAGATCCTATAGTGGATGTGTAGGGTTTCTAACAATGCTTCAAGCTCTAAGCACATAGCGCTTATAAGCAGTATCTTGAATGACAGGAAGTGAGCTTCCTATAATCTTCTCAGCTATCCTTACCACTCTCTGAATGGACCTGCTATTTGCTACCACCAAAGCAAACAGTGGGGCAGTTTGTTAAAACACTCCCAATCGTGCCTCTGGGAAAAGTGGCCACGACAGAAGGAAAAAGATGTGCTCCTGATCCGACGCAGGAAATGCAGACACTGATTTGCACGTTCACTAAAGGTAAGGTATGAAGGACCTGCCCTAATTCAACATATAGTTAAATTGGCAGGCAGGAAGTTTGTATTTTCAGATTTTCAAAAAATATGTTAATGGGTCCATATGACAGTAGATTTAGGTCATCTATTTGTGTTTCCTGTCTGGTTTACTCAGGGAGGCCCGACCAAAGGAAGCAATAGCAAACAACTCTTGAAAAACCTTGCCAAGAAAACTGCAGGAACTATTTATGTATGTATGCATGCACGCATTCATGCATGTATGATGTATGTATATATGTACTGGTATATACACATGTACATATTCATATATATACATGGAACATACATACACAGAGTGCCTCTCAGTCATAGTGAAGTGGGGAGCAGATTTTCCCCACCTCCAAATGGGCCTTACCAGCAACGTTTGCGTTTGCAAAGCAAAGCCACGGAAGAGCCCCCCAAATAATGCATGATCGTACCTGGATTCTGCAGCAAGTCTTTTATTTCAAGGCAGGAAGGACTAGAAACACGTTCTCTCCCCTTCTGGATTAGCTGAAACTCCTCCTGAAAGGAAAGCAGGTAAGTTCATCAACAGAACAGTAGGAGCACGAGCAGAGTTGGGGGGAAAGTCAGAACTTCCTGAACACCTTTCCAGGCACAGCAACAGTATCCCAGTCTATCCATGCTTGGAGGCAGGTTTGCTACAGCCGTGGTCCCCAATCTTTCTGGCTTTGCAGATCAGTGGGGGTGGGAGAGGGGATGGCTGTGCACGTCTCGCCTGTTGCTTCCACAGCCTGGTTCAGACTCCTGTGCTAGACAGTCACAAGCTGCCTTCTAAAAACAACTGACCTCCAACTTCCAACAGCATGAGGATCTGAGACTTATCACCCGCCAATAGTTGGAGGGGCACAGTTTTCTCACAAAAATGCATCTCCCAAGGAGCTTTTGGTTTTCTAATATTCTAATATATTTTGCTGCCCATGTTACTTTCTTGCAGCAACCAAGAGCCTTGTGGCTCCTTGAATTCCAACATTTATTTCTATAGCATAGCAGCTTTTTTGGGTGAGAGCCCCACTCAACCATCAAATGCATTGAAAAGTGGGATTAGCTACTGGCTGTCCTGCAGAATGGAGAAGAGAAACGCTGGGACATTCATCTCTGGGGCCCTGAAAAAATAAGTGTGTGATATATAAATTCTGTGTATTAAGAGAGACCTTTTATGTCCTAACACCCCCAGGGCCTCCCTGTGCACCAGGCTGGCAACTATTAACTGGAGATTGCAGGATCCGCAATATTACAACTTCTAATTGCTGCATTTCCCAGAGTTTTGGGCTTGAGGTAGATGAAGCTGCTTTTCAGTGGGGCTGCTCTGGCCTCTCCCTTGTGGGCGTTTGGAAACGTTGAACCCAAGACTTCTGTTGGAAAGGCCTTGGTGCCTCTTGGTTCTTTTCTTCTCTCTTCGCCTCCATTTTTCACCTTTTTGTGCTCTCCAGTTTCTCCCTGGCTGCTTTGTTTTAATTCTAATCCCTCCACGGATGTTTTATTGCGTGTGTGTGTCTGCAGGGTAAACCACGGAGAGTCATTTGACTTCTGAGGGGGCCTAAAAGTACTCTAAATAAACGCATCAAGAGAAGATTTTATTTTTAAAACTCTGGGAGATTTTAGCGATGCTGAAGCTGAGGGAGTCTTTGGCCCCAGCAACCCTCTTTTCCTGGAGGGCCACTTCGGCCCCTTTCAAGCCTTCAGAGCCACCGGGGGCCCCTCCGCTTCTTACCTCTCCCGGCCGCCCGTTTCCTCCGCAGGTGGGCAGCCCCGGCCGGGCACCTTCCCTCGGGCCTTCCTCGCGCCAGCCCGGCCTTTCTAAGCCGCCGCCCCTCATCTCCCGCCGCCGCCGCCGCCGCCGCCGCTCCGGTCGCGACGCTCGGCCCTGCAAGGGCGGCCTCCGGAGGGGCTCGCGGGCGTCGAGGTCCCGGCCATGCGGCTCCCGGGGCAGCGCCCAGCCCGGCCTCTCGCCCGCCGCCCCCGGCGCCGCGCAAAGGGCGGCCGAGGCGGGGCGCTGGGCGGGCAGGGCGTCCCCCGGGCCGGCGGCGTGGAGCTCCCGCCCCGCCGAGGACATGCGGCGTCCGTCCTCCCTTGGCTCAGGCGGCGCCGCGGAGGCGTGGCCACTCCTGGACGGAGAGGCGGCTGTTAGGCGGGGACGCGGCGGCCCTCGGACCACGCGAGGCCTCCGGAGCCTCCTGGGCCCCGGGAAAAGCCCCGCCGGGTGAGGCGCGGCGGCTACCTCGGCGGGCGGCAGGCCGCGGCCCAGGGCGCCGGCTCCGGCATCGCGCCGCTCTCGCTCTCCCCCGGGGCTGCCGCTCTATGGTCACGCCCTTCCTCATCCGGGCACTGCCCCGGACCATAGAGTGGCGAGGGGCGGTTTCCGGGCGCGGACTTCCGGAGGAGACCCAGGCGGAGGCCGCGCCGGGTGAGTTGCCGAGGAAACGGCTCGCCGCGCCGGTCCCGCTCCGCACCCAGGCGGTGTCAGGAGCCGCGACCGCCCCCCCCCCGTCTCGGAGGTCGGAATCGGCGGCCCTGCGAGTAGAAAGCGAGGGCGGCTGGGACGAGGCGCTTCCTCCCTTTAGGCCTCGCCCTGCGCGGCGGCTCCTCTGCTTGCAGGGCGGGGCTCTGGCGGGGCCGGGGGTTGGGGCGAGGCCCTCGGCCGGAAGGCGGAGCAGAGAGCAGCGCCGTGCGGAGTGGGAGAAGCGGGGCCGCCGGTCTGTCGCCGGCTTTGGTGCCTGAGGCGACGATCCAGGATAGGAAGCGAGGAGGAGGAGGAGGATGGAGGCAGCCACGCAGGCGGCCCCCCGGTTCCAAGGCCGGCTCCGTGGGACGCTTTGGGGGCTCAGTTTCAGGCCCCCGAAGAGGAAAGCGTGAGCTCTTTCGATAGGGCCACAGGCAGCTGGTGGGCTTTTTCTAGGGCAGAGGCCTGACACGCCAGCCACCACCTCCATTGGGGCTCAGAAAAGCCCCTTTCCTTAAAGGCTGGGCTAGCGTGGTCTTCAGGAGGCTCCCCAACCTGTGAAGGTGGCTGGAGGGACGTTAGAGCTCTGGGTTATTTAGCCACAGCCTTAGACTTCCAAACCGCTTCACAGTCCTTTCCTGCCCTCTCTAAGCGGTTTACAGAGTCAGCCTCTTGCCCCCAACAATCTGGGTCCTCATCATCCACCTCGGAAGGATGGAAGGAAGGCTGAGTCAACCTTGAGACAGTCAGGATTGAACTGCTGGCAGAAACAGCGGCTCAGTTACATGATCCCTGCAGAGCTTCCTTTTCCTTCAAAATAAGCTGTTTATCACAAAATGCTCATTGCAGCCTGACCAAAGGAAATCAAATGTGGATTTCCAAAATGGGCTGTGCTGTCCATAAACACAACATTATAAAAGTCTGGACTGAGATCAAGCAGAGGATCTTACACTTTGACATGCAGAGGGTTGCCTCATCCCTCTGCCTTGGTGAGTGAGATATCTGTTGCTCACCTCTCCCAAATCCTTTTCCTCACCTCTTGTGCCCTCATAGATAAGGGCACTTCTGTACCCTGGGCCACGTAGATGCCCTGTCCTGAGATTCAGTAATATCCCTGCTAAGATTATTTGGGATGTGTGGGTATTGAAATTGAACCAGCTGCACACATGTTCAGTTGAATTGCCCAAAAGATCATTGTTGGAGGTTGGAGCTAAAATCCCCTCTGACTGTAAAACGTTTGAATTGGTCCTAATGGGCAGCTAAAACATCACTTTTATGAAGCTTCCAAAAAAGTGATTAAATTTTCTGCTTGTGAAAATCAATCAGAACAAGCCATTTCATCAGAACAAAATCTAATTAGGCATATCTGTTAGAAAAAGGATTTTTATATTGGATGCTTTGTATTTTAATTATTTTTTTTAGCCTATGACCGTACAGAAATAAACAATATATAAAGCTGTTGGCACCTGTGAATTTATTTTGCTTTGCTTTGGCTTCCTCACAGCATACAATGGAAGAGGAATAGCTTCTCATGTATTACTTGCTTTTGTTCTGCGGAAAGTAGAAAGTTGTCTAATACCTGATTTATGATAATCAAGAAGAACAAGAATTTGGAAATCAAGATGAGAACCAACAAAGTTTACAAGCTTGTCATACACAAGAAAGGCTTCGGAAGCAGCGGTTAGTAGCCTCATTGAATGGGCCTTGGGGTGCCCTGAAGGTGCAGGAAAACACTAATAAACCTTTTGCCCCTTGGGTGCAAAATCTTCCAAGTTGTGCAATATCTGGACAGCAACAAGGCCTTTTAGGGCAAATTTGAGGTTCCCAGCTTAATGGTAATGATAACACTTCCTTGTAAAATAGTGGGGGAGGGGAATTGCAGTCTGTTCAGTGGGACATTTTCCCTAATAAGATTGCATAAGATGTTAAAATCATTTATGTTTATAACTGACCAACTTTATAATGTGTTCCATCATATGCAGGGAGGCTAAGACATAGCTGTTTAGTTTATTCTTAGGATGAGGTTTGAATTTGAAGTGAACGCCCCTGCTCTCAGTTGCGATGCTTTCTGAGTTTAAAAACTCTGTCATGGCTGCCTCTTTCCTATCTAAGCTTCCTGACCTGACAGCATGAATTTAGCAAGGGTGGGGAGGAAAGAGGGAAAGATTGAACTGTAAGGAAGAAGGGGAGGGTGGAAGCCCAGCTGAGCCTTGTGAAAAGCTCCAGCCAGCCAAGGTCAACTATCTAAATGCAGAGCTGGGAACTGAGAACCTGTTTCCTGAACAATATACAAGAACCTGATTGGACATCAGATAAGCTGATGATTGCTGATAATTGCAGAGAAGCTGGGGGGGAGACGATTGAGAGGAAAAATTACTTGATATTGTTTGAATAGAAAAATCTCAGATTCAGCTTACGCTTCTTCTGTAACTAAGAAGAAGATTCAGCTTACGCTTCTTCTGTAACTAAGCTTTACTAAAGTATATTCTTGGCAAAAGCCAGGAAGAGAAGAGGGAGTCGTTCTTTGCTAGATGATCACACTCTCTAGGTTTTCCGTGTATTTCCCTCAGCCTGGCACTCATCCCATCTCAGGCGTCTCAGCTTTAGTGGCATTGAGGATAACTTTGGAACTGCTATGAAAGTTGCTCTAAACTACAAACATCTACAGGGGTTCTTTTCCAACTCTTTCAGATGATGAACTTATGGTGAACCCCAAAGTATTTCTTCAGATCAAGTTGGGAGATATAGTGGAAATAGCACACCCCAATGATGAATACAGGTGACTCTCCTTGTGGATGGATCTGTTTTGGGACATAATGCATGATGAGGAGGAGGGGCAGTTCCAGAATTTTGCAACGGGGAGATAGAAGGCCTCAGCACCACAAGCTGAACTGGTATTTTTGCTTTAGCTGGAGAAAAGTGGAAGCTGCTGGGAAGTCAGGGGGAGCCAGTCAGAGGGAGAAAACCTTGTCACTGTTTCTTTGTTTCAAAAGGCAGACATTGCCTGCTTCCATTTGGGGTTCTTGGTGGTATAGAAAACATCAGTATGTAATAATATATCTATAAACAAATTTATAGAAACCAAGAACATAAAGTGAAAAAACCCTAAAAAGCTTGTGGGGAACAAAATGTTCCTAAACCGTGACTGCTTTGAGAGGTTTACTTGGCCAGAGGCATGAGAAATTTGAAATTCTTGAGGATCTTGGCTGAAGTGCTTTTCAGTTGCTGGAGAGATCCTGTTCCTGATTGTCACTCTTGCTTTTCAGTCCACTCCTCCTGCAAGTGAAGTCGCTCAAGGAAGACTTACAGAAAGGTGGGGTTTCTCTCTCTCTATTGAAAACTGCCAATGATGCTCTGGCAACTGCCCGTCCTCATTAACCACCAGCCAATAACCCACTAACCAGAGAGCGCGATTTATTATATATTCATTTGATTTTTGTTCCCCCTTTTCTGCAGAAGCTCAAAATAAAGCACATGCCCTTGCCTTCCACATTTCAACACACAGTGCTGACCTTACCAGTGAAATAGATTAGATGGGACTAGCTCAGGCCTGGCTATGACCTTCCAAGGCTGCATGTAGAGGATTGTTCATAAGCAAATAGAGGAGCCGGTTGGTGCCATAAGCTTAAAATGGAGATTGGGCCTTAGGCGGTTTGCATAGATACATCAGACGGTGGGACTGTTCTTTGCACTTGAAAGAAATCTCTTCTCAGGAAAGATCAGAGGCAGCCAAGGGTATCATTCCATTCTAAGGGTCTAGATCAGGCTTGTCCAACCCATGGTCTGTGGGCCACGTGGCCGTGGACAGCTAGTGGCCCCACAAGATCATAAACTTTTAACATTGTTATGTGATTTGTATACATTAACTATATTATATATTTTATATGCGGCTCAAGACAGCTGCTCTTCACTCAGGTAAGCCAAAAGGTTGGACGCCCGTGGTGCAGAGTATAATATTAGCTAAGATCTGGTTTTGGGAGATCTGAAAGAAATTGGGGTCCTAATGAGTCCCAAGAGCGGCCCTGAGCTCCAATGGCCAGTCTTTGATCCCCAGTCAGTTGCTTGCAGTGAGACTTGAGACTCTTAAGGCTCAATCACTGGGGATAGCTTGAAAGAAATACTGCTGGGTTAGCCTTCTCGTAATTCAAGCCAGATGGGAATTTGCACAGAAGAACCTTGAATCTCTGATCACTGCAGAGTCTAAATGGGACTGATGACATTTATGTCAGACGTCACTTATAATAGCAGGCATAGTTGATTATTTCTAGAACAGTTGTAATTTATGCCGTTTTCATCCTACACTGGGGTTGGCTCTCAAGCCATCTTCTAAGGATGATGGGTTCCTGGCTTGTCATCATCCTTCCAGGTCAAGTTCAGAAGCCAGGATTTGTTCATCATTTGCTTGAGAGTTGCCTTTTTGGGCTGGGGGTTACGCTGGCAACATTTAGATCCTGTTGCAAGATGGCAGTTGGGGAGATTTTGCACCTGGTTTGCTGCCAGCACTACCAGTCCAAAAGCATCATTTCACCAATTGCTGTATGGTGACTCCTTGCCTTTTAGTCTCTTTTTCTGGAGCCTATGAAAGCACTTCTGGAACACAGCTCTGGATTGGAACCAGTCATTGCAATTTCTAAGCAAGCATTGGAATTACCAAAGCAGGGACCTGTAGGCCCAGCATCACCCCAGAGAAATGTCAAGTCTTTTGTCATGAAGTGTGGCTTTGGCTGCTTGCTCATGATTGTCAGTCATTGGTCAGTGGACTAGCTCCACAGAGAGGGGCTCCTCAGGGTGCCATCGGCCAAGGTATGTCGGCTGGCGACACCCAGGGGGAGGGCCTTCTCTGTGGGAGCCCCAGCCCTGTGGAAGGAACTGCCCCTGGAATTGCGCAAGATCTCTGACCTCCGTGTGTTTTGCTGTGCCCTCAAGACCCTGCTGTTCCGCCAGGCCGGGCTATCAATGTAAATGATTTTAAATTGGGTGTTTTAAATTTTGGGGGGTTTTAATATTGAGCCAAAATTATTTAATAATTTTAATTATTTTTTAAGTGATGTCTGTATATTTTTGTGTTTTTAATAGGCTGTACACCGCCCTGAGTCCTTCAGGAGAAGGGCGGTATAGAAATATAATAATAATAATAACAACAACAACAACAACAATAATAATAATATTATATAATAATATTTTTTATTATTATTATTATTATTATTATTATTATTATTATTATTATTATTATTATTATTGATGCTGCATTGGCTTCCAGTGGTCTTCCGGGTGTGCTTCAAGGTGTTGGTCACCACCTTTAAAGCGCTCCATGGCATGGGACCTGGGTATTTGCGGGACCGCCTTCTGCTGCCGATAGCCTCCCACCGGCCAGTACGCTCCCACAGAGAGGGACTCCTTAGGGTGCCGTCAGCCAGGCAATGTCGGCTGGCGACCCCCAGGGGGAGGGCCTTCTCTGTGGCAGCTCCTGCCCTTTGGAACGATTTGCCCCCGGAGATACGAAGGATATTGGATCTCCGGGCCTTTCGCCGTGCCCTGAAAACTCTTCTTTTCCATCAAGCAGGGCTGGCGTGAAAAACCCCCTCTTTTTTTAAGCCTTTTTTAGCTTTTTAAATTGTCAAATGGGTTTCAGTTTTCAATGTTTTAAATTTTGGGCCACAGTTATATAATTCTTTTAATAATTTTAAATTTTGTATTGGTATGTGTTTTAGTTCTGGTTGTTCACCGCCCTGAGTCCACTAGGAGAAGGACGGGATATAAATTGAATTAAATAAATAAATAAATAAATAAATAAAAATAATAATAATAATAATAATAATAATAATAATAATAATAATAATAATAATTTATACCCTGATAGGCAGGTCAGTTCTTCTGATGCAATATCAATAGCACTTAGACTTATATATCACTTCACAGTGCTTTACAGCCCTCTAAGCGGTTTACAGAGTCAGCCTATGGCCCCCAACAATTTGGGTCCTCATTTTACCCACCTCAGAAGGACAGAAGGTTGCGTTAACCTTGAGCCTGGTGGGATCTGAATTGCCAAATTGCCAGCAGTCAGCAGAAGTAGTCTGCAGTACTGCATTCTAACCACTGCGCCACCAAGGCTCAGTGTTTCGCTACCCTAGCAAGTTTAAGTTGTGTGGAACTCCCAGAATTCCACAGTCTGGAATTGGGGAGGGGAATTCTGGGAGTTGAAGTTCACCCATTTTAAACTTGCCAAGGTTGAGAAACCCTGCTGTGATGTCACTGCTGGAGTGATTCCACAGAAAGCTGCCTCCAATTCTCCCAACTTTCTCTCCTTTCTTTGCACAGAAACCATCAGTGTTGATCAGACCGTTGCTCAGGTGTTTCGACTGAGGCCCTACCAGGATGTCCATGTGAACGTTGTGGACTCCAAGGTAGGTGAGCTTTTTGCTGCCTTTCAGCTTTCGCTAAAGATGCTTGGATAAATTTCCGGCTGTAGGAGATGACCAGGCTGAGCCCGAGGGAGGGGTTCGAGGGATCATCGGTCACGAGTCCCTTTGCTCCCACCAGAGATTTAAGTCCAGCTCACCTTGAATTCCTTCTATTCTTAACTCCCACTCATTTCCCTTGATCTTTAGTAGTTCAGATTCTTATAGAGAATTTAAGCTTCCAATAAATATTTATATACATTTTAAGTGCTTTGGATCTCCTGATTTCTCTGGTGCTTGACACTTGCAGAACCTTCTGATGACTATAGCGGTTCTAAGAGTAGTGGAATCCGGGCCGATCCTTTGCTATAAGTCAAATGCCACCACAAACATGAATTTCTTTCCCCAGCCTAGCTGTCAGTCCTGCCTGTTTCTGATGTGTGCTTTGGTATTTTGCCCTATATGACAAATAGGTTCACCCGATTTAACCGTCCTCTGCTTTGTCTTCTGGAGGTTGCCAAGGAGTTAAGATGGCTAAATTTATGAAATTGGTAAAATCCTCTGGTGCTCAGTAATACAGGATTTCCCAGCCTTGCCAACTTTCAGATGTGTGGACCTCAACTCAGAACTCCTCAGCCAGCCATGCTGGCTGGGGAATTCTGGGAGCCGACGTTCAAGCATCTTAAAGTTGGCAAGGTTGGGAAACCTTGCAGTAATGGATAAAGAACTGTTATTAGTTAACAAATGCTTGAGTGCTGTTGGTATTTATGTCCTGAAATGTTTTGGAAAGGGAAGTAATAGGCAGATGGTTTGAAGGGTTGGAAAAACTGCATCCAGGAGTATCAGCAGAAGCAGAATGGTGGAGGCAGAAATCATAGTCCCCTCATGTTCCTTTTTAGGATGTGACTCTGGATTTAGTGGAGCTGACGTTCAAGGACCAGTACATCGGACGTGGGGATATGTGGCGCCTTAAGAAAAGCTTGGTGAGGATCACATCTGTTGATCTGAATATTTCCCAACTAGAAATGTTGTGCCAGCTAGAAATGGACTTGCTTCTTAAATCGTCGTTTCTCTTCTGCAAGTGCAAGTTGTCTTGTGGGCAAATTGTTCCATTTCTCTTTTTCCTTGTCACCTCAGGTTGGCACGTGTGCTTACATCACTCAGAAAGTTGAATATGCAGGTATTCGGTGAGTAAGCAGCTGTGCCTTCCTCCCTTTCACAGTGCGTAGGAAGGAAGTTGAGTTTTATCAGGAATTAATGCCTGTCTCCAAATAATCAAGTCTTATCTTGGAGGACAGAGTTTGACTGTTTCCATTCTCAAGGCAATCTCTGTGGTTCCCAGCTCTTTTCTCTTAGTGAAGTTCAGACCCCAAATCGGTCCCATTTGCTTCAGTGAAACCTCCTCCCAGAATATGGGCATGGACCCTCGTGCCAGAGGAGGGAGGCGGCATCTGCTGAGTCCTTAGTTCTTCCTCTTTGGTCTAGACTGCAGGGAGAAGTACTTGGAGCTTGTTTTGCCTGGGGTGGCACAGCTTCAATTGACTGCACATCTAGCTCATGAAGCCTGTTTGCCCTGCCAACATCCTGGCATCTTAGCACTATAGTCACTGAGTAAGGAGGCCAGGATGAATGGCAGTTGAGAATCTCCTTGGGAATGGAAGTTTTGCTTGAACCCTTGAATTTATTTTCTGTTTAAATGAGGAGGTTTAAAAGGCACCACTGAGGTTTTGATAATTAGCAAAGGCACAGGTAGGCAAATCAGATTGATGAATTTAAACATGGATGGGCAATCTTGGGAAGATACATTTGGACAGGGGCTCCTGCAGTGGGACCAAGTGGCTCAGGCTGATGAAAGGAACCGTGTCACAATGCAAACTCTGCCCTCCCACCCTTTGTACACATGTCACAATGTCAAGCAAGTTGAAAAAGAGGGGAGCTGGCACAATGGTGGCATTTTGATAAAAGCAGCAGGAGCCCATAAAGGCTCTGGATTTGGGAGGGAAAGCTGCTCCTGGAGGGAGAGAAAACTCGCAGTATTTAAATTCCCCTCTTGCTTTGCTTTTGGTCAGCAGTTCTCCAGCTTTCACAGCAAGGTTTTCCCCATTTTTTCAGTCTTCTCTCTTGGTTTCTTTTCAGGGCTCAGGCAGGTGAACTGTGGGTCAAAAGTGAGAAAGTCACCTGTGGCTACATCAGCGAGGATACTCGGGTATAACTATGACTTGACACATTTCCTTTCCATCTCAAACACTGGGGGGTGGATCGTTGCCCAGAAGCAAGCCAGGTTTGGTCATGCTGATTCAGAGGGAGTCCGTGAGGCCAGGCTCAGCTCTTTCCCTTCTGGGTCCCTTGCAGGTGGTGTTCCGCTCGACTTCAGCCATGGTTTACATCTTCATCCAGATGAGCTGTGAAATGTGGGACTTCGACATCTATGGTGAGGATCCCTCGGCCACCTCAGTCGAGCCTCGGCTTGCCTGGCAACTCATCTACCCCAGCCGAAGACATCCTCACTCTCCTTTGATGGAGAAAGGGGGCAGATGGCAAAAGAAGGACTTTCCCTTTTTTGTAAACTTAAACAATTATGAGGAACTGTTGGCATAGTTTAATTTGTCTACTGAATTATAATTTGTCAACATAAATTATAAGGCAGTAAAAATGGGATGAAGGAATCACAAAAGAAAGCAGGAAGCTATTTTCTTGGTGAATAATTTAGGCAGACTCTGATCTCAGTTTTGCCCATGGATGCCATCTGGCCTCTAGCCTCTGGCCAGGCCTCTGCAGAACACGCAGGGCCTCGGCCACTGGGCTCCAGAGGACCAATCTGGGTTAGGCTCAGGGCTTTGGCTTCAAGAGCAGCTCCCACTATAGGTGAAAAGATGCAGGAGGGCCTACTGCTACAAGAAGACCCCCAAAGCCAGGTGGAGGAACCTGAGTCTGAAGGGTCCAGGAGAGGAACCCCACTGGGTGTCCCAAAAGAGGCGAATCCACAGCCAGGATTCCTCTGCCACTAAGGGGGACTTGGGTCGGACAGAAGGATGGAGCCACGTGGAAGGAAGCTGCCCCTCAAAGAGTGTGCCTGCGGCCCTAGAGGGCCTTGAGGGGAGCCAGGAGTGAGCAGGAACTGATGCCCCTCTCCTGCCACCGGGGCCTCTGTCCCATGCAGGGTCTGGCTGGGTAAAGTAGCCAAAAAGCTTTTCTGCCAGAGAGGGGGCAGCCTCTCTGCTGGAGCGGCCAAGAGGGAAGCTCTTACACTTGGTTCTCTTTCCTTTGCAGGAGACCTTTACTTTGAGAAGGCCGTGAACGGCTTCCTCGCTGACCTTTTCACCAAGTGGAAGGTAGCTCGGTGGGAGCAAAACGGAGCTTGTAACTGGCCTCAAGGGAGCCTGCAGCTGGGCAGGGCTTGTGGTCCTTTCCCAAGCCAGCCTTCCTCAGGACAAGCCCTGGAGGTTCAGAGACCAAGCCGGAAGGGCTCTCAGGAGCATGGGGATTGGGGCCGGGGAACTCTGACGAAGCCCCTTTCTTGCTCAGTGGGGAATTGAATGGGGAGAAGGAATCCGTTCCTGCCTGAAATGACGTTGCCTGCCCCCTGTCCCTTGACTCCCCAGCAAAGGAAAGGGTCTCTTGGGCTACTTTAGATTTTTTCCCCTTGCTGTAGTCAGAAGGAAGAATCTTGTGCTGGTTCTTCCTGTGAGTTGCGGGGGGGGGCTCAAAGAGGTCCCTCTCCCACCCTCCCGTGTCCTTCCCACTGAGGGAACTGAGCAACATCTGGGCGTGTCAGAGGTGCAGTTTGTGTGGAAGGAATCTGTGGTGCCCGTCAGGAGTGGATCCCCAGTGCTTTGATCTGCTTTTGTCCCAACAGGAGAAGAACTGTAGCCACGAAGTGACCGTGATTCTCTTTTCCCGGACCTTCTATAGCGCCAAGTCATTAAGTGAGTCTGGAGAGGCACCGGCCTCTTTCTCACCTCCTCCTTGGGAAGCTGAAAGCAGCAGCAGAGAGCAGCTTCCTCTTATACCTGGCTTGGTTTGTTTCTAGATGAATTCCCAGAGTTGCATCGTTGCTCAGTCCAACAGAACCACGAAGGGCGCTTCTACGAAGACTTCTATAAGTAGGTCTTCCCTGTGGCTGAGCCGCTTCTCTGGAAGAGTCAGTCCACCCATGAAGCGGGCAGTGTCTCTTCAGTCTGCCTGTCAGGGACTCTGTGCGAAATCTGTAGGCGGAGAGCCCTTGACTTCTTTCATGAAGCAGCCTCATCTGCATAGGCCTTGATTTACAATTGCTTGATCGGCAACTGTGCATAGTTGTAATGGACACCCCCTATTTATGATCTGGTTTAGAAGTTGTGAAACACACATCCACCCACCCCCGACTTTGAAGAAGTGGGCAAGGTTCTCCATAGCATGAGCTCAGGCACATGGGGGTGGGTGAGGAGGTGGATTGTTGCCCCATCTGGCTCAGTTCAAATCTTGATTGTCAGTGCACAACATATGTACAATGAGATCGGTTGAGCTCCCTCAGTGCACCTCAGTCAACTAGCATCAGGGCAAAGGATTCGGGGGATTGTAGCCGCCCCTTTAAGAAAGGGATTGGTGCAGACCCACTTGGGGAGGCCACCTCTCAGTCTAAACATGCCAGACAACTTCTGCCTAGTCTATAATCCTCCGTTTTTAGGGAAGATTTTGCAGAAGGTGGTTGGGCTGCAGTTGAAGCAGATTATCAGGAGCCTCTGCAGGAGGCCCAGATATGGAAGAGAAACTTCTTTTTTTTTTTTTATTGCAAAAGTTTTACAATTACATTTTCACCCTTTTTTTTCACCCCCCCACCTCCCTCCCCAAACTTCCCGTCCTCCCTAACCCTCCCTAACCCTCCCCCCCCGGACTTCCCTATTATGTACTCATAACTAATAACACTAATATATATACCTGAACCCATCCCTCCCCCTATATAATTTTCCCTCTTTGTCTCTTTACATTAAGATATTTCTAATACATTGTTTTCAAATAAAAGCTATTTGATACTTTCTAATTTGATATTTGTTCTGAACATATTCTATCCACCTTTTCCATTCCCATTCATAAGTCTCTTGTGAACAATCTTTTAAATATGCTGAAATCTTCGCCATCTCTGCAAAATTGGCCATCTTCGAAGTCCATTAGGAAGAGAAACTTCTTGTCCTTTTAGATCGTAAGTGGCTGTCAAGAAACAGAAAGAAAAAGAAAAACCCCAGAATAGTTTACTTGGCTAAGTGTAAATTGACAAAATTTAATGCAGGTGGGTTGGTGGATGCCAGCCAAGTAGCCTCCCTATCTGCTGCAGTTGGACATTTAAAAAGAAGACTGAAAACACTGTAATTGGAAAACTTACCTAAATTTTAAACATCTGATGTTTTCATGGAAGCTGCTATTTGGTCATCTTATGCTTTTTTAAATTTTAGAATCATGATAGCTATAAAGTTGTTGCTATTCTGAAAAAGACACACATTTTTCTCTTGCGGATTCTGAATTTGAAGTGGCTTAAGATTTCTGTCCCTCCCTATAATTCCCCCCTCCCTTAGGCTGCTGTAGGCTGTGAGGGGCTCCTGCTCTGTCCTCCTTTGCGAAGGCGGCTCACTCATCATGTTCATTGCAGGGTTGTGGTTCAAAATGAACGGCGAGAGGAATGGACTTCTCTGCTTGTGACTATTAAGAAGCTCTTCATCCAGTACCCAGTTCTGGTGCGCCTGGAGAAGGCAGGTGAGATGCGATGGGCAGCACAGGAAGTCCTTGACTTATAACCATTCATTTAGTCACCATTTGAAGTTACGATGGCACTGAAAAAAGAGAATTATGATGGCTCCTCAGACTTACAACCATTGCAGCAGCCTCGTGGTCATGTGATCAGAATTTGGGCGCTTGGAATGTCTTTGCGACCGTTGCCGTATCTCCTGGTCACGTGATGGCTATTTGCGACCTTGCCAGCCAGGTTCCCTCAGGCAAAGTCAACGGGAGAACCTGGATTTGTTTTAACAACCGTATGATTCCCTTAATAAGGGCAGCAATTCACTTAACAGCCAGGGCAAAAAAGGTTGTAATTGGGCGTGGCTCACTTACCAACTGCCTTCCTTAGCGATGGAAATTCTGGTCCCAATTGTGGTTGTAGGTCAAGGACTACTAATACGGCCTTCTGGTTTGATTCCACTCTGTAGCTTTTGCTACTGCTGCTGGTGGGACGTTAGCACAGCGTAGAGTTACGTCTGTGGGCACCCAGAGTAAGCAAAACGGCTTCTCTGGCTAACAAGCTGTGGGCTTGTATTGGTGAGCTGGCAAATCCAGGGAAGGAAGGGGCTGTGGGGAAGGTGTTTGGCATGTGTGAAGGGCTTTGTCTCCTTCCTGGCCAGGTGCCTCTGCTGGCCTCGGGTGGGACACCCATGAAAGGCCTTGCCCAAGATTTCGCTTTCCACAGGGTCCATAAAGACCAAATTTCCCCCAGGCTTCTCAACCTCCCTGGGACTACTCTTCGTGCTTGTTTTTGTGCTTGTTTTGTTTATATGCATCATGGTTAAAACTTAGAGCAACAAGTAAAATAATAATAAAGAATCCTGGTTTATCTTCTTCGTTTTCCCTTCCCTCTGTTCTGGATGATGAACAATTAGAGAATTTCCCACCAGGATACAACTCCACCTCTGCTCAAGGAAATTATTTGGAGGCCATAAATCTCTCGTTTAATGGTGAGTTTGGGAAATTCTTGTCTTGCCTGGGATGTTCTTGAACCAGGAAGGGCCCCATTGCCTTTATTTATTTATTTGTATCCTGCCTTTATTATTCTTACAAGTAACTCAAGGCAGTGAACATATTCAGCATGCCTTCCCCCTCCTATTTTCCCCCATGACAACAACCCTGTGAGGTACGGTGGGCCGAGAGAGAGAGACTGGCCCAAAGTCACCCAGCCTGCTTTCATGGCTAAGGTGGGACTCGAACTCACGGTCTCCCGCTTTCTACTGTGATGCCTTCACCCACCAGACCAAATTGGCTCTCTTAAAGAAGAGATCAGGCAGGATAGACTCCTCAGCAACACTCAGTATGGGGAATTCCATGTTGGTTTTTCTTCAAAGGAAATCCCAAACTGTTGGCCAAAGATTCTGGGCATGTTTCTGAAGCTCATCTGATGTGGGGTCTGGCCAGGCCAGTAGTGTTGCCTTATGGTTTCCCTGAACTGAGACCTGAATGAGTCTTTTGCAGGGAAAGACGACCAAGTGAGGCCAAGGGGTGCGGGCAAATTTGCTTGTCTTATTAAGGAGCATTGGACAAAATGTCTCTCCAGTCCCCAGTAGCTTTTAAAACAAATTGACTGATAAGTTCTAAATCACAGCAAAGGTGAACACCATGTTTTCTCCTCTTGGTAAGGCCTGGAGGACTGATGGGAAATGGTATCAGGATTTTTTTTTGATTAGGTATCCCCAACCCCCAGGCCACAGCCCAGTACTAGGCCACGGCCCGGTCGGAAATGGGCCGCAGAAGTGGCAGGTGAGTGTGTGCGCACATGCAGCTGTACTTGGACGAGTGTCGGGCTCTTGCACTCGTGCACATGCCTGCCACTCACACAGGACCATCCCCTCCCCCCTCTCCCGGGTTGCCAAGCTGAAAAGGTTGGGGATCGCTGTTTTAGATGAATGTCTTTGTTATGTGCAAGGGATACTCTTTATAAAGCCCTAGGTGCCCTTTTAATTTTTGTTCTTGTTTGTTCCTTTTTAGTGTTTGACAAACATTACATCAACCGAAATTTTGACCGGACAGGACAGATGTCTGTGGTCATCACGCCAGGGGTGGGTGTCTTTGAAGTGGACCGGCTTCTCATGATCTTGACCAAGCAACGGATGATAGACAATGGTAAAACAATGTTATTAATTGGATAAAATCCAATTGGCTACAGTTTTTGCCTTAGTGCTGGGAGTTGGGGTTAGAGTTACGGGCTCCCTTCTTTTCTTTGGAGAAGATGTGGGGCACATGTCACACCTGTGGGCACCTCCTTCAGGAAACTACATCTGGCTAGATATGTGATCCCAGGAAGTACATCTTAGACGAAAGTAGTTGGGACGGGATGTGACAGGGGGCTTCAGCGTAGAGATGGGCTTTCTCTTTCCAGAAGTCAAAGGAGAACAGTTCTTCTTTGATGGCATAGCTATTCTGCAGTCCAAGGAAAAGGCTCTACTTCTCTAAGGAGGTGCTGGCAGGCATTTCTCAATCTGCACATTCTCAATTCATCATTGTTGACTTGTTGACTCCTTAGTAGTCCTTAGTAGCCTATTTCCATCTTCACTGTAAGTAAGAGATAAGAATTGGGTCTTTTGGAAAGTCCGATCTTACAATCAGTAAAATAAAGTGAAATAAAGGCCTTTTTTTTTGTTTGCTTATGAGACATCAATCAAAGATATGAGCATCATATATTATCCACAAAATGTTTTTTTCATTATGAGTGAGGAATTGTGAAGCTGGACATTCCCTTCCCTTTTCCTAACAGAGATTTTTCATGCCTGCTTTGAAAGATCTCTTCAAAACAAGGGAGTGTTTTCACACACAAGACCATAATGCAGATGCTGGTTCCTCTTGACTCCGAGATCCGATGTTTTTCCAGAGGTCATGGGGTTTTGATGTGATTCAAAGGTTTGCTCACAAACAAAAGCATTTTTAAACGGAACCACTTGGATGCAGTTCTTGGGTACTTTAACTGGCAAAGTTTCTCTTCTTTTCCCGCTCCTTCTCATATTCCTCTTTGGATTGCTTCTCTTTGCAGGGATCGGGGTAGATCTGGTGTGCATGGGAGAACAGCCCCTGCACGCAGTGCCTCTTTTCAAGGTAAGGCCTCCCGGCTCGGCCCATCTCCTTCAGCTTTCACCCCACCCCCACCAAGACAAAGGGTCAGCTACTGGCTTTTTCGCCAGCATGGGCACCCAGTTCCTCTGCCAGAATAAAGCTTCTGGATGAAAATGTGCCCGTACGGTTGTATTTCTACCATCCTTGACATTCGTGCAGCAAGCGGTTGCAGCTGTTATCAATCTACCGTCAAGCTTTTTTTTCTTTTCTTTTAATCAAATAAATTGGTTCAGGAGAGAAAGGAAACAGGATCTCAAAAGTCCTCTGGGTTGATGGCCTTGTTGGTCACCTTGCCCCTCCATCTGAAGGCAGGTGGTATTTGGGGGAGGGCTCAGTACTGGAGGGAAGGGAAAGACAAAACTGGTCAGGAGACAAGAAAGAGAGCTGTAGAGAAAAACCTGAATCCTCGATGCTTTCAGCTTCATCTTCCTCACTGGCAGAAGCCTGCTTGTTTTCAGTTTGCTTCTGAGCGCCTAACATTGAGGGCCAGGAAGAGTCTTCTTTTAAACTTGGGCAGGCTACCTCCAGCTTGTTCATCAACTCTCAGCCTCAGCTGGCATCAACACGATTGGGACCCATTGTATTCAGTATTCCCAGGGCCACAGGTTGCTGGGGTGAAAGATCTCTGGATTAATTCCTTGCCCACAAAGCAAAGAGAACTTTTGGTTCTCCAGCTGTCTGACTCCTGGTTTTTCCTTCTCACCTCTTCTTAGCTACACAATCGCTGCAGTTCTGGGGATCCTCGCTTGGGAGATGATTACAATATACCCCACTGGATCAACCACAGGTGTGCATCTGGAATCCAGTCCATTGCGCTGGGCTCTGGCAGGAGCAGGCAGTGTCCACGTGGGGCTGTCTCCCCATTGCAGCTTTGATTTTGAAAGACAGGCCTCTCACCCTGACTTTCCCAAGGCCTGCAAACACCTCTGGCTGCCTGGTTTGCCTATCACTTTTCTGCTTAAGTGGGTTTGGGAGGAAGCGAAAATGATAATGGATCGTTTGTTTTGGATAAGTTACATTTTTCCTTTTTCCAGAAAAGATGCTGCTTCAGATATTTTCCCCAACCTGTTGTGCTTTTGCCTCATCTTTGTGCTGCCTTCTCTTTATAGTTTCTACACTTCCAAAAGTCAACTTCAATGCAACAGTTTCACCCCACGGATCAAACTGGCAGCTCGGAAGGTGAGTGGACTGGCCTAAATGTGGAGCGCAGCCATAGTGGTGCAGCTGCACCGGCTCAGATTTCAACCACAGGAATAATCACCGCTAGCTATTTTTAAGCACAGACATTGCAATGATTGAAGTGGGAAAAATAAAAAATTCACCCTGCAGAGCAAGCCTGTGCGACTCATAGAGGGGGAGAAGGATCCGATCAATACATGAAAAATAATTGTGATCCACAAGTAATGGTTGTGCCAGTCGGCTGTTGGGCAGCTAATGATGTGGCAGCTGCCTTGGAGGTGGCAGTGTCCCCAAAGCCTGGTGGTGTCAGGGGTGCCCAGCAGCCTGTCTGTGGAGGCAGAAATGGCTGCACAGAAAACCTAGTGGGGGCCAGTGGATCTTTCTTGGCAGCAGCAACTTTTGGTGGCAAGAGATCGGTTCTTTCAGATAACGCTTGCTGGGCCATGTTGTGCAGGTCTGCTCTAGAATTTGTAAAGACTCATTTCAGTTTTTTTCTTTTTTGCATGTTAAATTTCAGCCACAGAGTGAAAAGGCCAAAAGTAGCAGGGAATCTTGTGAGTAACATTCCTACATTGTTCTTTTTTAAAGATGAGAATGAGAGTTTTATGTCCAGCGCTTGCACTGTGCAGCTGGCAAGTTCGTGCTGAAACGGGAGGGATATTTTCCATTCACTTTTAGTGTCTGAAGGGCCCCCCACCTCGTTTCCTCTTCTCTCCCCCTCCCCGTGTTCTTCCTCTGATTTTGCTTCCCTTCTCGTTCTCCCTCCTTGTCTTCTCTCTCTTTTCTGTTTCCCCTCCCCTTCTCTTTTCTATATGGAAGAGAAAGCAGGGCGGTATTTCCATTTGTAACTAGCCCTTCTACTGCACCAGCAATTTTCTGGATTCATGGCTTTAACAAGAACCCTAAACAGACTCAGAAAAATTGGGCACTCTGTGCCACACAATATACGATAACTTTTCTGAAGGAAAATGAGTTACCCTGTGGTAGGATGGGCAGCCAGTAAATTTTACAAATAAATAAAATAAAACAGACATGTCAAAGATTAGTGCAGGGATGACAATTTAATCCCCACTCCATGCCTTGAGCCCCCTGTGGAGCATTCCAGTATCTCACTGCCCAAACTCAGCAGCACATTTTCCAGGCAAATGAAGTGATACGATCGATGCAAATTGTGTTAAGCCTGGCACTGCCAACTATTGGACTGACTGGCCTGGGGTGAGAAAGCATCATAGGCCTCACAAGACCTGCAGCCAAGGACCTCCGAGAGAGACTCTGCACAGTTTCAGCCCTAGGATTCAGCTAGGATCCCCTCATGAGTTTTGTCTCTGCAGAGCCGACCTTTGTAGGCAAGGAATCCAGGCAGGCAGGTGGAGAAGGTGGAGACTTGACTCTCTGCTGATCTACCCCTCCACAACCCCACCCTGTTGGGCCACACGCTCCATGTTTAAGATGACAAAGTGGTTTTGGTGTGGATTTGCCCACACCCAGCTCTTAGAAGGCCCTCCAGTCACAGGCTGCTCTGCTTGTGTTCCAGCCTTGGGAGCGCCTAAGGAGACCGAGAACGCACTTCCCATTCAAGTTGACTACGATGCCTATGATGCCCAGGTGTTCCATCTGCCCGGCCCCTCCAGAGCCCCACGTTGCACCACCTTCAGGTAAGCAAGTGTATTGCCAAGCTTAGGTAATTCCACTGGGGAAAAGAGAGGCAAAACTTTATATTTGAATACAAGGAATAAAAAAACTCTGTAAGATAGGAGAGTCCTAGAACTGGGGAGCAGTAATGAGGGAGATGCCTTAGTGGGTGAGAGAAACTTGCTGTACTCCACTCTCGCTGAACAGAAACATCTTGTCTGATCACGGCTTCCGCCCTCTCCCAGTTCCACTTGGCCTACTGGCTCCAGTTTCCATGCTGAATTGCAGGACAGACATTGATCAACAGGATGTGTCTAGGAGGCAGGTTACAGTGCCTAGGGTGGAAGAACGTCCGGGTGGGTTTATCTATCCTACAGATAGTTAAGGGAGGCAGACTCTGGCCTTCAAGTATTACGAGGGTTCTCCTGCAGGAGACCAAGGAGGAAGAGAACCTTCTAAATTCTAGGAGAAACATCCTGACCCTAATAGTAGTTCAGTGGGGAACAGAGTTCCTCAAGAGCTGGTGGGCTGTCCCTCACTGGAGAGCATTTAAGCAAAGGACGGAGTAGGGGAATTTGGAAGCAGCGTCCTGCACTGGGTGGGGAGCCAGAGAGGATCTCTGAGGCTGTATCTATGTTGTGGTTTGCTATGCGATGCCATCAAACCCTGGCAGTCTCCTTGATCCATTATACAGGCCTCCTAACCCCGCGTGACCTGCCCCTTGTGGCTTTCCCAGCAGGCCTGTACGGGAGAGAGAGAGCCGGCCCTGGAAGACCTCCAGCTCCTACGATGCCTCCTCCAGCCCCTCCATGCAGAGTCGGCCCCTGCCCCCCGAAGAGGTTCGGAGCCAAGCTTCAGATGACAGCTCTCTGGGGAGGATCTCGGACATCTTTGTGATCCCCCGGCCCCACCTGCACCTGCAGTACGAAGTCAGCAGCTCTTTGGGCTACACCAGCAGCCGAGGTCAGCACAGGGCTCGGGACAGCAGAGCTGGCCACTTCTCTGGAGTTGGTGCTTTGTGTTTTGTCAACTTTTAAGGGTTATTAGCTTTTTAAAAAAACATTCAGAATCCTGAGAGTCCACTTCCACAGTGTAAATTAAGGCTAACTGAGCAGATCTCAGGGGAGGAGAGCAGAGGTGCTCTGTTAAGCCATGGTTAGAATTGAGCTTGTTGTGAGGGGTCCTTGGTGCTCTCAGCTTGGTTCTTTTCTTGCAGATGTTTCATTACCAAACTTCAGTGCTGTCCATGAACCTGTTGTATGACACAACCAGTGAGAGCACTTCATTCTTCTGGGAAGCAGCTCCTCCCTCACGTTGTCTTGGTCCATGTCTTCCTCCTCCTCCCTCTGGCCTTTGCTTCCCTCCTCTTCTTCTGGGTTGTGTCTTGCTCTTGGGCGCCTGGGGTTCTCAGCTCAGGCCTCTTGTGGCTTCCTAGGCACTGTCTCCACAGGGCTTTCAGCTGCAGGAGAGACTGGCCGAGTCCTGCGTCCCTCTAGGAATCTTTCCCCCCCACGTTCCACCCAACTGGAAAGAAGGAACCTCTCTGGCTTCTAGAATTCTATGGTGTTTGGGAAAACAGGGCATGCCAGGGGAAATTGCACGGAAAAGAAACTAAGAGGAGGAAGTTGTGTTGAGCCTTGAATTATTTGTAAAAACAATAAATAAACAATAAATAAAATAATTTAAAAAATAGAAAAGGATTAGCCCTGAACACTTATTCAGTGTGTTTGAAAGTGAGATAACTTCCTCGAGGTAACTTCCCTGTATCCTTGCACTAAGCAGTATGGTAACAGTTCTCTGACCGTGGATTAAGTTCCAAATGCTGGAACCAAGGAGGCAGTGCTCAGCCAGCAAACATATTTGGAAGTTTGAATGAGAAAATACAACTAGCATCTCTCCCAATCTAATAATATGGGGTGGGGGCCTTTCAAAAATCCTTGGTGTTGCATAAAAGCCTCCTCTTTAGCCCTCACAGATTGACTGGCTCCCGTTTTGGTGCTTCGGAAGAGCTCCTTGCTTCAAAGCAGTACCGGATCTTTGGCAGTTCCAAGAATTTTTTATTGAAGACGAGTTTTTACCCCCTCACAGATCACCTTGAGAACATGTTGGAGGCTCAGCAGCGAGACTCAAGCGCCCCTGGAAGATTTCACGTGGGGAGTGCCGAGTCCCGGCTGCACATCCGCTCTGCCGGGGGCTACACACCACAGCGGGCACTGATCAACCCCTTCGCCCCTTCCCGGATGCCCATGAAGCTCACGTCCAACAGGAGGCGCTGGATGCACACGTTCCCCGTGGGTAAGGATCTCCTCTTTGGCCTTTGTTGGTGTGCGTTGTTGTGTAATATGCAAGTTCTTCTTTTAGGGGGCTCTTGTCAACCATAGGGGTTCTGTCACCAACTTTTGCTTGGTTTGCTTTTTGTTCTATGGTTAGAGTTGCTTCTATTGTCATACTCTCTGAGACCCACAGTTCAGTCAGGAAAGCTTGAATTGATTGATTCATTGATTGATTGATTGATTGACTATGTGCCATCAAGCTGTTGTCCGCTCTTAGCAAGCACATAGATAGATTTTCTCCATGATGCTTTCCCCCCAATCTGTTCTTTTAGATCTTCCAAAGGTGCCCCCATCACCACTAGGATTGAGTCCACCCATCTTGCTGCTGGTCATCATCTTCTCTTTCCTTCCATGTTCTCCAGCTTGTCCATGATCCATCAGGTGTTTCCTTGGCTGGCCATGCTCTTCTCAGGAGTCTTCGCCAAGGCCAAAGTTGAAAAGCTTCAATTCTCTTCCTATCCTGCTTCTTCAAAGTCCAACTTTCACTTTTGTAGAGTGTCACAGGGAATACCATGGCTTGTCCATTTCTGATTTTTGTAGATATAGAGACATGGTGGCATTAAATACCGTATTTTTCGGACTATAAGACGCACCGGAGTATAAGACGCACCAAGATTTTGAAGAGGAAAACAAGAAAAAAAATATTTTTTGCCCTCCCCGGCTCCGAGGAGCACTCTGCAGGCCTCCCAAACCCTCTGCAAAAAACGGGCCCATTTCTGGCCTCCCAAACCCCCCATGCGTCACGTTTTTTCCCTCCCCAGCCCCCAGAAGCACTCCGCAGGCCTCCCAAACCCTCTGTGCGCCCTGTTTTTGTGAAAAATGGGCCTGTTTTTGGTGAAAATGGGACACGCAGGGCGGGGTTTTGGGAGGCCAAAAATGGCTGTATTTGGTGTATAAGACGCATCAACCCACTTTTAGGGAGAAAAAAGTGTGTCTTATACTCCGAAAAGTATGGTACCTTTTCCAAGACCTTCATGGCTGCTCTACTGAGTACTCGCCTGCAGTTTGACTCCTTCTTGGTTTAGTGTTGATGGTTGATCTTAAAAGTTAGAAGTTCTCCACCACTTCAGCATCTTCTTATAGTTGGTGGGATGTGAGCCAACAGTATATTGGCTTGCAAAAAAGTGTCTAGATTACATATCCTGGTTTACATAGAACAGTGTTACCAATTTTGGAATAAAACTGGACTTTTATTGTGTTTTTGTTACATTAGGCAAAATAAATCACAGCAAGGCTGTGAGAAACTGAGACTCTCTGGCTAAGGCTGGTAATCTCAGTTTCTCAATCTTACTCAAAAGTATTACAGTATGTAAAATAGTGGTTCTCAACCTTCCTAATGCCGCGACCCTTTAATACAGTTCCTCATGTTGTGGTGACCCCCAATCAGGGGTGGGTTCTAAATTTCTTTTACTACAGGTTCTGTGGGCGTGGCTTATTTTGTGGGTGTGGCTTGGAGGTCATGTGACTGGGTGGGCGTGGCTAACTCATGGCTATGTGTATAGGGACTACTCAGAGGGCTGAAAAAAGTCATTTCTGACAGGTCCTCGCACTTTTGACTGGTCCTCACACTTATGACCATCCTCACATTTATGCCTGTGCAGCATTCTTAACAACCATGTCACTGATTTCACAATTGCTTCTCTTCACCATGGTGATAATATAGGGCAAAAAATGTAAAATGTGAGGACAGTCGTAAATTCGAGGACTGGTCAAAAGTGCGAGGACCAGTCAAAAATAACTTTTTCAGCCCTCTGAAAAAGGATATGCATAAAAGGATACAGCAATAGAGAGGGATGAAGGAAGGGAAGGGAAATTAGAGTAGGAGTGAGGGTAAGAGAGAGGAAGAGAGGAGGAGAAGGAGAAAGGAAGAGGAAGTAGGAGAAGAAGAGGGGGAGGAAGAGAAAGTAAGAAGGAAAGAAAAGAGAGAGGTGGTAGGTTTGAGGAGAAAGATTGCTATACAATAAAAAAGATGAAAGGGAAGAAAACAAATCCCAAACAAATATAAAGATATTAAGATAAAGAATGAATTGTTAAACTTTAAAGAATAAAAGAGAACAAATATGAATAAATAGCAATAATTAGAAACACACATACAAACATACAACGTATTTTCTCTGAACAGAGTATTTGGCCGGTTCACAAATTTAAACAGTGTGTAGTCATTTCAATTAAATTTACAATTTCTATATTTCCTTTTTGCCATATTCATTCCTCATCTATTTTTTAAAAAAAACAATATTACTCTTCATCCTCATCTCTAATCTTAATCAAATTCAATTTTCCCCTTCTATTCTATATTATACCCCTTCCCATTGTCATCTATTTTTATATCCATCCTCACATTGGTTAATTATGTAATTATGTAATACAGTTGTTTAATACAAATTCAACATTTTAATATAGATCAATTAGTTATATAACTATCTTTTTTGTATATTAATCAATATGAACATGAATATTCCAATTATTTCCATGCAATCCAATTTCTTACAAATCAATTAATTATATTTACCAATAATAATAAACCAAATAATTTCCCCCATATATTCCTCCAAATCACAACTTAACTATTTCTGCTTTCAACACAATATACAATTAATAGTATCTCAATTATTACAATTCCCTAGTTAAATAGAGCTTTTTTTCTTTTGTGTTTTAAAATCTTGAACCTCCTCTTTTGCCCTAAATTTCCCATTGTTTGCAGTTTTGCACCTACCGTTTTTGGTGAGGAAAAAGAAAAAGAAATATCTCTCTGCCTCATTTTGTCACGTTGCAGCAAAGACCCTGCTTTACTTTCAGTTTTGCTTTTTCAGCATAGCTAGGGGAAAAAAAATCTGCTCCAGGAACTCTTTGCAACTAGCAACAGAACAGAGCCCTGCGCAAAACAGCTGAGAGCAGATCAGCTGAGAGTCGGGAGGCTGATCAAATCAACTTATGGTAATTAACCTATGCTGAAGCTGAAAGGGGCTGTTTTTCTATTTTTGCAGGCATCGGTCTATTCATTTGTTTTCTTTTAACACTGATCAGCTGTAGGGCGGCTCTTTGAAGCCCTGCGGCAAGAATTTAAACAGTTTTTTTCCCTCTAGCCATCAGCTGGGACTCAGGAGGCAGCAATAGATTAGGAGTGGGTGGGGTAAGCGACCGGCGACCGGCGATCCAACAGAGGCAGAGGGTGAGGGTGAGTGAAGGCGTGGGGGGGGTGAGAGAGGGCTTTGGCGACCCCTGGGAAATGGCCGTTCGACCCCCAAAGGGGTCGCGACCTCCAGGTTGAGAACCGCTGATGTAAAACCCTTGATTGACTACTATCTTACTGGGTGGTGGAGGTCCCTATCCAGAGGCCTGCTTGACAAGTATGTCATATGGAAAGTTGCAATTTTGAACGTAAGATGATTTTGACAAGTCATTCAGTCCAGTTTTCCAATGGGCATCATTTTCTCAGGATTGTCTGGTCAGTAACCAGCTTGTTTGGGTTCTGTGAGCTCATTAACGGTAATATCTAGCCATTTTGCCTTTGGTTTGCCTCTTTTATTGCCTTCCGTTTTTCCAAGTCTCGAGCTCTGACTCTTTAAATCCATAAACATTAAAAACCTGGTAGCAAACAAACTTCCGCATGCAATTCCTTATTAAATCCTCTTCTGCACTCCATCCCAGCACTTGGGGGGGGGGGACTTCATAAACAATGTCAGTTTTTGCCTAGCAGTGAGTATCTTCCCACTCCATGTGCTCAATAATCTCTCCAGTTTTTTCTGGATATAACAACTGGCTGACCAGTCTATAGCTACCTAATTCCTCCTTTTAGAAATGGGATCTATGCATTGGAATTTATGTCTGTGTACACACACACACACACACACACACACACACACACATGATAACCCCATACATACCCAAAGAGTACTTCAATCAGCTTTGATTAGGGAGAGAAATGAAACAGCAAAACGTGTGATTGGACAGGTCCTTCTGGAGAAGCCATCCAGATCCATCACCAGACCCGTCAGAACATGGCCGAAATGCAGGGCAGTGGGCAGCGGGACTGGACTCACTCCTCAGCTGAGCTGTTGGAACTTGCTTATCACGAGGCGGCTGGCAGGTAAGGGCATTTAGCGAGTGGGCCCTGAACTCACTGGGCGCCCTGCCATCGCAGGATCACCATCCCACTCAGGAGAAATTTTTCAGAAAACCTTTACTCCGATAGAATATTTATAGTTTGCAGTTGAACCATGGGGTCCTTTGAACTCTCTGAGCTTGGCTATTTACTTATAGACCAGGGATGTCAAACTCGCAATGACACGTCATGTTATGTATCATGACTTTTTCCCCCTTCGCTAAAATGGGGGTGGGCGTGGCCAGCGCGTGACCCATCCGGCCTGCAGGCTGCGACTTTGACACCCCTGGTATAGACGTTTGCCCAACTAAGTAATATCATCAGTGCCTTCATCCTTGCATCGATGACATTATGTAATTGGGTAATGAAACATCTGGAAGAAAACACCAAGCTCAGAGAACACCAAGGAACCCACAAAAATATCTGTTCCTGTCATTTGATTTCCATTTTAGCCTGGTACTTCCAGTTCTCATTTTTCTTACATATGCCCAATGAGGTTATTTTTTTAAATTGCCTTTTGATTTTCTGTTCTGGGCATGGATAACCTTCATGGTGACAACTGAATAGGATATGGATGGAAAGGATGTTTACCATCTGTTGTAAAAGCATCATGCAGATGGCCCATGTTGCCTCCTCTCCTTCAGTTGACTTGCAAGATGCTTGCTGAGGAAATGGGGAACTCCTGTGGCTCTTGCTTTTGCTGAGGTCCCTCAGGGAGGGGATGGAGTTGGTGGTCTGGCCCCAAGCCGAGATGCCTTCTAAGGTGGGTCTCTTTTTTCTTCCCTGCAGGCATGGCATTTCTAGGCAGTCAGAGGACAGCAGTTCCTGCTTGAGCTTCAGAGACATGAAAGATTATCCAAACCAGCTAGCAGGCAGCCAAGATCCAGGTAATCAAGTCAAACATTTCTGGCTGAGATGGAGTGTTGCTTCTCCAGCTGGCTTGACTCTCATCCACAAAACCCACCTGACTTTGGATGCCTTAAGGTAGCCAGGAAGAGCTAATCCCATGAGCCACTTTTAGTCATTTTTCTGCTGCTAGGATTTCATGGGCACTCAAAACTGAATGGCTGCTGGAGTTGGTAACTTGAACAGAATAACAGAGTTGGAAAGGACACTGGAGGTCTTCTAGTCCAGCCCCCTGCTCAAGCAGGAGATTCAGTCAAATGGCTGTTCAATCTCCTCTTAAAAACCACCAGTGATGGAGCCCTCACAACTTCTGAAGGCAAAGCCATTCCATAGTTAATGGCTCTCATTGTTAGGAAATTTCTCCTTAGTTCTAGGTTGCTTCTGTTCTTGGTTAGGTCCCATCCATTGCTTCTTGTCTTGTGTTCTGGTGCTTTGGAAAATAGGATGACCCCCTCTTCTTTGGGGCAGCCCCTCCAATACTGCTATCATGTCACCCCTAGTCCTTCTTTTCACTAGAGTAGACATATCCAATTCCTACAATCTTTCTTCATTTTAGCCTCCAGACCCCTAATCATCTTTTTTTTTTTAATTTGATTTATATGCCGCCCTTCTCCGGAGACTCAGGGCGGCTTACAATGCATTAAGCAATAGCCTTCATCCTTTTGTATATTTATACAAAGTCAGCTTATTGCCCCCACAAACTGGGCCCTCATTTTACCTACCTTAGAAAGGATGGAAGGCTGAGTCAACCTTGAGCCTGGTAAGATTCAAACCTGCAGAAATTGCAGGCAGCTGTGTTAATAACAGGGTGCATTAAACCACTGTACTACCAAGGCTCTTTGTTGCTCTTTTCTGCATTCTTTCCAAAGTCTCAACATTTTTTATAATGTGGTGACTAAAACTGAATGCAGTATTCTGAGTGAGGCCTTACTAAGGCTTTGTAAAGCGGTATTAGTATTTCACGTGATCTTGAGTCTATCCCTCTCGTAATGCCACTCAGGACTATTCCCTTCCCTTTCAGCAAAGGCAGGAATGAATGCCCACACACCCAGCAAGGAGCTGCTGGATGGCTCACCAGATCCAAGTAAGCACAGGGGGACAGGTGGGGGAGAGAAGGTTGGTGTGCATAAAACTGAGTGAGTTTGAGAGCTTTGACCTCTGGGTGTCTCTCGCATGGAACTCCTTCCCAGATGCCATGGAAGGCAGACTGGCTGTCTCCCCCTCTCTCTGGGAGGGCTTTGGGGTTTGGCGATCACAGTTGCTGCTGCTGGAAATGTACCCGTGTGCCATGTACCCATGAGGGCAGGAAATGCCATCCATCTTTGAAAATGCTGTCTTCTGAGATCATAACAGATAAAAGAAAAAACAAAAGCAAGAAGCAAGCATGTGCTAGATGGATTCTTTAGATTTTTGGCTTGTCAACATTGTTGCAATCAGGATGGAGAGAGCAGCTAATAAACCTTCTGATTCAAGCAGATCTTCTGGCCTCAGTAAGGAACACCCAGCAGGAGATAAGAGAAAAGGTACCACCGGTGCTGGATCTCTCTCTTCAAAGGGTTAACAGCCTGTTTCTCACAGCTCCCGAAGAACCTGAGCATCAGTTAGGCAGCAATAAGAATCAGAATGTAAATTCTTATTTTAAAGAAACGGTGCAAATGGAAAACCCCATTCTTAAGCCGCTTCTTCTCTTTCCCTTGTGGCCCAGAGAGAAAGCTTCCTCCAAATGTTTCTGCTCTGAGGCAGTGAAAACAGAGTTTGAACTTTGATTTGGCTCATTGCTGTGCAGAATTACAACGATGGACTTGTGGATCCCATGCGAGTGATTCCTTCAAGAATCTTCCATGGGGACCCTGCCCTGGGAAGCATTCTAGATCAGCTTTTAAGAAGGAAGAGCCACCTTAGGCCAGCGATCCAATGAAGCCCAAGGAAATCGCTCCTAAGCAGCCTTTGCCTTGGGGTGGAAGGCAGTTTGAGTGCTTTTTCATCTCCCTGGGCTGTCAGTCCTTGACTCTGGAGCAGCCCTTCCAGGCAACCCTCCAAACCAGAAAGTAGAGCAACTTTCTCAAGCAAAGCTGTGCGGGACCACACAGGCATCTCTGGGCATCCCAGGAATGACCAGCTGGAAGCAGAAGATTTGCAAGCTAGAAGGGCTGATTTGGGGAGGCATATCCCTGCCAAGGTCCTTCTTGAAGCTAAAGAAGATGTTTTAAATTGGTATCGAAGTGTATTTTTGTGTGTGTGTGTATGTGTGTGTGTGTGTGTTAAATATATATGCATCCCAGCAACCTGGGTTGAAATGAATGAGAAGTGCTAGAAATGAAGTGTAATGTTAGGCTCTTGAGCTGAGTTTTGGAGTCTTGTTTGATCAGCATTGGGACGTAGCTGATGCTACTATTTTCATATCTCTTTCCTCAAGCTGAGCAGGAGCGCTTCCAAGGCCAGAGGCTTCTGGACCCCCCCCAACCATCCTTCCATCACTTCCACCCCCAGCCCCAGCCCCTGTCCTCTAGGGCATTTTCCTGCCTCTGCCAAGAAGATCCAATTCCAACCCTCCCTTTGTCTTTGCTCCCCACTTCAGACCAGCCCTTCACAATTTACCCAGGAGTTTTTGATTGGGGGCTCTTTGCCAATAGAAGTATGAAAAATCTCAGGATCTCGTGCTGATTGGATGACTTCCAAGGAATCCTAAAGGTCCTGGAGGCAGATCCCCTCAGTCAAAGCCCACTGGGCTTCCTTCTGCCCTGATAGTTGCACAGAAGGGGGTGCCCTCTGTGCCGTGTATCTAGGAAGAGGTGAGGGGGTGGGTTGGGGCTGGGTCCCATTCAGGGGGGAGGGACAGTGGCTCTGGTCTCGGGAGTGTCTCTTTTGGGGCATTTAAGGAAGTCCAGTCAAACCACTTTTCCCTGAATTTCCTTCTCCAGTTTCCACTTTTTCTTGTCCTCGGTTTTTTTTCCCCTTCCCTTTTGTGTTTCTTTTTGAGCCCTGGGAATGCCCCCCCCCCCCTTGTCTCTCTCTGCTGTGGCTGCCATACTGACGTGCCTGTTCTGCCAACACAGGCTCTCTCCTCTCCCCCCCCCCCGCCATTTCTCTTGCACTGACACAAGAGGAGGACTTGGTTTAATTTGCTGAACTGGGCTTTGAATCCTGGTGCTGTTCTGTGTTTTTGTGCGCCTCGTTGTGCTTGAGAGTGACGTTAATTCTGCAGTGGCTGATTTGGCTTGGATTCCAAATCACCGGGCAAGGGAAGCATATTAACTTTTCAACCCCAGTTGCATGATGGGAATGAGCTGGCATGGGCTCACTGCACTGTTTAACCGACTCTGTCTTTCTTCCCCCATCCCCCCTTCCTCTCCCCTCTGGATTTCATATCTTCCACCCCTTGTGTTTCTGTTTCTCTTCACTGGCTTCTGTGGCACTTCCCGCCATTCCTGGCTCCTGGTCTCTCCTCCTCTTCTCCTCCTCCTCCTCCACTTCCTCCTTCTTGCCCTCTGTATGCAACACGAGACAGTTCTGACACTGTCTGCTCCCCCCATAGTGCCAGGCTTCTGTTGTACTGTTGGGGTGGACTGGAAGTCTCTCACCACTCCGGCCTGTCTTCCCCTGACCACGGATTACTTCCCGGACCGCCAGAGCCTCCGGAACGACTATACTGAGGGCTGCTACGACCTCCTTCCTGAAGCGGACCTTGAGAGGTGCGTCTGCCTGGGGATCCACTGGCTCTCAGGTGACCAAGTCACACCGGCCGTTACCTGAGCGCCACCAAGTGTGGCTAGGAGGAGAAGTGCCTAGAGTTGTCCTCTCTGCTCTGGCTTGACCCCAGGGGCCACTGGTCAGCTTGTCCTTGCAAAGAGGGCGGATGGCTTTTTTCCCCCCACTCGGGCTCCATCGCTGAATGAGCTGCAGAGAGGAACCGGGCTGGGCCTGGCTTTTGACGCAGCCATTCAGAAAAGCTGCATGCCACAGATGAGCTCCCTTCATCCGGGACGTTCCTGGTAGCTTTTGTGTTTCTGAATTTGGAGCTTTCAATTCCAACAATAGCACCTCTGTAGTCCTCAGGCACCCACGTTCGTGGTTTCCTCCTCCTCTTCCTTGGCTGGGCTTGGAGGGTGGTCATGTCTTGGGGTGCCTCTTGGGGTGCCACACACACTCATTGTGGCACTTGATAAAGCAACCTTGAGCACCAAATGACTTCCCTTGATCAGAAGCCCAGGCTCTTCCTACTCAACAATATTTCTGGGGAGGAGGCGACCAATCTTAGGGGGAGCTGATTTGCCAGTGCACCCAGTCGTGAGGAGGCACTTGAGCTGAGTAAAAGTGTGGCGTGTAGCTCTCTCCAGTCATGGAGCAGTGCCAGAGCAAGGGGCACCCCCAAGAGTGGCACCAGCCAGTCTTAAGGGCACCTGAAAGGAGGAGAACCGAAGCAGCAATAGAGGCGGCAGATGGAGCTTTGATTCATTCATTCATTTGATTATATAACTGCCCATCTCACATTTGTGACTCTAGGTGGGAAATAAAACAGATAAAATACGTGATATAAAGAATAAAACCCACAGCAGCCTGGCGTCATCCAAACAACAATCAACATAGGAGAACATATGTCATGGTGGTTGTAAATTGAGACACACACGTGATGAACACCATTTTGGGATTTTTTTGCAGTGGTCATTATGCAAACACTGCAGTCGTTAAGTGAACCCATTTTCTGTAATAGTCATTTTTTGCCAGAAACTAGGCCAATTTCCATCACTGTGGCTGATCATAATTCAAGGACTAACTGTAGAGGCATCTCCATGCTGTACAGGCCCGGGAGCTCTCCCACTTTCTGGTTCCCTGAGCTCCTGGGAGCTGAGCAGGAAAGGCGTCCTGCCCTTGAGCAGGGCCTGTGGCTGGAACTATTGGTGCCCAATTCTCAGGCCCCAGCGCCCCTTATTCCTGGCCTCCTCTAGTGCCGGCTGCTCTGGGGAAGAGGGAGTAGTAGATGGGGAGGGTCCCCTGTTCCTGCCTATGATGACCCCTCCCCCTTCCTTTCTCAGGAGGGACGAGGAAGGCCTGCTGATGACAGCCCAGCAGGTCTTTGAGGAATTCATCTGCCAGCGTCTCATGCAGGGCTACCAACTCATTGTGCAGAGCAAGCCCCAGAAGCCAGCAGCGGTCCAGCCCCCCCTTAGCAGCAGCCCCCTGTACAGCAGAGGTGAGTCCCCACATTGGGAGGGCAGTTTGGATGTGGCAGCCAAGGGCACCTGGACCAGGGAGAGGCAGAAGGTAACCAGCCATTGACCTATCCGAGTGAACATGATACATAATGGTACCCAGGATGCAGGTAGACCCAGGATCTCCCATGGGCCAGGTGAAGATCAAAGAATGATGGATGGGTAAAAGTTCCAAGAGTAGGATATGGACTTTCCTGATCAAGGACTACCCAGGAACCAAATTATACTTGTCCATGACTTGTCCATGTCCATGATGAAAACCAGCTGGTCCAGGGAAGGGAATATGACAAAAAGAGAAGCTCTCTGTGTAAACTGGGAGAACTGTGTGAGGTGTGTAAAAGGATGTGTGTCAGAGGTGGTATTCAGCCGGTTTGCACCAGTTCACACGAACCGTTGGCAGAAGATCGCCAAACCAGTAGTGATGGCTGGCTGGCCATGCCTCTGAACCGGTCCCCCAGTTGCTGCTTGCTCGCCCTCCCGCCCACCATGTTCGCTGCCACCATGTTCTTCATGTACATGCATCCCATTGCCTTGTAAGTCCAATGGGATGCGCATGCACAAAGAACATGGTGGCGACGGCAGCAGCTTTTTCCGCAACCTCTGGTACTTTTCGGCAGCTGGAGGCCGCCGAAAACTCCGGTCAGCTTGCCTTCCAGACTCTGGACCAGCCGCCGCGGAAGGTAAGCAGCCTGAACAAAGAGGCGGTAGTAGGGGAGGAAGCGGGGCTAGGGCCGGGGCTGCTAAAGGAGGGGAAACGGGGCTGACTAGCGAAGGGAGGGTGGGGGTAGATAGGTGGAAATTCCAAAAATTTTCCTACCTTTTCCTGTGGGCGTGGCTAGGTGGGTGTCATGTGACTGAGTGGGTGTGGACATGAGTGATGTCAAGTTGGCCATATCCACTCAGTCACATGCCCCCACCTAGCCACACCCACCAAACCGGTAGCAAAATTTTTGAAACCCACCACTAATGTGTGTGTGTGTAAAGTGTAAATGCTTCTCTGCCCTTGGTATTCTATTTGCTCATCCTAATTGCTACATCTTCTGCCTCTGCCTTGATGGGGAATCTTTCTAGACAGACTCCCGCTGCTTCAAGGCAATGTAGGGAAACCGTGTGTTTGCTAATTTCAATCAGTCCTCTGCTTATATTTCTTGGGTAAATGATCTGCACTTCTAATTTGTCTTTTTTCTCTGCCCAGGTCTTGTGTCACGCAATCGACCTGAGGAGGATGACCAGTACTGGCTGAGCATGGGCCGGACCTTCCATAAAGTGACTCTGAAGGACAAAATCATCACGGTCACTCGGTATCTGCCAAAGTGAGTATCTGTTCCTGCCCACTCTTTGAGCAGGAAATGGGAGTCATGGGAAGTCTGGCAGGGTCTTCATTGCCCTTTAGGGCAGGGCCTCCATTCTTGGCAATTTTAAGACTTGTGGACCAACTTCCAGCAGGGCTGACTGAGGAATACTGGGAGTTGAAGTCTAGAAGTCTCAAAATTGCCAAAGTTGGAGACTCCTGTTTTAGAGCATTGGAAAAGAATCCTGAAAGCCTGCCAAACCGTTCACTTCAGCCTAACACAGACTACGCATCCGGTTCCTAGGGAAATCATAATTAGCCAGGGTCATTATTTTATTTTATTAAATTTCTATACCGCCCTTCTCCTGAAGGACTCAGGGCGGTGAACAGCCAGAGGATAAAACACAGAGATACAAAATTTAAAATAGATTAAAACAAATTAAATAATTTAGGCTGAATTTTAAAATACCCCATAATTAAACAGATTAAAATTTGTGTTTAAAATTTAAATTTAAAACAGGAGAAGATTTAGGCCAGGCCAGCTTGATGAAATAAAAACATTTTAAGCATGCGACGGAAGGTGCGAAGATCCGGGATCCTCCGTATCTCCGGGGGGAGCTCGTTCCAGATCATAGGTGCCCCCACAGAGAAGGGTCTCCCCCTGGGGGCCGCCAGTCGACATTGTTCGGCCGACAGCACCCGGAGGAGCCCCTCTCTATGGGAGCGTACTGGCCGGTGGGAGGCTATTGGTGGTAGCAGGCGGTCCCATAGATAACCAGGTCCTAAGCCATGGAGCGCTTTAAAGGTGGTAACCAAAACCTTGAAGCGCACCCGGAAGACCACCGGGAGCCAGTGCAGCTCGCGCAGGAGAGGTGTTACATGGGAGCTCCACGTTGCTCCCATCACCACCCGTGCAGCCGCACTCTGCGGCAGTTGGAGCCTCCGAGTGCACCTCAAGGGGAGCCCCATGTAGAGAGCATTACAATAGTCCAGATGAGAGGTGACGAGGGCATGAGTGACTGTGTGTGTGTAGGGAGTCCCGATCTAGAAAGGGACGCAACTGACGGATCAGGAGAACCTGATGAAAAATCCTCCCGGTCACGGCCATCAGGTGCTCTTCTAAAGACAGCCGTGAATCCAGGAGGACGCCCAAGTTGCGAGCCCTTTCCGTGGGGGCCAATGATTCATCCCCAATAGTCAGCGATGGCACCAGCTGTCTATATCGGGACATCGGAAACCACAGCCACTCAGTCTTATCCAAGACTCAGGGTTGAGCCTGAGCCTGTTCCTCCCCATCCAGATCCGTACGGCCTCCAGGCACCGGGACATCACTTCAAGGGCATCGTTGGAGGGAAGAGCTGAGGATTTTGTTCAGTATCTGCATGACAAAATCACTCAGATTTGGGCAGGTCTGGACTCTGACTGGATAGATCCAGCGAGGGTGATGAGAGCAGGTCTTGAGACTGTTATCTGGGATGAGTTTGATCCTGTGACCCCAGATGTCGTGGACAGGATTCTGGGTAGATTGAACGCGACCACATGTTTGTTGGACCCGTGCCCCTCCTGGTTAGTGCTGGCTTCCTGGGAGGTGACGCGAGGTTGGCTCCAGGGGATTATAAATGCTTCGTTGGGTGAGGGTGTCTTCCCCGCCTCCCTGAAAGAGGCGGTGGTAAGGCCCCTCCTCAAGAAGCCTTCCCTGGACCCGGCAGTATTGGCTAATTATCGTCCAGTCTCTAACCTTTGCTTCGTTGCGAAGGTTGTTGAGAGTGTGGTTGCGCGACAGCTTCCCCAGTACCTGGATGAAGCGTCGTATCTAGATCCGTTCCAGTCGGGCTTCAGGCCTGGGTACAGCACGGAAACGGCATTGGTCACGTTGGTTGATGATCTCTGGAGGGCTCGGGACAGGGGTTGTTCCTCTGTCCTGGTCCTGTTAGACCTCTCAGCGGCTTTTGATACCATCGACCATGGTATCATGCTGCACCGGCTGGAAGGGTTGGGGGTGGGAGGCACCGTTTTACGGTGGTTCTCCTCCTTTCTCTCTGACGGGTCGCAGTCTGTGTTGACAGGGGGGCAGAGATCGACCCCGAGGCCCCTTATATGTGGGGTGCCACAAGGATCGGTCCTCTCGCCCCTTTTGTTCAACATTTATGTGAAGCCGCTGGGCGAGATCATCCATGGTTTCGGGGTGAAGTACCATCTGTACGCTGACGACACCCAGCTGTACATCTCCACCCCGGACCACCCCAACGATGCCCTTGAAGTGATGTCCCGGTGCCTGGAGGCCGTACGGATCTGGATGGGGAAAAACGGGCTCAGGCTCAACCCATCCAAGACCGAGTGGCTGTGGTTTCCGACGTCCCGATATAGTCAGCTGGTGCCATCGCTGACTATTGGGGGCGAATCATTGGCCCCCACGGAGAGGGCTCGTAACTTGGGCGTCCTCCTGGATTCACGGTTGTCTTTAGAAGAGCACTTGACGGCCGTGACCGGGAGGATTTTTCATCAGGTTCGCCTGATTCGCCAGTTGCGTCCCTTTCTAGATCGGGACTCGTTACACACAGTCACTCATGCCCTCGTCACCTCTCGTCTGGACTATTGTAACGCTCTCTACATGGGGCTCCCCTTGAGGTGCACCCAGAGGCTCCAACTGGCGCAGAGTGCGGCCGTGCAGGTGGTTATAGGAGCAGCGTGGAGCTCCCATGTAACACCTCTCCTGCGCGAGCTGCACTGGCTCCCGGTGGTCTTCCGGGTGCGCTTCAAGGTTCTGGTTACCACCTTTAAAGCGCTCCATGGCTTAGGACCTGGTTACTTATGGGACCGCCTACTACCATCAATAGCCTCCCACCAACCAGTACGCTCCCACAGAGAGGGGCTCCTCCAGGTGCCGTCGGCCAAACAATGTCGGCTGTCGGCCCCCAGGGGGAGAGCCTTCTCTGTGGGGCCACCTACTATCTGGAACGAGCTCCCCCCCGAGATACGGAGGATTCCGGATCTGTGCACCTTCCACCGTGAGCTGAAGACTCTTTTATTTCATCAAGCTGGCCTCCCCTAAATCTTCTCCCTTTTAAGTGTAAATTTTAAATTTTTACTTTATTTTAAAATATGGGTATTTTAAATTATGGGTATCAATTCAGCCAAATTTATTTAATTCATTTTATTCGATTTTAAATTTTGTATATGTATGTGTTTTATTTCATGGCTGTTCACCGCCCTGAGTCCTTCGGGAGTAGGGCGGTATAGAAATTCAATCAAATCAAATCAAATCAAATCAAATCTTGTGAATGAGAGTAGGAAAGCTGGGGGGCGAAAGGCATTCACCAGCCACTTTTATGTTAAAAGACCTTCCCCCATGGCATCTGACTTGAAAAGGCTTGCTTTGATATTTTTGTTCCTTTTAGGTACCCGTATGAATCTGCCCAGATCAATTACACTTACAGTCTGTGTCCTTCCCACTCAGACTCAGAGTTTGTCTCTTGCTGGGTGGACTTTTCCCACGAGAGGCTAGAGGAATATAAGTGGAATTACCTGGATCAGTACATCTGCTCGGCTGGTTCGGAAGATTTCAGGTAAGCCGAGGGCCTTGGTTCTCCAACTCTTTAAATAGGTGCATAGTGAGCACCTGGTTCTTTAAAAGGATGCCCTTGTGAGGAGTCCCAAAGACAGGATGGCCAGTCTAGGTGAGCTAATTCTAGTTTATTGTAAGGCTCGTTGACTGAAACTTGCAACTCTGAAGGTACAAACCACTTCTAATTACTTGAGCCTTTCGTGTGGATCCTTTTTAAGTTTCTCTGCCTGTTAAGCCCCTGGGGACTCCTGTCTCGCTTGCCTGGTTGTTTCCTAGGCAGCTTCTCTTCCCCTCATCCCCCAAGGTCACCCACACGGTCCATTAAGTTCTTTGCTCATCTTTCTTGCATTTCACAGAGAATTTGGAATTAATAATAATCACAGCTGAGGTCGTTTGTGGGAAACCAGAGGCTGGAAGCCCAGATTCCCACTGACTCCCTGGAACTGGATTCACGGCCTTCAGGGAGAAAAGAGGAGGAAGGGCTCCAGGGCATTGCTTTCTTTTCCCCTGCAGCGATAAACGTGCTGCTGTAATAGATTTCATAACTTGCCATCTGCAAATCCCTTTTTTCATTTTGGTTATTGTTTTTTTTTTTTATGTGAATGAAGACAAACATACAAGTCCCAGGATAACGTTGCAGGATCCAATCTGAATGGGTCATCGGGGCCAAAGGTTTACTCTTCCAAGCTTTTGGGCTCGTGATGGAACCCATCATCAGGGAAATTCTCTCTCTCCAAAATATCTGGAGAGAAATAACTGTATTGTAGAGAGAGCACTTCCCTGATGATGGGCTCCAGCACGAGCCCAAAAACCTGGAAGAAGAAACCTTTGGTCCCAGTGGTTGAATCCTGCATTTTTTAAAAATAGAAATATGACTTCCCTGATCTGTATCTCTTAATATTTCAAGATATGGGATAGATTTAATAAATGGCCCTCCTGGCAATTCAGCGCTCGTACCTCTGCCATTTTGGGGCAGAAGGAAAACCCTGATTTGAACACTTATGCTTCCACACAGCCCAGTGGGGAAGGGCCACAGGAACCAGTTCCTCCCTTTCTTCCAGGCTTTTAATGATTAAGGGTTTAAAGTTTAAACTGAAGGTTGCAGGGCTGTATTTGTAAGAGAGGGACAGGATAAGTTTTGAAACAGGCATTGGGAAAGCTCAGGGTCTGGTGACAGCCCCATGGAGGAAAACACTGGCTTGATCTCGCCCCCCTCGGCTGCCGCTTTCTCTCCACATAGCCTGATTGAGTCGCTCAAATTCTGGCGGACACGTTTCCTGCTCCTGCCGGCCTGCATCAGCGCCACCAAGCGCATCATGGAAGGTGAAGCCCACTGTGATATCTATGGTGGCAAGGCTCGCTCTGACGAAGAGGAGTGGCAGCTCTTGGACGGCTTCATTCGTTTTGTGGAAGGGCTGAACCGCATCCGCAGGCGGCACCGTTCGGACCGGATCCTCCGGGTAAGTCAGGGCACACAGTCCGGGAGCTTCCCCACCCGACCTCTGGTTGCAGAACAGAACTGGGCTCCTCCATTGTGGAAGGAGCACATGAGTGTCTCAGCTTCCTGGCCCATGGAGGTTTTTTTTTAGAAAAGGAGGATGAAAAGATCTCCACATGAAGAAGTAAGACTTTATTTACCTATCAGATTTGTTTCCTGCTGAATCTTTCAGTGTCCCATCAGTTTACAACATGCAATGCCTGCATCTCTGCTTTCAAGAAAGTGATAGAACAAATTCTATCCGTTGTTGGAGCTGTTGTTCTTCATAGATAGGAGTCAGAAAGCTCCAGTTCCCAGAATCCTTTGGGAAAATTCAAGGCTGTCCTAAAACTGACCCCCTCCTCAGGTGCCCACGAGCATCTCTTCTCTTCCCCTCCTCTCGCTGACTCTTTGCTGTCTTCCTCCTGTCCAGAAAGGTCCTGCAATGAAAGGCCTGCAGATCACCAGCCCCCTTCCTGCCCCCTCTCTGGAACCTTCAGGGCCGCCTCCACTGGCCAAGAAGGGGACCTCCGCGCTCTCGGCTCTCTTAGAGATGGAGGCCAGCCAAAGGTGAGTTCCCGGAGAAGCACACCTGCACGCGATTGCATCACTCCATATGTACATCCACACATCCCAGTTTCTCAGTTTAGGAACCTGCATGCTTCATATCTATCTGGCACTGAAGTGGTTCGGCCAATCAATGAGCTGGATCTCTCTGGAAGAACCTCTGAGTTCTTCCAAAGGATCTACTTCATGTACACACACTTGATAACCCTTCTGTAGTCTTCCATCCTTTTCATGCCGTGATACCCTGCCAGTCAAATCTGGTGTCAAGTCTCCGACTAACAAACCCAAGCAAATCAGAACTCTCAGACTAGGATCCTTCTCAACATTCTTGTTTATTGGGTACTTCATATCGGCACATCTTCAAAGGAAAACCCACTCTAAATCTTTCCCGTGGTTTCAGCATAATTAAACTTAAGAGACAACCCCATCCCCAAGTGTCACAAGTCACATTGGCCAATTGGGTTAATTGGCGGTCTCTCCAGGCACTCCTTCCCTTATCTGTTGCCAGTAGAGATGACTGTGGTACTTACGAGAAAGCTCTCTGTTGTGTCTAGTAAGGCATTCCAACCTCCTTTCCCCCCTTCCCCCTCTGTGTGGCAACTGAGGAACAGAAAAATGGCCGCTGCCAGGTTCGGTTCAAAGTTGACATCTGGATCATAGATAGCAAGTATCACACAGGGCCTTTGAGATGATCAAAGTGTGGGAAACTATGGCCCCTTTACAACCTGTGGACCTCCTGAGCCGGATCATAACTCCCAGAATTAAGAGTAATGACCAACACTTTGAAGGGGATCCAGAAACAAATTGGCAACCAGTGCAGTTTGTGCAACAGCAGTGTTACATATGTCACCCAAGGGGCCTCCAGAACCGTCCACAGTGCTGTGCTCTATTCCAGTTGTAGCTGCTGAATATTCTTCACGGGTAGCCCCAGGTAGAGTGCATTGCAGTAATCCAACCAAGAGATGACCCAGGGCATAAGTGACACCTCAAAATGTACACTTTTACTTTCGAAATAATCATGTATGAGACATTTTATTGGTTTGCTTGTTTAATTAATTAATTTGGTTTGCCACCCATCTCATCACAAGAAGACTGGGTGGTTTACAATGTTAAAAAGAATAAAACAATGCAAAAATATGTATTCAGGTAGTCCTCAACTTATGACCACAGTTGAGCCCAGAATTTATGTTGCTAAGTGAGAAATTTGTTAAGTGAATTTTGCCCCATTTTACCATTTTTCTGGCCACATCTGTTAAGTAAATCACTGCAGTTGTTAAATTAGTAGCATGATTCTTAAGTAAATCTGGCTTCCCATTGACTTTGCTTGTCAGAAGTTCACAAAAAAATAATCACATTTATTTATTTATTGGTTCTATTTATATGCCGCCCTTCTCCGGAGACTCAGGGCGGCTTACAACACGTTAACCAATAGGCTTCATACTTTTGTATATACCTGATGAGTAGGGCTTTCGGGCCCCCCCCCCAAGCGGTGTTCTTTTTTTATACAAAGTCAGCTTATTGCCCCCACAATCTGGGTCCTCATTTTACCTACCTCGGAAGGATGGAAGGCTGAGTCAACCTTGAGCCTGGTGAAATTTGAACTTGCAGTAATTGCAGGCAGCTGGTGCTAGTTAACAGCACATTAGTCTGCTGCGCCACCAAGGCTATTGACCCCAGGACACTGCAACCCTCATAAATATGAACCGGTTGTCAAGCATCCGAATGTAAATCATGGGGCCATGGGATGCTGCAAGGGTCATAAGTGTGAAAAATGGTCATTAGTCACTTTTTTCAGTGCTATTGTAACTTCAAAAAGTCATTAAATGAACTGTTATAATTCAAGAACTACCTGTACAATAAAAATAAGACACTATAAAAATACAAATTACAGCTATAACTAAAAGATGGAGAGGGGGGAGTAGATGAGCGGGGGGGGGGGGGTGGGATCCATATTAATCTATCAACCACTTCCAGTGTGATGCTTCCCCATTGGAGCCCCCACAGGTGGGGGGCATTCTGGGTAGTCCTGTGTCTGTGGGCTCCTTGCCTAGAATCAAAATCTCTGATAGGAGCTCGCAGGGAGTCCTGGCATGGAGGTGGGGCGTTTCTTCTCCAATGATGGCTGAGAGATTTTTCATGGACCTCTCTCACTTGTTTCTAGGATATTGGGGGAACAACAAGCCGCAGCCCTTGCTGGGAAGACCTCTGTCCAGCCAGCGGAGACTGGCAGCATCGCCATGACACCCACCTACCTGGACAGTCCACGGAAGGTGAGGACGGAAGCTTCAATACAATGACACACTCCTGCATGGGGCTCTGTGCACGTGGCTTGCATGTGCCCTCAGTTAACCGCTGACAGGGTCACCAATCTGAGATAAGGGATGAGTCGTGACACCAGACCAGGTGGATGAGGTATATGTGAAAGAGCTGGCTGGGGAATTCTCTGAGTTAAAGTCCACCCGTCTTAAAAGTGGCCAAGGTTGAGGAACACTCATCTTCACAGTTAGCAAGTCTTTCATTTTGGGGGGGGGGGGGGGGGGATCTTTGGGGACAGTGTTCAGCTGAGGTCCTTGCATTCTTCCAAGGTGAAAACGAGGTGTGTGTGTATGGGTTGAAATGCTTGACCCACAGGGCAGCTCTTGCATTGCATGCCTGTTTTGATCGTTTTGGATCACCGACGGGGGCTCAGGCCCAGTTGCGAGATGCTTGTCAATGCCTCCCTTTGGCACTTCAAAATACAAGCCTGTTCTGCCCCAGCTACGGATCCCAAAGAACACAGCATACACAAACTCTGAACAAAACTTAGTTTACTCAAATAACGCAGTTTTAGCAAATGCCGGCTGTTAATAAGCGTTCTTAACAGCCTGCCAGAATTTGACAGATAAGATAGTCAGAGTCTGACTGGAGTTGGCAGAAAGCCCAGAAGCAAGGTTGCAGAGACATCCCAACGCGATGATTAGCGAACTAAAGTTGTTTCCTGCAGCTTGTTACAAGCTGCGTTCCTCCTTAAATAGGCTAAGGGAGTGGCCAATTAGCCCCAAGCCTTACTCTCAAGGAGACCTCCTCCTGAGAAGCCACTCCTGCCTTTTGGCAGCTCTGCGTGCCTGTGCATTGAGAAGAGGCTCCTCCTCTTCATCCTCTTCACTTAAAGGAGCCTCTGGAGGTTCTGAAGGCCCTGACTGAATCCCTGCCTCTGGCACCACATCCTCTCCAGCCTCCTCGCCGGCTGCACAGGCTGCTGGCGCAGCACCACACCAGCCTCCTCGTCGGGATCAGCAACAATCCGCGCAGACTGCTGGCGGGCCACAACAAAGCCTGGTATTCCGGCCCCTCCTGGTTGGGTTCAGGCATGGGGTGAATGCTGGCTCAGCCAGGTCATTGCAACCTCCAGGCATAGTTCCAATGCTTGAAATGTACCATGGCCGGCCAGCTGCAGGCTGCATTCTGCAAAGCATCTGCTTTTCCACCTGCTTTGAATGTCACAGTCATTCAGTGAAACTCTCTTGGGCACTAAGTGAAACCCCGGAGAGATTCCTGCCTCCCTGAGACGGTCAGAGGCGTTTTGAGAGGTTGGACTTTGAATGGTGTGGCAGGGCCAGCACTTCCATTTCTGCTCTGACACAGGCTTGACTCCCAGCTTGTCATCCCCATTGGACTCTCATCTACCAGAGATGGATTAATTTGAATTCCTGAATCATCATCATCATCATCATTCTAGCCATTGTCTGTCATGCAGGATGAAGGTCTCTTCTACATGTTTCCAACCAATAACAAAGGTCCTGAGCTTTCTTTGGACAATTGGGCCTGCAATACTTGCTGATGTCCTCAATCCATCTTGTTTTAGGTCTCTTTGGTGGACGCTTTTGATCAAGTGGGATCCATTCTATGACTGCCTTGGTCCACCTGCCCTCAGTTCTTCTTGCTCTGTGACCTGCCCATTTTCATTGCAATTCTTTGACACTCTTGATGGCATCGTATATTTTCTTTTGTTCTCTAATCCATGTGCAGGCCTTTCTATCTTGTTTTGTGATGCTGAGCGTGGATCTTTCCATGGCTCCCTGTGCCACTCATAGCTTTTGTATCGATTGTGAGGTTAGTGTCCATGTTTCACCAGCATCAGTTAGAGTAGGTAGCACACATTGATTGAAAACTTTTCTCTTCAGGCATAGCGGGAGGGAGGTTGTTCTTGAAAATTATGCTTAGCTGGCTGAATGCCTGCCAATCACATTTAACACGCCGTTCAGTTTCCTTTATTGTATCATCTTCCATTGAGAACCATTGGTCAAGGTTTATGTAGCGCTCTACTACTTCTAGTTCTTCTCCAGATAAATAAAAAAATCTTTCTTTGATGAATTTATTAGACATAACCTGGCTCTTTTTCAGGTTTATTTTTAAGCCAAACGGTTCTACTGCTTCGTGCAGCTTTTGTGTCCTTGTAGCTCTTCTGGGTCTTGTGAGAAGAGAACAACATCATCTGCGAATCTTAAGTGATTTAAATAGGCGCCATTGATTTTTATTCCATCTTTTGCCCAGTCTGGTTTGCAAAATGCTTCTTCAAGGCAGGCTGAGAAAAGGAGAGGTGCAGTGGTGAAATCTGAACCGCTTTACTACCGGTTCACTGGCTGCGCATGTGCAGTGCAGGCCAAAAGGAGGCATGCGGTAAGTAGAACAGTGCGCGGGGGGGGGGTGATCAGCTGTGGTGCGCAATCTTTTTTTTTTTTTACTTTTAAAAGCATTTTTTCGACCAAAGAGGTTGTAGAAAAAATGCTTTTAAAAGTATTTCTTTAAAATGCTTTTAAAAGTAAAAAAAAAAAAAAAGCCTCTGATGATCACTTAGCTGGGCATGGGAGGGGGGGCAGGGATTTTTGCTACTGGTTCTCTGAACCACCCGCCTCCATCGCTACCGGATCGGGCAATCCGGTCCGAACCGGGAGCATTTCACCCTTGGATAGGTGATATCATATTGCCTTATCATACACCTCGTTCTATGTTGATTTCCACTTTAAGGTCATTAAGGCAAATTGTCACCAATGTTTTTTCATATATTGATTGTAGTAAGTTTATGTAAGCAGTGTCTACACCTTGGTTGAGCAATGCCTTAATTATTGCTTGCTGGAATGCTGAGTCAAAAGCCTTTTCATAGTCAATGAAGGCCACGCACAGAGGCCTGGGGTACTCGTTGTGCTTTTCAATGACTTGCTGAACAACCTGGATGTGATCTGTTGTGCTGCATCCACTTCTGAAGTCTTCCTGCTCCTTTGGCTGTACATCATTTAATGTTCTCAACATTCTTTTTGCTATTGTCTTGGTGAAAACCTTGTAGATGACTGAGAGAAGGCTTATTGGGCGAGTTTTTAAAATCATCTTGGGCCCCTTTCTTGTGTACACAATTACTTCAGCGTTTTTTCATGCATCGGGTATTTTTTCTTCTCTGAGGTATCTCGACTATAGTTTTGCTAGTATCTTGCGTAAACTGTGACCACCAGCTCTCAGCATTTCAACCATAAGATGGTCATTTCCTGAAGCTTTGCCATTTTTCATTGATTTTATGGCACGATACTTCCTCCACTAGGATATCTGGCATTTCCTCTTTCGTGGATGTTATTAATTTTGAGTGATCTTGATCTTTGTATAGCTTGGAATAGAATTTTCCAATTATTTCTAACATTTCCTGTCTTGTTCTACACACAGAGGCATCTTCACGTTTTAATGCAAAAACTTTTCATGTATTTATAAATTTGCATTTTGCTCTATTAATCCTTTGTTTTCTTCAATTGCCTTTTTCTTCTTGAATATGTTATCGTAAATTCAATCTACCCCAGTTGTACTCCAATTTATTAGTGAACCTTCTGGTATTATTCATTGTTGTTTTTTCATTAAATCAATAGTTTCATCAGAGATTTTTGACTGTACAAAGTATTTTCCCCGTGGTGCTATAGATGTAGCAAATTCAAGGATGTTTTTGACTATTTGTTCATTTCGGTCCGTAATTTTAATCTCTTCCAAATCTTGCACTATATAGAGCAAAGTGATTTGACAGATTAATCTCAAAAAAGCTAGCAGAAAGAGAACATGGAAGAATCCATCGGTACACAAGGGAAATTGACTATATCATGTCAAGTGATAAAACCATATTTTGTAATTGTACTGTTATCAATCATTTTAATGTTGGAAGTGACCATAGAATGGTACGAGGCAAAGTGAAGATAGACTGTCGAAAGGAATGTATGAAAATGATACAGATGTCACAAAAAACAAAAATAAAGAGTGATAAGCTATTAGAGGAGAACAGCTATTTTCTTGTAAAATGAGTTCATGATAAAAAGTTCCTGTCCTTCAGCAAAATCTACTAGTCTGTCGCCTCTATTATTATGTTCATCACTTCCATACTGGCCAGTCACTTTTCTCCAGATATTGTTCTTCCTAGTCTTGCATTAAAGCCACCCATTAGTAGTTTGTATTGGCATTTTTCTTTATCTTGAAGGCGAGACACATTGTTGTAAAACTCTTCCACCTCATCATCACTATAGCTTATTGTTGGCTCGTAAGCTTGGATTATTTGAACCGTGTATTGTTCGTTCAATTAAATGTTGCATTGGACTACGCTGATAATTTTACTACAGTCTTTCAGCTTTTGGTTGGGGAGAAAACCAATCCTGTCACATTGTTCATCTTCAGTACCTCTAGTGTAGAGTAAAATGCCCAGACCTATCAAGTTCAACTAAATTTTCACCTTTTCGTAGTATTTCACATAATCCAGTGATATCCCAATGCATATTGTTGAGTTCAATCAGAAGTTCTCCTAGTTGAGCATCCGTTTCCATTGTTTGAATGTTGAGTGTTCCTAAGTCCAAAGGCAGCCTGATTTAACCCGGGGATTCTTAGCACCCTCGGCCTTTGGGCAGGTCTTCCTGCTGCCGTGGGTAGTTGCCCTAGGCCTAGGGCCTCAGGGGAATGAGGGCTGTTTTTGAGGTTGTATTGGCATGTGGGAGAAATAGACCATCATCTGCCACACTGGTCCAATGTGGGTTGGCAGATGTGATCGGCATTAGTCTGGGGTAAAAACATATAAAATCACTTTATATGTGTTTAAATCTTTGATTGGAAGCTGCCCAGACTTGGCTAAAAGATGGGCAGCTATATAAAAGTTTTAAACAAACAAATAAATAAATACAAGCAAATGGTAGCTCCACTCCATTCTCCACACTCTGTTGCCCTGGCAAAAGAAATGCATTGATCTGAAGAGCCCCAAACGGTTACCTTGGGGTGCAGCCCAAATGAATGCAAACTGCAGAAGAGGCCACATCTGATCCAGCTTCTCACGGCAACCTGGGTGGGAGCAGAAGCCTCGGCACTCCTTCGTGCATGCTCTGAGTGCTTCCTCCTTTCACCTGGTGCCCCTCCCCCCCCCCCCCTGTTTCTGTTGCTGCCTTTGCTGTTTCCTGGTTCTTCAGGACGGGACCTTCTTTATGGAGTTTGTTCGAAGCCCTCGCGCAGCATCTCTCTTCCACACACAGGTCAGTTTTTGACAGGTCGAACGCTCTTTGTGGCAATCCTACACAATGTAACTTGGGGTCCACATTCCCCCCTGGGGAAGGCTGAGTCCGTCAGCCTTCCCAGGAAGACCGACAAGAAACACGACCAGAGGAACTCATTCCTCTGGCTACGTGTAAGCTACATTAGCAGAATCTTGCAAGTCTGAAAGTACAAATCTCTCACCATCACCAAGAAACTTTGGACAGTCCCTTCTGAGCCTTTCTCCACCCATTTTGCAGCTGAGGGCTATTTCCTCTCTTATCTGATTGTTCCCTAAGCAAAATCTCTTCACCCTGTTTTCCAAGGTCTTTCCCACGTACCATTACAGAGTCTGCATGAGTTACAAGGGTGTGGTTTGGTTGAGGAGGAAAATGCTGTTTGCCTGCCCCTTTTTGGTGCCCTCTCTATTCCTGGACTGTTCAGTTTTCTTTAGAAAGCAACCAAGCCAGAAGCTCTTGGCCCTTTTTCCTGCAGAGACAGGAGAAAAGTCTGTGGGAGCTGGACTCCCCTCTGTCTTCAGCATCCTACCTAGCATGTGCAAAGGAACGGAGATGGCTTGCAAGTTCTTGGCAACGGGATGTATGGTGGCCTTGATGCTTGGGAGACCTGAATTCCCCATTAGGGCAAAAGGAGCTTGCACATAACAGCCCCCCTCTTCCCATTCTCCCACCCCAAACTGGGGCTGTGCTGCCTCAGCCTGGCCAGAATGATAGGCTGTGCTACTGACCGGACTGAGAGCTGGATATCATTGTTGGGTCAAAGGGCTGTAAATTAAAGAGGAAGAGCTGGCCTATGGGTGGTGGTCTCTGCTCCAGATGTTGTGGATGTTCTGCCCCAGTTGGCTTGCCCTGCTGTCTTGAGGTTTGGCTGGGCAGGTCCAGCTCCAGGGGGAGCCTTCCCTGAGAGTGAGGCTGCTGGCAGAGGAGGAAGGTTGCCCCTGAACACACCACAGCTGTATTTCTCAGCCATAGCAATTTGAAGATGTGTTGACTTTAACATGGGGAATTTGGGGAGTTGAAATCACACATCTTAAATTTGCCAAGGTTGAGAGAGCTGAGACGCCGTGGTTGAGAAAACACTGCTCTAGAACCAGTTCAGGTGAGTTGTGCTGTTGTTTATTCTGCAGAGGAAGGCTGGAGGGGCCCGCAGTGAGATGCTTGCAATGAATTCAGGACAGAGCCTGATCTCTGGTTGCAGAGGAAGCCTCTGCTTCAAGCAGGTGGGGACCCTGGACCAGCAGGCTTCTCTGAAAGGCCCCCTGACACCAGGAAAGAATCGAAGCCAGGCTTCCCTCGCTCCCCTTTCAACTTTTGGATATTACTTGATAGAAAAGCAAAAATAGAAAATGGGACGTGGCTAAGATTTCTTTTATGGGCAAGAAAGTAAATTGTACTTTGAGCAATTGGGATTGTTTCTAACTGGAACAGGACAAGTCAATAGTTTGTGGAAAATTTAGGAACTGGCAGAAGAATTAACCATTTCCAGTAAAAAGAGGTAAAGATTCCTCTATTAATTCATAGATGCTGGAAAGAATTTTCTTTTTCTTAGCACAGACTTGGCAGTTGGAGATGTTACCATTGATAGGGGGCTGTTTCCTCATGGGCTCTTCCTCCAGATGTTGCTTCAGGGCAAATGGAGGTTGTTCTTTCCGGAGCCTGATCTTTCTAGAAGATTGTCTTTTGTTCTTTGGGGGGAGTTGCAAGACTATCCATTTCTGAGGCTAAAATCATTTCATAGCGTTTGACGCAGTCCTGGAAACCCAAAGAGAATGGTCCGGTCCTCATCCAGAGGCCATTTTCAGAATAAATTGATGCACCCTCCCACTCTCGCATTCCCTTAATGAACTGGGGGAATGAGCTGGAAGCACATTAGCCACACAAGTCTCACTGATACAGCAGAGAACACACTGTGAGGTCCTGTCCCAGGTAAGTCATGGACCGTGAGCAGGTAGATGCTCTTGAACCTGTGGTGCAGAGAACAGCCCTACTTTTTTTCATGTCAGCTTCATGGAGCTTCTGCAAGAACACTTTCTGTTGACTTGGCCTTTGGCCCATCATCTCCGATGTGACTGGCCATTTGCAGATTTTATTTTATTTCATTTTATTAATCATATTTCTATGCCGCCCACTCTCCGAGGACTCTGGGCGGCTTACAACAATCGACAGTATACTAAACAGCATATTGCCCCAACAATCTGGGTCCAGATGTGGAAAAGGGTCCATGGAAACATCAGGCTATTCATGGGGAGAGATGGAAACTAACAAATGGCAGGGCTCTCTGTGGTCCTGATGTGTGAGTGTCAAGGAAATTCCAGGCCACCCAGATTATGTATCTGTCTTAACTACTTCTGAGCACCCCGCCAGTTCTCATTTTCAGGACCCTGATGGATGTTTCCATTATTGAAGCATTTTGATGCTTGCGAGTATTAGCCTGAAACTCCCAAGTCTTACACTTAGGGCCAACTCAAAGTTCCTCTGTGTGCCTGCAGGGCTTTATCAGATTTATGCTTTCAGGCTGATGACCTCCGTGGTGGCCACTGCTTCCCTTCCCCCAGGTCTCTGTCGATCAGTCTGTCCCAGGAACCCTGGAAGGCAGCACTGCTATCAACACAGCCCAGCCTATAGACCGTAGCAGCATCCAAGCCAGCTCTCTCCACGGAGGGGACCAGACCTCGGCCACTTCTGGTCCTTTGGAAAACAGGTAAGAAGGACCAAGTGGGGCTTTCAGTGAAGAACTGAGAGCTGACCTTAAGTAGACGCGTCCTGCCTTTGTGGTCGTCCTGCAGCCCTTTCCCAGCTGAGGGCGTGTTTTCTTTCAATTTTGCAGCTCCCAGCCATCCTCTGCCAGTTCCCTGACATCTTCGTCTACTTTGCTGGAAATCCTTGAAGCCATGAAACATCCCACGTAGGTTCCTTTCACTCCCCTTGCCTCCTGGCAGCCCCTTTCTGGAAGAGGGTGTGGCAAGTGGAGTCCAGCCATTTCTCTCCTGGTGGGATCTCGAGGGACCATGGTGGGGGGGGGGAAGGGCAGAGGTCACAGCGACCCTGGGGGAGGGGAGAGGGGCAGAGGTTGGGAGGTGAGAAGACTCCAGCCGTCCTTAACCCGGGCCTTGTTTGGCTCTCAGCACAGGGATCCAGCTGCTCTCTGAGCAGAAAGGCCTCTCCCCAACCTGCTTCATCAGTGCAGAAGTCGTGCACTGGCTGGTGAACATGGTGGAAGGGGTGCAGACGCAGGCCATGGCCATCGACATCATGCAGGTGAGCAGCTCTTTGCAGCCTGGATGGAATTCCTCCCTTCTGCCTTAAGGAAGGTGGACATCACTTAAGGAGGCCAATGGGGAGGAAGGGAGGGAGGGAGGAGGGCTTCCTGGCAGGATCCGGGGGCTTCAGGCAGCATTGGGAACTATTAGATAAACCTCCACCTGTTCCTTGGTCCTAGAAAAGGATCCCTCCCACTTCTCCCTGTAGACCAGGGGTATCAAATTCAAGGCCTGAGGGCCAGATCCGGCCCAAGGGGTGCTTAGATCTGCCCGCGGGCCGTCCTGGAAAACAATGGATGACCAGCCCGCGGGGCCTCTGCCAGCAAAAACGGAGCTTGGGAGGGCCGCGGGCAGCCCTTGCGAGCTCCATTTTTGCTGGCAGAGAGTTGCAGGAGGCTGTCTCACCTGGAAACGGAGCTACGGAGCCTGCTTTCGCTGGCAGAGCACTTGGGCCACCACAGGCATCCCTGACACGAGTGATGTTGAGCTGGCTATGCCCACCCTGGCCACGCCCCTCCCCCGGCCCCCCGAGGCCAAACACAACCTCATGCGGCCCTCAATGAAATAGAGCTTGAAACCCCTGCTGTAGCCTGTCAGTTGGAAATGAGCAATTTCTGTGGACCAGGATTTCCCCACCCCCAAACCCCCTTTGCCTGCATGGCTGCTGGCTGTCCTTCCAGCTGAAGCGGATTTTCGTTCCATCTTCTCTCTAGAAAATGCTGGAGGAGCAGCTGATAATACATGCTTCCGGAGAGGCACTTCGCACCTTTATTTATGGGTTTTATTTCTATAAGATGGTGGAAGACAAGGAGCAAGAGCGAGGTCAGGTTCTGGGTGGCTTGGGGCAACCTTGGCTGGCTCCTTGGAATGCTAGTTTTCATTCCTTTTCCACAGGCCTCCTTTGCGTTGGCCGATGCAGAAGAGGCCTGTGGAAAAGGAATGAAAATTCTTTCCTGTACCAAAGAATGTTTCGGAGACGAAAGGCAACACGTTGTGTTGATCATGGTCTCTCCTCTCCTGCTCTGAATGAGCCCCAGGGGGCACCCTTCACCATCTCTTGGGATAGAAGCTTCTGGATTGGGGAAGGGGGACAGATGGATCTAACCTTGAGAGACCCCTGCCCCACCCTGGCATTCCTCTGCCCAAGGGGCAAGAGGTCAGCTCTCTACCCGAGTGACTTCCCCCGATTTCCTCTTTAAGAAAGAGGCTCTGCTAGAGATTGTTCCCGAGACTGATTCCTGAGCAGGGAGAAAGATCCTCCCCATCTCCTGTGGGCTGGGCAGGGGGACCTTCCCCAGCCCAGGATAGTGTCAGCTGTCCCAAAGGAGCTTCTCTTCCCCTCTTCTGCAGGGGGGATTCAGCAGCCCGCCCTGTGGCACACGGCGGCCAAGGACGAGTTCTCTGCCTTCCAGCGAAAGTGGTTTGAGGTGGCTTTTGTGGCGGAAGAGCTCCTTCATTCGGACATCCCAGCATTCCTCCTGCCGTGGCTGCCCAGCCGCCCAGCCTCCTATGCCAGCAGGCACAGCTCCTTCAGCCGCAGCTTTGGAGGACGGAGCCAGGCGGCGGCGTTACTGGGTAACGTGGATGCAGAGGGTGGCTGGGGGTTCTCGGTGGTCCCAAATGCGGGGTTTCTGTTCCTCCAAGCTAGGTGGGACCTGGCCAGGAAGATGGGGGGTGGGGAGGAGGAGGATCTGAAAATGTTGCATTGGCTCCCCTATTAGGCCCTTTAAGCCAGGGCTCTCCAACCTTAGCAACTTTAAAGACTTGTGGACTTCAATTCCCAGAATTCCCCAGCCAGCAAAGCTTAAGTTGAAGTCCATATGTCAAAGTTGGAGATTCCTGCTTTAGGCCATGATGGGCATTGCTGTTCCAAAATCATCTGAGAGGTAAATCTCTGGGAATGTCGTTCCATGCTATATTCTCATATATTTATGTAATAGAAAATATGTTCAAAGGCCAGCAGGTGAAAAAAATGAAGGGAGAATAAAATAACAATGAAAATAAAGGTAAATATAAAAGATGAAAAGTAGAGGATGACAGAGAACAAGGATCAACAGCATTAGGACAAAATCAGTATTGTTGGTTCCTTGGTGCTCTCTGAGCTTGGTGGTTTTCTTGCAGACATTTCATGACCCAACTAGGTAATATCATCAGTGCTAGTCCCAGAGCGCAAACCCCACTCCCTGAGCTGATGATGTTCCCTGGTTGGGTCATGAGACATCTGCAAGAAAACCACCAAGCTCAGAGAGCGCCAAGGCCCCCCCTAATCCCCCTCCTCTCCATTAACCCCACTCCCTTCTGGCACTGATTACCTACTTGGGTCATGAAATGTCTGCAAGGAAAGCCAAGCTCAGAGAGCCCCAAGGACCCCACAGTTCAACCCTGAAGTACGAAGATTCTGTTCTATGGAAACCAATGTTTTCCTTTGCCTTGAGAGAACAGCCGAGGTCTTTGGCTGTTCTCTCAAGGCAAGAGTCGGACTGAGTTCTAGTCTTGGGGTTGAAAGGGGAGAGCACCTGGAGCCATGGAAGAGAGCACGCACAGACCTGGGCCAGGGCTTCAGCCTCGAAGGATTTTTTTGTTACCTGCCCTCCCATATTGCAGTGGGGAAACTCTTCAGGGGGCAGCAGAGGTTGAGATGGAATGGCAACATAGGACTAGGTGGGCTCTGGCCTAGTTCCCCACTCCCGCCCCCCAGTCAACAGTAACCCCCAGAGGCATTTCATAAACTCACTGGCAGGTTTCTGCTCTGACTTTCTCTAAACTTAAAAGTCACAGAAACTGGCAGTGGGGAGGAGACCCTGGAGAGACCCAAGTCAGCCAAAATGATGGGAATTAGAGAGACCAGTGAGTGGCTGATGGAGGAAAATTCAACCAGTAGCTGCAGCAACAAACGCAGGCTCTTAGCTCATCTCCTTATTCCACCTGGGTCACAGCATTCGAGGTGCCAGAGGGGGCACCCAAAATAACAGGACTGCACAGTCTCTGGAGCACCCAGGATTAAACTGGGTCCTGCTTCCTCAATGGCTTACAATGGCTAACCTCTCCCTCCCTTCCCTTGTGTTCTTCGGCTCCTCTCCGGGCAGCTGCCACAGTGCCAGAACAGCGGACGGTGACCCTGGACGTGGACATAAACAACCGCACGGATCGGCTGGAGTGGTGCAGCTGTTACTATCACGGCAACTTCTCCCTCAGTGCCGCCTTTGAGATCAAGCTGCACTGGATGGCGGTGACGGCAGCTGTTCTCTTTGAGATGGTGAGCTCTGGCAGGCGGGCTTCCTGGGAAGTCAGAACGGCCTCTTGCAGATCTGCTGGTTTCCAAGGCCGTGTCTGGTCCTCATTTGAACCCGGTACTCCTAAAGGCAAAGGCTCCCATCACCCTGCCCTGTTTCCACAGGTCCAAGGCTGGCATCGCAAAGCCACTTCCTGTGGGTTCCTGCTGGTCCCAGTCCTGGAAGGCCCGTTTGCGCTGCCCAGTTACTTGTACGGAGACCCCCTTCGAGCCCAGCTTTTCATCCCACTCAGCATCAGCTGCCTGCTGAAAGAGGGCAGTGAGCACCTCTTTGATGGTGAGGAGGGGGGGAGGCGGCTGGTTGCTTTTCACCAGCTTGCAGATCATGCAAAGTGTGAGGATCTCCCAAGAAAGCAAAACTCTTGAAACCAGGAACATTTCCAAAGGGAGCCTTTCCTGGGAGAGAGCGATTGCGGAAAAGTCAGGTGGCGTCTGAAATCCAGGCACCAAGCGTTAGGCTAATTGTCCCCTTCAACCCCCATCTCAATTTCACGTGTCCCTCTTTAGCCAATCATCTGCCGCAAAGGTGTTTTGACTTTGCCAAGAGGCAGCGTGGTGGGAAGATCCCATCCTCAGGGCAATGCGGCCTTGAGCCTTCCCTCCCTAAAGCTCCCAAGCAGTTACAGAAAAGTGAAAGTATGTAAACTATGCGGGATGCCTGGTGGCAACTTTGTTTGCTTGTTTGTTTATTAAGTGTATATGCTGCCCATCTCACTGTCAAGTGACTGTTACACTATCAAAAGCAGCTGTAAACACATTAAATATTAAACTAAGTTAAAAACAAGAATACAACAGGGTGTGGTTGGGATCTTCCTCCTAGTCCACTAACTGTCCCAATGTGGAATGCCCTCATCAGATCCCGGGCCAATCAGCAGTCCGTGCCTTCATAACTGGTAGGTGAGCTCTTTCTCTACCTGAACCTAAAAAACACTTGGATGGGTCCTCTTGGGAGGAGGAGATCTGGCAGAGACAGGCAGGAAGGGGAGAGAGAAGAAAGCATGAGACCAGCAACTCCTCCACTAGACCAGGGCAGGCGATTCCAGCGGTGGCACAGCAGAGATACTAACTTGGGTGGGAGAGGCTGAATCACCTGGAGCTTTGGGGAGACAAGGTCAGTGCCTTCTTGGGATCAAACAAGGTAACACAGAAGCATTTCCCAGCTGTCGAGTTCTCCAGAACGCTTCATGGGATGTGCCCAAAAAATCCTGGGATCTTGGCAGCAACCAGAACCTCCCTCCTGGTCCTCTTTGCAGGCTTTGAGCCAGAAACCTATTGGGACCGGATGCACCTTCTGCAGGAGGCCATTGCACAAAGGTGAGCAGGGGAGGTGCAGCTGGTGAGGAGGTGGGTGCAGTGGGTGACACAAGGCGTAGGAAGAAGCTAGAAAGTCTGCAGTGCTTCCTCCGCAAGGCTGGGCTTTTGTTTCACTTTTCCTTCCTCTGCCACTCCAAAAAAGAGCCACAGCATTGGGTGGGGATATTTCAGTGGGGCCATAAAGCTTCTGGCAGGCCAGGCTCCTGAGGGATTTGCCCTACATGATGTAGGGCGTTGCGTGCTCCTTGCGTGCTCAACAAGAGCTGTGCTTTGTTCCCAGCAGGTTTGGATTCATACAGGATAAATACTCGGCCTCTGCCTTCAACTTCCCTGCAGAGAACAAGCCCCAGTATATCCATGTTACAGGTGAGCTCTGTTGCCCTTCGGAGTGGAGGTGGCAGGCCCTGCATCAAATGGCTGCTGGGCAGGTGGCCGATGCATCCAAAGGGGAGGCTGCAGTCCTTGTCTCTGGCAGTTCTAGGACCTCGCAGACAGCAAGGAAGCAGGAAGAGCTTGCCTCCTGGCAGCTCACCTCTCTGTGTGCCCACATACCTCTGCCCTTGCTGCTGCTGGGCACAGGAGAAAGAGGGCTTGCCATGGCTTTCTGCTTCTGCCCTGCTCTCGCTACCCTGATGGCCACTGCTAGTCCGAAGCCCAGCCAGCTGGCGTGATGCTCCTTCTGAACTCCTCTTTGCTCAGGAAGAGCTCTTGGTTCTTAACAGCACAGCTGTCTGTCAAACCAGAGAACTCTGTAAACTTCAGGTCCACAGTAGCAGCCCACCTTCTAGAATGGGCTGGGGAACCATGGCCCTTTCATGACTTACGGACTTCATGCCGGCTCAGGGATTCTGGGAGTCGAAGTCCACAAGTCATAAACGGGCCATGGTTCCCCACCTCTGTTCTAGAAGAAGCCCTCCCTGGTTGAGGTAGGCCCAGGGGACACGTCCCGCGCAGAAGGCCCCTGTCCTCTGAAAACCTTCCTCTCCCCACTCAGGCACGGTCTTCCTCCAGCTGCCGTACTCCAAGCGGAAGTTCTCCGGGCAGCAGCGCCGCCGACGCAACTCCACCAGCTCCTCCAACCAGAACGTCTTCTGCGAGGAGCGCATTGGCTACAACTGGGCCTATAACACCATGCTGACCAAAACCTGGCGATCCAGTGCCACTGGCGACGAGAGGTTTGCCGACCGGCTGCTGAAAGACTTCACGGACTTCTGCTGCAACAAGGATGGCCGGCTCGTCTCCTTCTGGACGGGCTGCCTGGAGAAGATGCATGCCAGCGCGCCCTGAGGAACGGCTTCTGCAGCCGGGCAAAGCCAAACTCAGCCGGGAGCAGCCAAAGCCCTGTGGCAGGCCTGGCATCTGAGTGAGCAACCAGGGCCTGCAAGGGCCAGACTGAGGTGGACGAAGATCGGAGGGACCGAAAAATAGCGGAGAGAAGTTTGTACTGGAAGGCCGATGCCTGCCCCTGTGTGGCAGATGCTATGCATATATAAATATGTAAATATATATAGTATAAATACGGAATTCACAATTCAATCAATAGGAAAGAACATCCTTTCCCTCCCGTCCTTTGTATTTTGATAAGCCTGCAGCCTATTTGAAAGGTAGGTAGAGAAAAGGAAGAGTGCACAAACGGCCACGGCTGAAAAGACCCTGGTGGAAAGGGAGACTTTAAAGAGGCTGGGTGGGAGAGAGCAAGGCGAAAGGATCAGGGAAGCAGAAACGGCTTTCCAAGGAGAAGAAGGATGGGATCCCCTGCTGAAAGGTGAAGCCAGAGAGAGAAGCAGAAGGAAGCACCCTGGGCATGCTTGGTCTGGTAGTTAAAGCACCGGGTTAGAAACCAGGAGCCGTGAGTTCAAGTCCTGCCTCAGGCAAGAAAACCAGCTGGGTGACTTTGAGCCAATCACCAGGAGATGGGGAGTTCTAGTCCAGCTTTAGGCATCAAAATCGGCTGGGTGACCTTCAGCCAGTGACTCTCAGCCCAGCCCCCCTCACAGGGTGATGGTGGTTGTGGAGAAAATGAGTATTGATATGTTTGCCACCATGAGTTATTTGTAAAAATTTCATAAAGGTGGACTCTAAAAGAAATACATAATAAATAAACCTGGGCCTAAGTGTCTTCCAAAGTGAAGGCCTTGCCAGCCTCGATATTCCTGCTAGTTCAAGAAGAGAGCAAAGTCTGCCCTTCCCCCCACCCCCCAGACTCAGCCCATTTCCCGAGAAGCCATTCCAAGCTGCCAGAGGTGCAGGCAACAAAGCCAGGAGTCTGAGTGGGGAGGCAGGCAAGGACCTCTGCAGGCCTCCGGAAGGGCCGAGTCAGGGAATTTGGCCAAGGAGGCCGCCTGCTTATTTATTTATTCAATTTGTATGCTGCCAATCTCTGGGAGCTGCCTGGGCATTGGGCCGTTTGTCCAAGCGAAGGTGCTGTGGGAGGGCAGCCTTCCTCCCCCAAACCCTCTGGCTTTATACCTCCAGCATCCGTGGTGCCTTTTGGTACTTGCTGGTGTTATCGGTCATCTACCAGAGAGGGGTGTGTGTGTGTGTGTGTGTTTTCCCCACAATCTCTACCTCCCTGGCAAATAAAAGGAATTTTCTTCATCAGTGGGGTCTGCAGCTCCACTTCCTGGCCCTGACCAGAAGCAGGAATCTCTTGCAAAGATCTGTTGGGAAATCAGGAGGAACCACATCATTAAGGACAAAGTTGTCGCCTGAACCAGACAAAGGAAGCTGGGCCTGGCCACGTGCGAGACCCCTCCCCAGATCCCCCCAGCAAGGCAAAAGGAGCTGGCCAGCTTGTGAACCAACACAGCAAAGATTTGGGGAGAGAAAAAGGGGTCCCTCCTGAAGCCCGCCCTGCTCGGAGTTGCCTTTGGAACAAGATGGGGCAGCTCCTTGCCAGCCCAGCCACGGAGCAGGCAGGTAAGCGTGGCTGGGTGGCAGGTGTGAAAAAGGCAAAACCCTCCATTGCAACCAGCAACGTTTGGCCACCGTCTTTCCCAGTTGCTGCCTACCAGCCGGTCGCCTAGACACGGGGGGCAGGGGGGAGAGAGCTTCAAGTCCGGCAGGGCGAGTGGGCCAGAGCTGCGCACCTCAGCTGGGAGTGGCAGGTAATGGAACCCCATGGGGCCCTTTCCCCACAGGCAGCACCAAGTTCAGGCCAGCGTTTCCTAAAGTCTGGCTAGTTGCCCACCCCTGGGTTAGGGTGGCACAGTTCCCCTGGGGGGCCTCTGCTGAAAATTGGCCCTCAAAAAGGACTTTCCCCCCCCCTCCCAATTCCCCGCCTTTACTGGGGAAAGGATAGGAACCGAGTGACCCCTCTCGTTTTTATATCCTCACATCTTAGATTGATGACTCCCTTTCCTGTCAGATCCTTAAAAGTGATACTGCCAATCAATCGGGAGAAGGGGGACACTTGGATTCGATTCACTAGCATTGCCTGTGTCAACAGATATTTTACAACCTATATCCTGGCGCCAAAGAGCCCTGAGATCCCCTTTACCTGCAGGAATTTTTATGATAGCCATGTGGGTTGTTTCACTTTAAAGGATAATGGTGGGAATGCATGTGTGTTCGGGTTCTCAGAGAAACTAGTAAAGAAAACATCTTCACACTTGTATATTGACTAAAATCTGCATTCTGACTTAAAGGGAGGGGTCTCTACCACTTTAATCCTACTGTCTTGCCTAAGGGTATTCAGATCTTGCTTTAGCTGGATGGCTTTCACTTCTGCTTAATAAAAGTTCTCTTGAACAACCATGTTTCAAGAGTTTTTACTTTCTTAAGTTGGAAGGAGAGGCAATCCTTACAAAGAGCAAGATCTGCAAAACAGTCAACCCAGAGAAGCAATCTTCGCTCTACTGAGGGGACCTTGCAAACCATGTCTGAACGAAGCAACCGATTGCTGGGGGGGGGTGACAGCAACCGCCACCCAGTCGGATGCCTGTTTTGTACGCCCCATTGGAGAGGATGAGGTAACCCTGGAGAATCCTGAAAAGCCCCGCTGGTGTCGGGAAGAAAGATAGCTGGGATAAGAACCAGAGGAGTCACCCTCAGCCGTGGCAACCGAAAACCGGGGTGGAAACTGGAACTAGAAGCCCTTGCTGACCGGGGGGGGATGACCGAAGCACCACTGAGGGAGGATTATCTGAAGAGACATATAACCCAATTAATGATGGAAATTTTGGAAAATTTCAACATCCGAGGGGAGCCAGGACAACAACCAAAGGGCGTGGAAAGGGCAGCAGTCGCGGATGATACCACGGGAGGCATCCCCCTTCTGGAGCCTGCCTATTGAGCAGATGGCTCGATGGCTTGTTTAAAACATAAACAAGGCCAAGGCACTCCAAAAAAACCAAGCGCACTTCCTTCTCCTGCAGTGCTGTTGCTGAGATTCCCCACCACCACCTCTACTCCAGCTGCACATTCCATCACATACGCACACATCTCCAGAAACCCTATCAGACGGGGCTCAGGACTGAGTAGGGCAGTGGTGGACATGCCACCCTCCTACCCTCTGTGGGAAGAGCTGCCATATGGCTCTAGCCAGACCTCTCCAAACTTGGCAACTTTCACACTTGTGGACTTGAAATCCCTGAAATGGCTGACGGAGGAATTCTGGGACCCCTGTTCTATGCTACTTGGGCTCTTGCTTTTCTGGATGGTATTTCTTGACTCCTGAAGACTGGAAAGCGAGCGGGGAGCAAGGGATGACATTGGCCATCTCTTTTCCTTCACTGATGCTTCCCTTAGACTTTGGGAAATGGTGCAGAAATCTGGAGGCACTGCCTATCGGAAGCAAAAAATCAGAGCTGTGAGCTTTGCTCCCAGTCCCAATGACTGAGAAAGGCACAAACCACCAGCACTTGGGCAGTATTTTTCAAACCTGGCAACTTAAAGATGACTGGACCAACTCCCAGAATTCCCCAGTCAGCATTCCAAGGGTTGAAGTCCACATATCTTCAGGTTGCCAAGTTTGAAAAATAGTGACCTAAAGGACCTCTTCCTTCAGCAGTGACCATCAGAATCACTTACTCTCTGCCCTCTGCTGTGGATTCCAGAAAAAATTGCCCTGGGGGCCACTATTTTCACGACCTGTGCTTCCAGAAGACAAGAAGAAACTTCCATGAGCTCCTGCCAGAATGACCACACTCTTGAGTCCAACTGCCTGATCCAAATTGAGGCATCCCAGACAGATGGCTTTGAGAGGGTCCAGAGGAGCCCATGACCTGATCATCGATGCCATCATGAAACTGTCCCCTCTCGGGAAGCTTCTCGAATATGCTCAGCATCATAGGGTTGGAGAGGGTTTAGTGTAGGGGTGTCCAACCTTAGCAATTTGGCTTGTGGACTTCAACTCCCAAAATCCCCCAGCCCTCTTCAGTAAGAGAGGATACCTACTCACATTCATTCTGCTAATTTTTAATTCCGGATTCCCACAGTCATAGTATTGAGTTTCTTTCAACTCTTTCTTTCTACGTTCATTTATCTCAAAATCCACTCTTGGCATTGTAGTGATCTCTGACATTCAGAAACTCTTGCCATCCTTGTATCCTTCACTAATCTTCACAGACTTTCATCATAAACAATCAAATCTACTGTGGTTTTAGTTTTCGTTATAGACCTGCATGAATACTGCTCACCTGCCTGGAACCCTCACTGTATTTCAGAGGTCAATACATTAGGTCCAGAGATATTTTACTAGAAGAGTCCTCAAATCCTCTGCTCGAAATAAAATTCCCTATACCACCAGGCTTGAAATTTTAGGCCTGGATAGCCTTGAAGTACACCACCTACGTTCCGACCTAAGCTTAGTACACAAGATTATCTACCATAACGTCCTACTTCTTAATGAGCACTTCTCCAAATGGCCCAGATAGCATAGGACAGTGATGGCTAACCTTTTTGCCATCGCGTGCCAGGAAGGGGGGGCGGGGGAGGTTCGCGTGCACGTGTGCCCACACCCATAATTCTATGCACCCCGCCCCGTGCATGCGACCCCACCTTCCCCCCGCTCCTAGCACACGATGACCCAGTAGGCCCATTTTTCTTTCTCACCTGGCTCCAGATCCACTCTATGCATCTGGGGAGGGCGAAAACAGCCTTCCCCACCCCCTCGGATGCCCAAAACGGCCCGTTTCCCAACTTCTGGTTGGACAGGAAGTGACTTTTTTGCTGTCCCCAGCCTCCAGAGACTCCCGACGCATGCGCACTGGAGCTGAGCTGGCGTGCCAGGCAACATGGCTCCACGTGCCGCCTGTGGCACGCGTGCCATAGGTTTGCCATCACGGGCATAGGATCTGGTCCAGAGCAAGGCCAAGGCATGGCTAGTACACAGGTAAGGCCCACTTACACAGAGTTTCCATGGGGTTTGGCTCTCGGGTGGGTTCTAAAATTTTTTACTACCGGTTCTGTGGTCGTGGATTATTTTGTGGTCGTGGCTTGGTGGGGGAGGGGGTAATGTGACTCGGTGGGCGTAGCCAACTTTTTTTTATTTTACTTTTAAAAGCATTTTTTCTACAACCTTAAGAGATTGCAGAAAAAAATGCTTTTAGAAGCCTCTGATGATCAGGCAACTCAACTGGGATCGCCAGAGGCTTTTAAAGGCATTTTTTTTTCTACAACCTCTTCGGCCAAAGAGGTTGCAGAAAAAAATGCTCTTAAAAGCTTCTGACGATCCCAGCTGAGCCGCATGATCATCAGAGGCTTTTTTTTTTTTACTTTTAAAAGCATTTTTTCGGCCAAAGAGGTTGTAGAAAAAATGCTTTTAAAAGTTAAAAAAAAGCCTCTGATGAGGTGAGTGGGGTAAGCGAGCGGCGACTGGGCCGGGGACCAGTTCGGGGGCGTGGCCAGCCAATGTTATTACTGGTTCTCCGAACTACTACAAATTTTTACTACCGGTTCTTGCAAACTGGTGCGAACCAGGAGCAACCCACCACTGGTTTGGCTGGATTATTGTTCCTTTTATTAAGACTCCTTTATAATAATGTCATCTTAATGGCTATCTAAAATGATTTTATTTTAAGCAATGAGTTGAAAAAAAATAAAGTATTTTGAATTCCATTGACTGAAAATCAAGCAGGTTTGGATTAAGGAGGGAACACCCACAGTCTTTGGACTGTGGACTGTGAGCCTTTCCTGCCTCTTGGACCTGTTCCCCAGGCCTCTGCCTTCGAGAAACCCCAAAGAGAATCCAGGGAAGCTGGGATTGTAGCCAGGACATAGAGCTAGGATTGTGCCTCCCTTCCCTTAGAGAGCCTGCAGCAGCCATGTGGTCAACTCATTCTCTAAGGACCATGAAGAAGTTTAATATGATAATATAAAGGATGGACAAAATGAAAGCATAATAATTTTATTAATTTGGAGGGGCAGCCTTTAAAAGATTGCCCTTCCTGGGTAATCTGATCACTGAGACACAGGTGTGAAATTGATTCCTGCATCACCTGGGTTTGTCTTGAGGAAATGTACTTTCTTTCATATTCTAGTTTTCTTGATCCTCCAAGAGGAGAAACACCAGACTTGGTCTTAAATACTTGGAGGCACCTGCCCCCCACCAAACCGCTAGTGACTGGGAAGTCCAGGAGTAGTTCCATCATAACTGGAGCTGGTGGGAGAAGCCGGTCTTTGCTCCTGGGCAGTAAAGGATGGATTGAACATGCAATGGTAGATGCCACAACCGTTGGAAAATAAAGAACAAGGGGCTGTTGTGAAGTTCTCAGGCCAGAAGATCTGTTGAGGACAACAAAGCTGCATTTATCATGCATGGAAAAGTGTCTTCCTTCAGCATGTGGTTCAATTTGAACTGGCTGGATAAATGAATAATGTAATGATTATGTGTACTCTCTTTTAATAAAATATATATTTCAATCCAGAAAATAGAAGCCTTTCTCCTCCATTTGCAGGACAATGTCCTTTTACCCCTGATCACAAGCAGCTGAGCTGGTCCAGGTGAGCCAGCAGAGAGTCCACCTGTTTTATCTTTTGCCTGCTTCTCCGAAGGATGTGAAATTCCAGGTGTGGAATATGTGTTTGGCTTCCTTTGGAAGGAGGTTACAGGAGACTGATGGCTATTGCGTAATCTTTGGATTTATGTGTAGACATACAGGCAAAAGATATCACTAAAAGATGGCCAGTTTCCAAATTCTGATGTAGTTGCCCTCATGGTGGCATATTTAGGTGGACACTTGTGGTTCATCTCCACTCACAGCCTCCGTAAAGATTTTGGCTTAACTTATTGCTTAAGTGACAACATATTGCTGTCTGGAAACGAAGGGAGAACAGCTGCACCAACTCTGCCTGGTGCACTATTTACCACCAATCTTAGATCAGGAGGCTCTGCTCACAGCCATTCATACCTTTTTTTTTTTTTTTAATTTGATTTATATGCCGCCCTTCTCCGGAGACTCAGGGCGGCTTACAAGGCTTACGAACTCTCTCTCTAAGGCTGTCCTTGAAGGCCAGCAAAAGCTGCAGCTAATCCAAGATGTGTGAGGTCACAGGCACATCTCTTCTTTGCCCAGGCAATATTATAAGGAGCCTTGGTGGTGCAGCAGACTAAAGTGCTGTTAAGTAGCACTTAGCTGCCAGCTGCCTGCAATTACTGCAAGTTCAAATCTCACCAGGCTCAAGGCTGATTCAATCTTCCATCCTTCGGAGGTAGGTAAAGGAGGCGGCATTGTAAGCCGCCCTGAGTCTCCGGAGAAAGGTGGCATATAAATCGAACCAATAAATAAAAAACAATAAATAAATCCTTCCAC